CCCTCTGGGATCTCCCTAGCACTATCTTCAGACCGGTAGAAACGGACGATTATCAGTATTATCAAGAAGGGGGTAAAGGAATCTAGTAAGAGAGGAAGGCAGCCCTAGGGCCTAGTGCTGACGCTGCAGCCCTACTAACATTCTTACCTTAATGACATCTCACTAATATCCTAATGCGGGTTAAAAAGTTGCCTCTGTGTGTTATAGCTCTCTATCTACACCTCTATGTGTAGAGAGAGATAGTTAGGACCTATGGGTAGCCGAGCGGGCGCTCTTTACCAATAGATTAGATATTATGGTGTTATATAACATCTTCATCATCATCATCGTCATTAATAAAAGTCGCTTCCCTAGTCGCCCCAAATCTGTCTTTTTTTGGACCCAACCCTCATTTCCCAAAGCTTTTTAATAGCCCAAGGTTCGGTTTCGTCTCCTTCATCGACCTTGCCGTACCTATGATTCATATAGGCGATGAAAAAGACGTAGCTCTTGGGGTTATTCTGTTGTTTTCCAGCGTCCATCTTCAACCATTAGACAATGCTATCTGGAACGTCTCAGGTTAGCATAGTGATAAAACATGCATGTAATGCGTAGACGGATATATGGGTCGAGAGTCTACGCACATTTCTCCTCTTTTCCCGACAGGAACTTTTTTCCGTGGACAGCGTGGAAGGCCTCGTGTACGAGGGTTGTACTCTTGGCAAGACATCTTCAAGATGCACGTCCTTTTTCAGCTTGGCGTTTGCATCGCGGTAGTTGTCTGGGTGTTTAACATTGTGGAAGGTATACGGACAGATGATGACAGAGTCCATGTCAGGCCTGGGCTCAGCGCGGCCGTGAGGGGGCCTTTTGTCTCACACAACCGGGTCTCCGCGTTCTATCATGGAACTTGTCACTTGACGTGGTGTTCTTCAGGTTCGCATGTCTTCTGGTGAAATGTGAGTTACCTTCCCCAAGTGTCACATAATTTCTATCTTTCTCTCATCTCTCAATCACCACGCACCTCTGCGTACGCCTCATTGACACGCTGCTGTTGCTTTTAATTGTTGTCTACGCCTCACAGGTGCCGCAACTAATAGGGTTGCACATATCCCAAGTCAAATTCAATAAAACATCAACAGTAAGTAATAATCATCTGATCTGTGTTTGTCTGTATTAAACTTCTAGATGATGATAATGATGATGATATTTATTTGCTGGGGCGTCTAGTCTAGTGGCAAAGGACGCCTGCTGGTTTATATTTTCTATGTACATCATTCTAGCTTCACAACATGATTGTACTAAAATGTTTGCGACTTTGCTATAATCTGTGAAATATTACTAGATCAAATCAGGGACTATATTTCCTAGACCTTCCTTTCTTACTTCAAGTTCTTCTTCCTTCCCCTTGAGCACAGACTAATCAACACCCTCTTAGGCTTATAGAAACTTAGTAGCGCTTTTTGCATTCTATAGACAACATTGGCTATAAGACTTTTAAGGGCTAGGTTAACTCTATCAAGTCTCGGCAGAGGACCTGGACCAATTACACTGACAGTCCATACTCCCCTTCCCGTACTCGTTATGCTGCCATTGCTCATTACGTCCCCACTCTTGAACCTGACGGGGTGATCATGGTCATGGGGGGAACGAGTTTGATGCGGGGGGTGGCGGACGCAACGACCTCAACATGAAGACCCTCTGGTTCCTGAATCCCGTCACACACGAGTAGTAATCGCAGAAAACCAATGGTCGACCTCCAGCGCGTCGCAGATGGCCGTGCACTGTAGGCGCACGCAGCCCTAATGGGACACGAGAGATGTAAGTGTCAAATGCGATGCTTAGATTATCAACTCCGTTGTTTTTCTTGATTCGCTGCAGTTTCGTCTTCGGATGCCCTACGTTCTTGCTAGACTACGTCAGATGATCGTCGTTAGGGGCAGTAGCCAAAACGAAAATTCCAGGGGAAACGATTCGTCTCAGGGACTGGCCATCTTCAACGTCACCGATCTCCAGTGGAAGGATGAGTACGACTCCCCAGCGATAGTCAAATCTTGGTATAGCGCGAGGTGGGTTTCTGGCTTCAGGTCCACTGATTTACACAGTCACTCGTACTTACATCGAAAAAATAAGACAGTATGATGTTTGCCAAATGTCGAATGTCGACATTGAAGGTGGTGGTGACAGAGAGAAAGAAGGGGGGGGATGAGAAGTGATCTCCAGAAGTAGAGGTATGAACTAGAGGCTGCCTAATACAGATGTCCGGAAGGGTAAAAGCGATCTCGCTGCTGAATCGCTTCATCAATGTCATTCTACTTACGGATACAAGTTACTCCAGCCATCTTATCTTCACCTTAAGACGAGATATAACCTGCCGAATTGGGCAAGAGCCCCCCGCACTCACACGGGACTGTTGTTAACAAAGACGTCCAACAGATGGGCCGGGCCAAGCCGCACATTGACGTTACACCGCTCTCACCAAGGGGGGAATCGACGACGGATGTGGCCCGATGAGCCCCCCCTTGCTCGGCTGTTGTCTTGGGAAATGCAAGAGCTCCTTGCCAAGATTACCTGTCCATCAGCAAAAGAAGAAATTTGGGCACATATGCCGACACTGGCCAATCCCATCGTAGACGACGCGTCGTTGTCCATGATTGGAAATGATATGTTGGCACAGCAGTGCTGAACCAACTTGGCAGCAATTGCCAATGGAATAAGCGTGGAAAGCTTGCTTGGCTCCCAGTTGTCCCTTCGAGCTCACATCATTTTTCAGCCTTGGATTGCTTTGCTCGGGCCAAGGCCTCTCACTGATTGAGGTGCACGAAAGAAGCAAGGCCAATCAATGTAACCGAGACCTCCCTTGCCCCAAACGCTGCAGCCAACCACCTGCCGTGTTGATAACCTTCATAGTCAACAGAGTGAATCCGGGGGTAACACAGAATCCAAGCACGGAGAGAGGCTGGAAGCAACCCAATGCCCACCCTGATGATCAACATCGCACTAGCATCATCATGCAGCTACACGGGACCGGGGTACTAGTCAGTTGGAGCCGGCTTAAATGATAGGAACGGCTTGGCCACTCTGATATAAGCTGCGCGCCGCTTCATTACTTTGCCAAGTCTTCTGTTTTCTCAGGCACCGCTCGACACGTCCTTCACACTCAACCAAGGCACTCCGTCCCTGATAACGAGGCGACAATGAAAATCTCTCACGCCTGCACCCTCCTCTCCCTCGTCTGGCTGGGGGAGACCTGCCTCCTTCCCGGGGAAGCCTCGGGCCGCCGCATCGGCCGCCGCCAGGTCACCAACTCCAATAAAACGGGCACGGCCATCGGCACCGGCGACCGATTCGACGGCGGCAAGAAGTTCCCCCGTGGTCTTGGCTCCCAGCCCGCCGACACAAACCTCGAGTCTCTCCTCAACGTGGAAGAGATCAAGAGCGCCGTCCGTGGTCTGGTCGAGGAGTATGACATTGAGTACTTTGAGTCCCCATACAAAACTTATCAGAACGCCTCATTCTTCGGCGCAAAGGTCGGCGGCTCCGGCAACGGCAGCGATGTGCACCGCGTCTACTTCAACGCCGCCATCCACGCCCGGGAGCGCGGCGCCTCCGACAACATCATCTACTTCCTCTCAGACCTGCTGTACGCGAACAAACATAGCGAGGGCCTCACTTTCGGCGGTCGTGCGTACTCCAATTGCGATGTCCAGCGCGCGCTGTCAACGGGCATCGTCTTCACGCCCCTGAGCAACCCCGACGGCGTGGCATACGACCAAGCTACGCACAGCTGCTGGCGCAAGAACCGCAACCCCGTCGCGTCGGGAGGCGACCCGGACGCCGTTGGCATCGACTTGAACCGCAACTTCGACTTCCTCTTCGACTTCCTGCAGGACTTTGCGCCCACCGTTGGGCCCAACGTCGCGTCGGAACAGCCCGGCGACCAGACGTACCACGGCACCCGCGCCTTCTCCGAGCCCGAGACGAAGAGCATCAAGTGGGTGATGGACGAGCACAAGGAGCTGCGGTGGTTCATGGACATCCACAGCTTCGCCGGCGTCGTGCTCTATAACTGGGGCAGCGACGAGAACCAGCTGCGCAAGCCCTACATGAACTTTTTGAACGACTCGTATGACGCCGTGAGGGGCCTGATGCCCGATACGCCGTCAACCAACGGCATCTACGGGGAGTATGTCCCCAGCAGCGACTGGTCGGAGAAGGTGTTTGCGGCTATGCGCATGGGAAACGCCATGGACGCTGCCGTAGGCCGGCATTACGAGGTTCAGCAGAGCGCATACCTGTACCCGACGTCGGGCGCCAGCGACGACTACGCCTACTCGCGCCACTTTGAGGACCCCTCGCTCGGCAAGATCCACGGCTTCACAGTCGAGTTTGGTTTCGGCAACGACGAGGTCGACTGCCCATTTTACCCCACGCCCGCCCAGTACCACCAGAACCTGCTTGAGACAGGCGCCGGATTCATGGAGTATCTCCTTGCCGCGTCAGAGATAGGCGTTGGCGAGCCTGCCTCCTGTGTAGCGTAAGGGGAGCAGAGAGGACACTGAGGGGGGGGGGCTCTATGACGTTGCGGGCAACCCGGATATGAGAGAATGACCAGAGTCAGCTCTCGTTATCCAGTATTATGGAATGCCAAAAGGCTTAGAAACGACCCCATACGTAGATATTACTTCAATGAGTCAATGAAGAGCGTCACGGTGCATGCGAGTGAGGAAATACTTAACTGAGCCGTATCTGCCTTAGGAAGAGAGAGGTCAACTAGTATTGATAATCTCTACAAGAACGAAAGCAATAACACCAATGTCTGTATAATTGAAGTACAGGAGCAAAGTGCACTCAGATTAGCAAAAGCAAAAGGATAGGAGCTATGACCGTGGCAGGGCTCGAACCTGCGACCTTCTCGGGATCAAGTGCACATACTTGTGAACGAGAAATCATAATCCACTAGAACACACAGCCGGACGTTGGAATCTGGAAATGATTCATTGATTAACAATCATTGGAAACGAACCCCGCTCTTCTTCGCTGCACCGCTTTAACATCCACCAAACGCCACAAACCCCAATCCTCGCGTGTTAATTTACTCTGCAGAATGACGCCCACAAGCAACAAACCCTCCAAGGACCTCTTTCGCATACTCGTCTTCAGCAAGACGTCTGACTACCGCCACAATTCCATCTCCGCCGCCGTCTCGGCTCTGAAATCCCTCGGCGCCCGTTCGGGGCTCTTCACCGTTGACGCAAGCGAGGACGCCGAGGCCTGCATCACCCCGCGGTCCCTCGCCACGTATCGCACAATCGTCTTCCTCCATTGCACGGGGCCCTTTCTGAACGCCGATCAGATCGGCGTGCTGAGGGGCTACGTGCAGTCCGGCGGCGGCTTCGTCGGCGTGCACGCTGCCGCTGCTGGCCTTCTGGAGGATGACTGGTACGGCAGGCTCATCGGCGCGCACTTCGACCACCACCCGCCCCCCGAGGAGGCGACGTGCGTGGTTGAGGACCCGGGGCATTTCGTTATGAGGCGGGGCCTCGACCCCGGAAAAACGTTGGCGGGAACGGCCGATGTGACCCGGAAACGGTGGACCGACGAGTGGTACAACTTCCGGTCGCACCCCAGGGAGAACGAGAATCTCCATATCCTGGTCCGGGGGGACCCGTCGACCTTTGAGGGTGGCGCCATGGGTGACGATCACCCACTTGCATGGTGCCAGGAATTCGATGGCGGACGATCGTTCTACTCGGCCCTGGGCCATTACGAGAAGGCCTATGAGGATGAATGGTTCATGGACACGATTTCCAATGCTATTGTATGGACTGCTCGTCGCGAGGATGACGTACGACCGAAATCGCCATCATCCTCTGCCTCTGTACGAGAAGTGTTGGATAGACACCGAGAACATGGATCATAATGATAAGTGAGACAAAGAGCCTGATGGGTATCTAAACGGCGACGCCGTGAATTGACTTAGGAAAAAAAATGATATAAATACAACAACGCAGCACGTATCAAGGCAACTGACTAGTCGGCCAGTCTGTCGCTAACCCCCCGCTGAAGCGCACTTCTAGCCTGGAGTCAAGAGGTTCTGACCAAATATCGTGCTTGAAGTCGGGGATGTGTAGCAGGATGCCTAGTTCTTGACTCGTGTACCAGCTGGCCCGATCCAGGTTGCCGGAGCCCAGGCAGAGGTACTCCCTGTCGACGAGTGTCATCTTCAAGTGCGACACAACCGGTTCCTCAGGGTCTCGCACCGCCTTCGCCTGCAGGTTCGGGCGGTAGTAGTAGATGTCGAGGCGGCCGGGACGTTGCATCTGAGACTCGGTATCAGCCGATCGTTTCTGGTCCCACTCGGCGCAGGCTTGACTGTATCGCTTAATGAGCGATCGCAGTGTCCATTCCGTCGTGGTGCAGGCCGTGACGAGCTGCTCGATTAACATCATGTTCTTACTGGTCCTGATACGGACGTCGACGCCGCGGCGCAGGGCGTCCAAAAGGGCGTCAATAACCGTTCGACAGGTTAGGTTCGGTGTCACGATGTCGATGTCAGTCCGGGCGCACGCGAACAAGGAGAGCAGCGCCGCGTTCAGAGGAGTGACCGGCGCCTCTTTCCTCCGGATCCAGGGAATATAACGGAAGCCGGGATTCCAGTGATGAGATGAAGGCAGGATGACAGCTGGACACGGTGGAAGACTTGAGAGATCGAGCCGGCGATATGCGGCCTCGGCCTCGGGAAGTAGATCTGTGACAGGCCGGTCGGTGTTTCCAATGGCAGGGCGTGGTTCACAGTTTGCTACCTCACTGCTCATGTCGGTATTGGGAATACCCCGAGGGCTGTCAGGCTCCCACACATGGATATAGAATCTCACGAGCTGCGCGACGGCTGCCCCTTCGAACCCGATGCAGCCTTCGAACCACGTCTCCCAGCTCACGTTGCAGCTGGGCATCCAGGCGTACTTGCGGTCGACAATGACAAACTTGGGATGCATGACGCTGAATGGCAGGAAGAACAGGCTCTTGACAGAGAGTTCGATGCGGGCTGCCTTGAGGGCGGTGTCTGGGGGCAACCCGAGCTTTGGCCATGCTGAAGTCGGATACGTGTATCCGTCCCTCGACCACGGATGGAAGATTTTCTGGAAGAAACTTCGCGACGAAAAACAGATACGAACACGTAACGTGGCGACTGCGTGTTCACCAGACGCTTGGATTGCTTCACGTTGCCGGTCGGCGAGAAGCTCGAGGGTCTCCTTGATGGCCGTCAGAGTATCGGACGGAGCCCAGAAGCAGGTAACCAAGATGACCTCATGCTTCGCAGTCAAGATGCCGGGGAGGAGAGTGTTTCTGTAGATGGTCGCGCCGTTGCCGATTGTGAGCGACTTGGGACTACATGTCGTCACAAGGCTTTTAGGGTCTGAGAGGTGATAATTGGGGAAGTCGTTCAGCTGTTCTCCGCGACTAGACTTGAGAGTATGAACCCAACGGTCCAAAAAGGCCGAGGGAAACGAGTGTGATGTCATCTCCGACACGGCAAACCGGGTGAGGCTGAAGCGTAAACCAGATGGGAAGTATCAGGGGTAGAGTTCTAAGCTCTGAGGGCGCGGCTTGGTGGGACGAATGACTGATGTTACACATGAGTGTTCAGTGCTTCGTGCTGTACGGACTGACGAAGAAGGCGGTGTCGTCATGTCATGGTAGGGGCATGGAAAGGGGGCGCGGCCCCTGTCAAGGCTCGCCTGGGGAAGGGGGAGCGAGGAAGCACAGGCGCAAGATGGGAGAGATGCAGTACTCTGATACGCGTACGCCAAGTTCGCATGGACCTCGTAATGAAGATGGTTTATCTAGGTATGCCTGTTACGAGTTCCGAGTGGAACCTCGTGCGAGAAGTCAAGGGGGTTAGAGATTGCTGCCGAGACGCCCGGCTTGATCCCGACAGAAGCAGGCCATTTTGGTGAGAGACTGAGGCGCAGTCGAGGGAAGCTTCAGCGATGCAGCGGCTATCCCAGAGCGGTGGCAACGTATACTTGCACTGTGTTGTGCCTTGTTGAGTGTGCACTAGGAGTTAGTTGTGAGTGCGACTTTCAACCGTGGTGCGTAATGCTGGTGAGGATCTGCGGCGCTAGTACGCAGCAACGCAAGTGCCATTGTCACAGACAGACAGCCGATCTGCTAGCGGCGATGCGTGGGATTAAGCAACCTTGAGAGTGTAAGCTCAGGGCAACGTTGTTGAATCTTCCCCAGTCAACCACAGGAAAGCGTTGGTACTGCAAGATTGCAGGTAGGATGACGGACTGGTTCCAAAGTAAAGCTGCCCGTCGTTGAATAAACAGAAGAAAGTGCCCAGCAAATTCGGTGATGCCAAGCTGACTGAGGGCAGCTAACGACGACCTGAATCGAGATGGGTTGGCTCAAGTAACCGCTTCCTCACCGAGGCAGATGATTTCGGATCGTGGTCCGTGAGCGTAAGGCCGGCTGGCGCATGTGCACTGCAGCGCAAGCCGACGTACGTGGCGCTCCAGAGAGATGTACCATGCTGCCCGTTCAAAGACTGGATGGCCAGACAAGGAGACCCGGAAGCGCACAGGATGATGAAAGACAGAGGGTGTATCAATGTCTGATTCGTCGCGGCCCAGAAGTATGTTGTTTGAGAGGTTCGCAAACTCAAGAGGACCTGCAACAGAGCCTGCAGGGGCCGGATTTCGAGAGCTGTCCAGCCCTCTTGCCGTGTGTCAAGTGATTCGGGGCGAAAACAAAGTTTCATCTCGGGTGACACACACAGAAAGAGAGAGAGAGAGAAACCTGTTTTTGAGGACAGGTGTAAACGGTGTCGGGGCGGGCTGGCATCGGCTGCTTGACTTGAGGCATAAGAACCGTACCTGTTGAGCATAGCGCACATCAATCGTTGGCAAGCGTGGCAGGTGGCAGGCGACACGCCCATTTGCCATATGCGCTTGCTGTTAGCGGTTGATTTGTATGGAATGGCCTGGCCCCCCATACGGATGCCCAAGGTAGACCGGCTCAAGCGGACACTTGGATCAAGTCGGAGAAAGTTCCCACGTGATGTAGGGAGATAGCAAACCTGGGGTAGCAGCGGCCTCTGGTTTTCAAGCCATCGCATGATGGCGATTGATGGTTCCGTCGTCCGTCATGTTGACCACCAGAGCAAGACAAGACGAAGAGACAATAGGTCAGTGAACTCACCTAGTAGGTATGCTGTGTGATCCCATGTTCAAGGTAGCGCTCGCAAAGGTGTGAAAAGCAAGAGGATGAGGAACGGCGGGGTCCTGCCTGAGTCCCCAGCAGCCGTCTCGACTTAGCACAGCCCTTACCCCGTGTGGGCGGTGGTTAGAGGAGGAGATGGTAGGCGTTCCTGGATCCTGGTTTCAAGGGTGGCGTGTGCGCGTTGAGTGTGCCATTCGACTGGTTCACAAGTTTCGAGCCCCAAACTGCGGGAGACATAGGAGAGCGACAAGTGCAAGCGAACGCTGGGTCCGCTTGTCACTCTGGCCGAGTGGGCTGGCTCGGTAGTGACGGATGAAAAGACGGCGACTGTGGGAGAGGAGAGGAGAGGGTCGTGTCACGAATCCACATGGCCGCGACATAGCACCGGGCGTGTATTGCCGACGAGACTGCACATCAACCACCGGAAGGTAATCGTTGTGACGGCAAATGTATGAGAGACGGCCCAGCCACTGGAGAAAATTCGGAGAAGCCAAAACGTCAGGCTTGGCACCAAGAGGCTGCGAAACGACAGAAGACCAATGTTTGTTGCGTGGCATGTTTGTTGGTTGGACAGAGAGGGAGAATGAGCCGTTGATGAGGTGGTGTGGCGGCGGCTGCACTTCTTACTAGCAGGTAGCCAACGGGGGTCAGTCCAAGTCCAGCCAGTTCCAGCCGCTTGGGACGTCAGCTGTGGTGCGAGTGCTTCCTTCCTTCTCTCGCATCACATCTGAGAATAAGCATTCTTGCTTGGTTGAATCGATAAGGTACGTAGCTGCCTGCCTGCCTGCCTGCCTGCCTAGGTAGGTGAGTAGTTGTTTCCCCTCGCAGGCATGCAGAGGGGAAGGAGAATGAGAAGGAGAAGGAACGCCTGGGACGAAAGCAACACCCGTTTCGTTTCGTTTCCCCTCTGGTTCTGCGAGATTGAGGCAATTCCAGCAGCCCTCCACATACCTCGAGTCCCTCCATATCGGCAAGCCAAGCATGTCGTCGCGATATAGCTCCCCCCTCTTCTCTCTTCTTTCGCTAAGGGAGCCCGTGCCGCCGGAGACGACAGTTGGATACGGTTGAATACCTCCACCTGATCCCTACAACCAATTCTTTCCTAGCGAAGGGAGGTAGGTCGCTGGCCGCGAAGCGCAAAGCATGCTGGTTTTGTAAACATAGCTAGCCGGTCGAGGGAAGTGAGTGTGCAGCGCAGCGTAGTGCGGTGCAGATCCAGAGCGCGCGGGCTCCCGCTGTCAATTAACCCGGCTGGCTGTGACCGACAAGCCGTAATCAATCAGTCACCCAACAGATGCAGCTGCTGCCGAAAAGATAGCCATTGTGCTATTTGCGGGAAACCCCGTCGGCCTTCTGGACCCTTTTCTCCTGTGTCCTATCCTGTTCCGGTCCCCCTTGCCTTGCAATGGCCAACCTGAAAGCTGGGAGGCGGGTACCGTTGTGGAAGATGTACACGCCCTTCCACCTTATAGAAAGCCCGGAATCAGGTTGTTCCCCTTGAATGGTACACCCGCTGCGTGGGCCGTACCCCGCCTCCAATCTCTGTCCCTTCTCGAACCTGAGAGAGCGGGGCCACACTCCTACCCCCCCCCCCCCCCCCCCCCATCGGAGCACTTCCCACCCTCGGCGGTTGAATCCCCCTGCTCTCGTGCCACCACCCATATTTCTCAGCGGCTCAGCAATCCAATGGGCCTATCAATTATTGGGAATCAAACCCCTTTAAGATATGGTAAGCCGGCCTGGCTGGAAAACCGGCAAACCGAAGTGATATCTGGCGGCGTATCACTGTGCACTCTAGTACTTTCTTGCATCTTTCCATTCTGCCAAATACGCAGTGTACTGGTAGGTATGCACGCACACGTACGGATCAAGCTAGTGAGGTAGGTAGATGGTGCACTCTAATCTGGTCAGGACTTTCATGCAGAAGACGTGGCCAAGCGGACGTCAGGGTAAATCGAGTGGCGTTCACCAGTTGATGAGATGTCAGGAGCAGCAAAACTGAGCAGCAACCGTAACAAACCCGAGAAACGTCTCCGGGTTGCTCGTTCACATAAGTAGCTACCTAGGTAGGCAATTACCAGACCCGTACACGTACACAATGCAATCCCACGACAAGGTACGTACACTGCATCTTGTCATCCTTAAACTCTGAGCTTGAACTCTGAATGCCTGGTGGCCACTGGCCTGCAACCCCCCCCCCCCCCCTCTCTCTTTCCGTCCTTTCCGTCCTTCTGTCTTTCCTCTTCCCTCGTTTAGTCCTAATGTCCTGCGTTCTTTCCCAAGTCATTGTGCCTTCTTAGGTAGGTAGGAAGGAAGGCTGCTGCTGTCGTGTGTCTCCTTCCCGCTCTCCCAAGATCTAGAGCCCTCTTGCTGCCCACCCACCCCCTTCCTTGCCTGGAGGCGAGTGAAGAGTTCCAGGTGCAGGGACTGGCCCCCGACATACCCCACTCGATACGTACCTGCATGCCTTAGCTCGTGCCTTAGCTCGCCTCCAAAACCCACCTCATTCCACCAGAGCATTGAGAGACCTGGAACTGGGCACTCACACAAACCTCCCGACGCTCCTCAGCACCAGGGAGGGCAGTTACGGATCTTCCTCTGCCACGAATACGGATCACTTGCCCCTCTGACGGAATTCTGGTGCACAGCCTGGACCAACAATCACATCTGCTGCCCCATCTTTGCTCTACCTAGGTAGTCGATGTACGATGTACCTACCTACCTACCTAGCTACTGTACTTAGGTAGCATGCGTGAACGGAGCCGTTTACTCATTAACCGCGTCTCCCTGCTCCTCGAAGCCTACTCACCTACCATACCTACACAGTACACCTTCTCTCGTTTTTTATAATCATCTACCATCCTTCTCCAGTCCGCACCCCCGCCTCCCCCCTTCCACCGTCCCTCTTATTCCTCTTCTGCTGCTGCTTCACACCATTACCTCACGGTCACCAAATCTTTCTTTTCCTTGGTCCATGCATGCATTGTCGACCTGTATGATATCCTTCTGGCCACCATTTTCTCTTCTACCCGTTGCTCCAACACCACCCCCCAACTCTCACCTTCTCACGCACGCCCTCCGTCAGAAACCACCTTCACTTTACGACGTCTCCAGCCATTTCTGCCAACAAACCTCCCTGCGTCAATATCCGTTCTTTACTACAACCCGTTGAATGCTGGCATCGACCAAATCAAACTTCGACCTTATCTCCTAATACCGTTTGTCGACAGTCCGACTCCTCCCTAAACCGACACGTTACCCTCGCTCAACCAATCCACTTCCCCAGACGCAGACGAATCCAACCGCAGCCATGAACTTCACCAAGAAATTTGACCGCGCCTTCCAGTGGGCCGGCGAAAAGATGGGTTCCGAGTCCAAGACAGGCCAAACAGACGAGTTCAGGAACCTGGAGATGGAGATGCAGTTGCGATATGATGGTACGAGTGCCAAACTACCCTCTTTCACCTCGCCTGGCCGCTGCGTAACCTCAGTACTAATACGATGGTCCGCTAGGAATGGAAAGACTCCAGAAATCTACAAACACGTACGTCAAATGGATCGCCCGCCGCGGCGAGGCTGCCGACGACAAGGAGAAGGGGCTCCCAATTGCATTCGTCGGCCGCATGATGATTTCTCACGGCGAGGAATTCGAGCCCGACTCTGAGTTCGGCGCCTGCCTGCTCTGTACGTTTCCCTCTTCCGAACTCTCCGCTACCCACATCGACCACTAACCTCGTCTCGCATCGTAGCTTTTGGTCGAACAAACGAACGCCTCGCCGGCATCCAGGAAAACTATGCCGCTGACATCACCGATAACTGGCTCATCTCTGTCGAGAGATCGCTGGCCATGATGAAAGAGTACCAGGTACGTACCGACGTCATTGCTTGCCCAATTGTGGTTTCAGCCCGTCCCATCTGACACACTCTCTGTAGGCCGCACGGAAGAAGCTCGAGTCGCGCCGGTTGGCCTACGATGCGAGTATCAGCAAGATGCAGAAGGCGAAGCGCGAGGATTTCCGTCTCGAGGAGGAACTCCGCACTGCCCGCGCCAAGTACGAGGAGGCTGGCGAGGATGTCATGCGCCGCATGCAAGATATCAAGGACGCCGAGGCCGACAACGTTCGCGACTTGACCAGTCTCCTCGACGCCGAATTGAGCTACCACGAGCGCTGCGCCGAAGAGCTGCGCCGTCTGCGCCAGAACTGGGCCGGAAATAACGTATCTTCATCGCCGAGCGACCGGCGCAACAACAACGGCCGCGGAAGGTCCAACACAACCCGTTCCTTCAACGATTACTCAGCCCGCGGTAATCATGTCGAGGAAGAGCCCGAGCCGATGCCCGTCCGCATGCCAATTCGCTCCAACCGATCCGAGGCCAAGTTCGGCGCTTCGGCAGACACGACCCCGAGGCCGTCCATTGCTAGGTCCCAGACGTTCCAGGGCCCAGCTGCTGTCGATCGCCGACCTTCTGCCGCCACGCCACCAGTGCCTAGCGCTTCCCACATTGGATCTCTCCGCGGAAATTTGAGGCCAACAGGCAGACCACTGGCGGCCGACGTCTTTGCAGACCGCGATGATGACCACATGACGGTGAGCGGCAGTGGCAGCCCGGAATGGAACGACCGCAGCGCAAGCCCAGCAACGAGTATGGGGAGCAGCTTGACTAGAAGCACAAGCAACCTCCAGTCCAAGAAAGCGCCGCCACCACCCCCTCCGAGCCGAGCCAAGAAGCCGGCTCCCCCGATCCCTGCCAAGCGGGAGGTTGGATACTAGATATACACCGATTTTTGAGTCTCGACGGACCGAGGGGTTTGCGGGTGTAGCGTAGTGATGTGCGATAATTTTCCGTCTGGGTGCATCAATAGACTGTACATTCCTAGCCGGAATAGTGTCTCCGAGAGGAGGACGGCGTTTGGGCGTGTTGAAATATCCGTGGGCTGGATCCGCAGTGGTAGGTTCCTACACCACATCGTCTCTGATGACGAGGAACGGGTTTGAGATGGGGTGGCCAGGTTCAAGGGTCCGTAGCGTTATAAGTATTGGGCGTGATTCCACAATTAAACTATTGACAATGCTCACCATTACCTTGTGAGATTGTTTGACTTGGCATGTGAACACTGGCAGCTTCCTGCTGGTCCATGAACAAAATTACAGGTGATCGTTGTTGTATGTGGTATTCGCAGCTACCTCTCCTCTCTTTGTTATCTAGTCATGCTTGTGTTGACTTACAGAAATCAAGTACATATGTTCCTAGCATCCTGTTTAGCAAGTTACGTTTCCGCAGAGCCATTTAGCTTGTCAACCCTTACTGTTCGGAGAGCCGGACTTGGTCACGGCGCGAGGCGTCAAGCCACCGCCGGGTCCTCTCCTTTTCCACGCCACGTGATATGAATCGTGGCTCAAGCTTCCCGTCTAGCGCCTATCTGTTTGTCAACGATAAGATCCGTCATTTGCACTTTTGCTTCCTGCCCGCCAATTCTCAACTTCACTTCAATAGTTGCTGGTCGCAGCGCCGACTGTAATATCCAATTCCTCCTCGCCGCAAAATCCTCGATCGCAGCAGAAAGCTAGCCAGGCATCTCGGCAACCTCGATCGCTTGCCACCCGAATTGACCTTGATCTCGTCCCGCGTACCAGCGACTGCTCATATACAACTCGATCGCAACCCCCCCACCTACCCAGTACGAAGCCGCCGCCATGGCGACCGAAGATGCGCGTTACCGGCTCTCCACGCAGTATCGATTATGGTCCTTCTCCCCGTCGAAACTAGCGGAGCTCCGCGAACAGACGAACTCTCTTGCACGAACCCACATCACCAGCCGCCTCATCGAGACGAAGCGAGTTGATACAGAAGTCGAGCCTTTGCCCGAATTCTTGACACCCGCTGAAGAAACACAGCTGCTGAAGGTCTTCACGGTTGACCTCATTCGTGCGGCCGATTTCTGCGGCCTGCCAACCGAAGTCAGAGCCACCGCGACTGTCTTCTTGCGTCGCTTTTATACCACCAACTCCATCATGACATATCCGCCTCAGGACGTCCTCAAGACATGCTTGTTCTTCGGAAGCAAGGCGGAAGGGTTGTACACAAGGCTCGCAAAACTTGCCGAAAAGTTTCCCAACACGACCGAGGAGGAGATCTTGGCCGGGGAGTTCCTGCTTTGTCAGGGTGTCAGGTTCGCTTTCGACGTCCGACATCCCTTCCGTGCACTGGAAGGCGCCATACTTGAACTTCGACGACACGCCGACCTCGAGGTACGCTAGATACCGAGAACAGACCATGTTTGCCTAGAGTTTTAACAAGTGACGCAGAAAGCTCGAATCGACTCGGCTCATTTCCGTGCGCGGGCTGTGCTAAAATTCAGCTCCCTCGTTACCGATGCATACTTTCATTACACGCCTAGCCAAATCATGCTGGCTGCGCTTTCGCTTACCGATCGAGGGTTGGCCGAGAGGCTAGTCCAGAGCGCGTTTTCCCCTAGCCAGAACAATGCTTCAAGCGAAGACGGAGTAGACTCTACGGCGCGACACGATGTACGAGACAAGGTGATGGATGCAATAGAATCGTGCCGAGAAATGCTAGCGACCGAGCCTCCTGAGAGATTGGACGAGTATTGGGGAACTGTAAGTTGGAACACGCCAAATCACGCTGACGATTATCGGGCATCTTCTTTAACGCCATGAGCTGGTGCTGACATGCTGCATAGCCGGAGAGTACCAAATTGATTAAACCGCTCTTGCGAAAGCTCAAGAAATGTAGGGATCCTGATCGGGCCGATCTCGTGGCTCTGCAGAAAGCTAGACGCGAGTTGGCATCGCAGAAGGATCCTCGGCGTCCGAAGACCGAGGGCGACGGTGGGAATGGCAGGGCACTCGGCGGGAACGATGCGCGGGACGCCAAGCGGAGGAAAGTCGCTGAGGGCGACGACGTCTTCGGGCCGGCGTTAGGCTAGAGGAGCGGGCGCTGAGCTGGAACGCGAAACTGGCCTGTACTGCCGTCATCGGGCGGCAGGATTGCCCAAAGGATCGCGTGACGTGACGAAGTCAGGATAGATGCGACAACCGCCAAGGCTACAAAAACGTGAGTGGACTGGACGCAGTGTCCTAATTCAAACATACGAAAAGCGATACCCAATAGTTCGTCAGTTCAGCCCTCATACGCCCCGGAATTGGTCCACGACGTGGCCATGATTAAGGTTTCCTTGTGTTCCTAATTGAAGGCGTGCGTCCCCTGTCATTGGCCAGTCGCCAGATGGTTCATTGGTACCTTGAGAGATGTTCGTCTAGACATAGCCGGAGGCCTCAGCGGAGTTCAACTCTACCTATTGTTCTCGGAGTGCACGGGACAAAAAACAGGGCCAGCCAGCATGTAGACGCCAAGCAATTATTGCACGAGTAGGAATGCGCCATTAGAGAAATGGATGGAACAAGGGCCAGAACCGCGATCGTTCAGATGTATCGATGACGCACCGTTCCGCTGACAACATCTCAGAGTTTGCTGTTGATTTGGGTGTCGGCCGGCACAGCCGGCCTCGCGGTGTCCTTGGAACCCAGGAACCCTGGAAACCTATGCAGCTACTTGCTTGGGCATGCTTTCTACTTACTTTGAACAGCACCCTAGTCCATGCGCGGAGGCAGTGTCTCCTACGTTCATTGGAACACCATGGAAAAGAGGCACCAAGATCAAGGGGGAAGGGGAATAGCCCGACGGAGCCCTGCATTAGACAGCAGCTGGACGGCGCGGGGAAGCGGGGTCAGTCACAACTCAGCACCGATTCCACCTCCTCTTCTTCCCCCTTCATGTTGCTGGTCGTTTCGACCAAAGCAACTGGCAGTTGCCGATATCGTAAGGATATCATTCCGGATCGTGGTCGAACCTTGTTAGGCACATAGCAGGAAACAGAATCCCGCGAGGCAAGATGGTCTGAAATCTAGAACCTTATTTCTGCTTTCCCTCGAAAGCTCAGCCAGCCGTCAAGATATGGAATGGCTTCCTAACACGAATCAAAGTAAGCGGCACACCAAGAACGACTGGTCCCCAGTACCGCATCATCGGAGCCCCTGTCGATTCCCAAAGGCGCTAAGCCGTCTATCCTGACGACATCGATTTTTTTTGCGCTGTGCCCGACTGGGGCGAGCTTACGCAGTTCCCAAGACACGGCGTGTTGTCAATGGCGTCCAGTGTCTTGAATGTCACTCCATGACCATTGGATCTACGGATACTTCCAGCAGTTATGGGATTCCTGGCATTCCGCACGTTCTGGTAATTTCTAGATTTGCGGCCTTGGGGAATGCCAATCAGTATGCCATGGCGCCCAAGGATTGCTCCCTAGCTCGGGCGGATAGCTTCCGCCTGTTCCATCAGCTGCTTCTTACGTATATGGCTTACTACAAAGTGGTAACCGAAAGGTCTTGGGGCTTCCAAGCACCTAGGCAAGACACGGAATACTGTTTTTGCCTGCCAGCTAGCACATTGAGTTGGAAATCCACATCGTTGCCAGCCGGGCATCCTCTGATCGTTTACCTAGGCAGATGATCAATGTATCCCTTTTTGCCTACACACTGGGTTAAGACGACACTTTCATGACCAACTCGACACCTGCCTAGCCGAACATCTAGTTAAAGCCGCATGATAGCTAACATTCAGCGTCGTGTCGTCTTACAAGCCAGGGATGTCTTTTGTGTTCCACCCCAGTACCTTACCCCCCCACCCCCTTCTCATGCAGTCCAATCCTGATCCCTGGCTTGGTCGTGATGCAGACCAAGACCCTAGTTTAGGATGCAAGAAACCCCGACGAACTGTGATTCTCACCAGGCCCGGGCAACAACCACCTTTACTTGGTAACCCACGACGACGGGATTGGTTACCCCTCGGCCGAACATTCACCAAGGTGGTTGTCATGATCTGTGCCAAGGGCAGAGCGAATGATCCGGGGGTACTTGAAATGCTTAAAGAGCGGTCTTCTGCCGCTTCTTCGGTCTGACTTTTCTCTTTGCTTGGTAGGTCTAGACTCGCACAGCTTTACTGATATCCATCTCTTCCTCCTTCTCTTAAGAGCAGCACTCCAGCCAAAGTTAGACCACAGCTTTCTGTACCGAAAAAAAACAACACATAATGCAGGTGAAGAACATCCTTTCACTGGCCTTGGCCAGTGTTGCGTTCGCCCAGGACGGCGGCCAACCGAGCTTGACCGCCGCTCTTGCTGCCCAAAACTCCAGCTTGTCAGCGCTCACTAGTACGTACTCGCGTCTTCTCTAGTTGTTTACTAGACCAAATCCCTAACCTGTCATAGCCCTTCTTAGTAGCCAGCCAGGCCTTGTCCAGGCTCTCTCACAGGCCCAGAACATCACCATACTGGCCCCTAACAACCAGGCCCTCGAAGCGTTCATCGCTAGCGCCGGCGCTGCTGCCACAGACGCTGGCCTCGTTGCCGCTATTCTTCAGTATCACGTTCTGAACGGCACGTACTATGCATCGCAATTCACCGAGGAGCCTCAGTTTATCCCTACTCTTCTCCGGAACGAGACCTACACAAATGTCACCGGAGGCCAGCGCGTCCAGGCTCAGACCGTTGACGGTAAAGTCACTTTCTACTCAGCTCTGAAAGAGATCTCAACCGTTGCCACTGGCAATGTCAACTTCACCTCCGGTACTATACATGTAATTGACAAGGTTCTGAGCGTTCCTATGGGCATCGCCGACACACTCCGCGCTGCTAATCTCACCGCCGCCCTGGGCGCCGTCCAGGCAGCTAACGTTACTGGAGCCCTCACCTCCGCCAAGGACCTCACCATCTTCATTCCTAACAACGAGGCCTTCCGTGCCATCGGCAACCTCTCCGCCGCTCTTGGCCCTGAGCTTCCTAAGATCCTCCAGTACCATGTGGTCGCTGGCTCTGTTCTTTACAGCCCTGATATCACCAATACCTCGTTGACCACCCTCAACGGCGCCAATATCACCATCAGCGTCATTAACGAGAACGTATTTGTCAACGACGCCAAGGTCATCACACCCAACGTTCTTGTTGCCAACGGTGTAGTCCATGTCATCGACAAGTGAGTTTTCCTGACCAGCTTAAGGAACATTGCCCAGTACTAACATGATACGTGTAGCCTCCTGAACCCTAACAATACTGAAACTAAGCCTGACACATCCGCCGTCAGCCGCCCGCCCGCCTACACCGATGCTGGCCCTGCTACAGATGGCAGCAATCCATTCACCAGCGGTGTCACTGGCCCAACCTCTGTCGCCCCCATCGCTACTGAGACCGGCGCCAACAACGGCGGTGGCGTTCGCTCTACCTCCTCTTCCACCGAGGCTGCGCCTATGCGCACTGCTGCGGTCGGTGCCGCTGCTTTGTTTGGAGGAATGGCTGCGTACATAAACATCTAGGTTAAAGTACAGAAAGATAGTCTGTAATCGATACCAGGAAGTTACTCGTTAGAGTAACAGCACCGAGTGGGCACACGAAGGACTGTGGAAGACTAAACATCGACAGGTTATTACCTACATTCATTCTCTTAGTTCTCAATACCCCAGTGGAGGCGAAGACGTCTCAGGATGCGGACGGTTGTACAGTGTGGGGGTAATTTTAGCCAATGCAATGGACTTACATATTTCAACGAAATGAAGTTAATCATCGATGCTATTTGCACAATTCTAAGGTCGTTTAGCCTATAGCTGCGCGCCAAACACTTTCAATACGGGTGATATCTTTAGTTCGGTCATATCGAACCATGTCATTAATACCTCACTCAATGTTTTGCAGGTAGGCAAGAAATGTTCCAATACGTTTGTTGAGGGCCTCTCGACGAGGTGCATACAAGAGAAACAGATCAATGAACGGCCAACGCAACGTTACATTTTAAATTTTGCCCAGCATCGTCATGACCAAGTTTGTGGGGGACCGTAACCTATAGCCCAAACTACGGATGCAATCATGCTGCACGGAGTATTAACTGTTCGTAGATTCAAGGCCGGGAGGTTTTCTCGAGGACCCTTCCCGCAAACCTTCATTGCCGGGCATATGTTGTATCAGGTAAAATATTACAATGTCATGGTCGCCGGAATGTCGAGAACCGTAGACGAATTACAAGTATGACGGCGATCTCGGCGACTGTTGCTTGATACTTACTATGCCGTCTAGCAGGAAGCGATCAATGACCGAGTTTCATTCAATTACTGTGGTACGCATTCTGGTATTACTTCTAAACTTCTTCGTTTCCTTATTTCTGCGAAAGGTTGCGCTTGAAGACAAGTCAGTTTGTTGATGGGAAGTGTCCCGAAGCTAGGAATAACCTCGTGTGGCAAAATCCAGTTGTGTTTGCCATGAATGTGGCTCACCACATGCAGGCCTAGAGGTCTGCGCCTATGTTATATATAACAAGGTAGTAACTTTCTATAATATACTAATAACAGAACTCTCTGTCTAACACTGTTGCGCCTACACAAGTTACAATATTTAAGAAAATAGACTTCACTACACGAACTTGTGCACAGAATAGAGTCAAGCAGGGAGACGGCCGTACAGCTATACTATGTACACCGAAGAACTGTTTTCCATCACAATGGGATTGCACTCCTTTGTTTCCTCCAAAATTTATAGAAAAACTAGAGGTGGGCCCATCTCGGCAGAAATCTGGTTGCTCCGCAGTCAACAGGATATAAATGAATTTTTAGAGTTTTTAAATAGCGCTTTAGTTACTCCATATAGACCTACAGGTTAGTTATCTACGGACAACACTTAAACCCGTCCGCAGAACCCGTAGAGCTCATTCAGGATCTTATGAGATCTGTTGCTAGAACCAAGTATGCGTTTTCGGACGCCGTCAAAACCCCGGTGGGAATCTAAGCAAACCCCGCAACAGAATCTCAGAAAATAAGGGGAGCTAATCAGGGATTCAAATTACTAAGGCAGGTGTTGTGTTATATTCTCGGAGAAATATTTAGAACTAGAAGTTAGAATCTAAGGCCAGTTTCTATTTGTCTTTTTTACATTATCCTAATTCTGAAGATATTCTATTACAAACTGCTGCGTCTATTATACAGAATCAAAATAACAAGGTTACTATATAAAAAAAGAGGTTGCTAGCCTATAACACAAACAGTATCGCTTTTGGCTTTCATATATAGAAATACTAACTAATTAATTTGATAGCCTATACCACTAGAACAGTATATAATAGCAAGAGTAAGATGAATTAATAGCCTTAAATTAAGACTTTATAATAGTACTTTTTTTTCTCTCTATTTACATTACTATAAAAAGTCAATATTACTACTAATGTACAAGTATAGTAAGCAGTAGATTATAGTAAGTAGTGTATCTTAGGAAAAGTAGAGACATTCTAGGGAGGATGTATACAAAATTGCTATTATAGAGCTACTAGAGCTTCTTACTAATTTTATAGCGGTAGATTCATATATATTCTATGTAAGGTATCTGTAATTTCTCTATAGTATACTACTTAGTATAATAGACTACTTACTATATATATATATATATATATTACAATATAATGGTTACTGTTAAATAAACTCTTATATAAGCTTCAAGTCTAGGTAATTATAATGCTTGTCTTTGTTGGACAATGGATATGTTAGTGATGTATGTACACTAGTGTATGTTTGTTCACTAGAAGACCAACCAGCAAGGAAAAGGCATTAGCACACTTAGCCGAGGACATTTACTGTTGCAACTCTTTTAGACCCAATGCGTCCACATCGTCCCAGCAGGGATTAGGAGTAGTCAACAAGGTCAGCCCGACCAAGATAGTCGCTAGTGAAGCATAGCCTCAATCTCAAGGACACTGGTCAGCTGTGGTTGGAGGTATTAGAGACTGATAAGTTAGGCTGATAGAAGTGCTGAATGACTGAAAACTCATCTGTGTTAGAATGGGCTTCGACGGTTGGCGGGACTCGAGGCCAGCCTGGTTACGCTTATTGAATCATTTGAGGCCCGATGAGCCAACATATCTCATCTATGTATCTGCGTTGTGCACACACAAAAACGCACAATTTACTACGCCTGGCGGCAAAGTCAAAAGAGCACCTAAACTAATTATGTATACATTGCCGAGCTAGTGTCCTTGTCTGCTGACCAAAACCCCTAGGTAATATTAGTTAGTTGAAAAATCCGTCACTTAAGTAGTATGTCCGTGCTATCACAATTGCATATAGAAGAACCTCATTAGTCTCAATATAAATGATCATAATTTCATTCCCTACAGGCCAAACCACTTCAAGTCCTCGTCCCTCTGGACGGGTACAGTATGCCCAACCCCTTGCGCAGAGATACCCACAAGTTTGGTACCATCGCCATAGGTCATCTGCGTGTAGCCGCTGGCGCTCGTTTTGTTCCCAGTGAAGCTAACACCATGGATAGTGGACCACTCCTTGAGCTGCTCGGCAAGGTTAGGGTACCTAACGACCGAGTCTGCCGTGCCGTGGTATGTCTGGAGCCGTGGGTAAGTCCCAGAGTAACCAGGATACATATCACGCACCTGCGCAGCCCATTGCGCACCAGTTTTATTGATTTGACCATTGGCGCACCTCGGGTCAGCACTGATAGGACTTGAGCCTGGAGAGCCAGCCAGGCATCCTGCTGCAACACCTGAATAACATGTTGCTGCAGCAAATATATCCGGGTATGTGGCGGAAAGCACATTAGTCATCATACAGCCTGACGAGCTTCCTGTTACAAAGATACGCTTTGGGTCGGCGTTATAGCGCGTAATTGCGTAGCGGACCATGTTGGCTAGACCAGCAGAGTCGCCACCACCGTCGTGTCTAAGGGTGGCCGAGCTGGCGACATCCCAGCAGTTGAAGTCTTTGGTAGAAGACGGATAGATAACAACGAAGGTACGCTTTGAGTCAGAGGGCGTAATATAGTTGGCTTGATTGGCATAGCTTGGGCCGGAGCCACCGCAGGGGTGAAGGGCAAGGATTATGGCCGGAGAGGCAGCGAGGTTCGCAGGAACAGAGATATCCATTGTCAGACCGGTCGGATTAGAACCGAAGTTCGTAACCCGCTGTAAGGCTGCCTCGATTGGGACAGGGAGGACGGCAAGGAAGAGGCTTGAGAGACGCATCTTGGCAAGCCGAGTGACGATGGCTGGAATCTGTGCTAATAGTGAAACTGAAGTTTAAGAGTGGTGATTTAGATCTCTTCACTAAATTCCCTAAATCAAGAAGCAGGTCTTGTTTATATAGAAAGACAGGACGTAGCTTAAAGGAGTTAATGGAGCCTTGGCCGCCGTGCCGCCTTAGCCTAAATGTATAGTGTCGGCTAAAGTGATTATCACTAAGACTTTCTTAAGCATTTCATCTATCCCCTATACTCTAACGCAGCTATAATTTCTTTATGGGGTATACAACCCTAAGAGCCCTGCATGTGATAGGTCGTTAAGATCCCAGATTGAGTAGCAGCTATAGCGAGAGATTTAAGCCAGCTAGATTAGGAAGCTTGGCGGGTTATCCTGCCTCTAGGGCAGGGATGGCTCTAGAACATCGGCAAAGGCGTCGGTAGTTGGTAAATGGAAAGGCAATTATCCGGGCGATCACCGGAGTATTATCCGCCAATTGCCTGGCTAGTTCCTGTCGATGAGCTGACGACTTATTGATTGGCTTCGCCTGTCAATGCTTGGGCTGACCTGTGCTACATCTTAATATATTAATATAGTGTAGAATACCTGATAACGTAGAGTAACTGCTAAGTCTAACTTTACCTTAACTACAGCGCGAGCGAATTTTTGGCACTAGAACGTTAGTAGCAATAGAGTTGCTACTAGGCCGCAGGTTGACACTCTAGTGATAATAGCTGTTAAATAAGGTCCTGTAGGGTTACAGGCAGGCCACACCAAATGAGCGATATCTTAAAGCCTATTATCTAAGTGTTTATTAACTTCTAATTCTGTCTTTGATTACCTTCTGTCTAGCTATATCTATATCTATTATGTAGACTTAGGGTCCTATACCTTTACTTGTTTAAAATGTTAAATACTCGGAGACTAAATAAATAATAGGAGCTTGCTAGCTGACCTTCTATTTTTCCCTCTGTCTACAATTATTACTTTTGCTTTAGCTAGGTCTGACGATCCCTTCTCCTCAGGTTAGCCCTTCCTAGTATTTAATTATATTGAAGTCTGCCTCCCATTTACTGTCTGTAGCTTTTACGCCTTGAAGTTTGTTTCTGTCAACAGTAATGACTGGATTCAAATCTCTGCCTTTAGGACCCTGCCCAGGAGATGAACTTTTCTACACACTTGTGTACTAAGCACTGTGACGTTGTCAATCGCCAGCTTAGGCGGTGTTAATCTAAGCTTTGTCTCTTACTTTACTACGAAAATGAAGTCTGTTAGCAATGCCGGTGTTCTTTAGGGCGCTTTTTGAAGCTGGCTTGTTTTCTTAAACGCAAAGGTATAGCGCAACAGGTTGCTATCATTGTACGCCTTGGACGCAAAAGTAAGGTTGACTGGTGTTCCTGCGTTGGCCATGGTCCCCATTGGCACACTGACTGTTGGAATTCCCAGCAAGCGGATTGTACAGTTTCCGTTCGAGTAGAGGACGCTATTACGCCACGCTTCTGTCGCCAAGACCTCGCTGACATCCGCATCCACTTTTCCTACATCCCCGTTGCACGGCCACACTATGACGTCTAGGCCAAGGGCATCCAGCTAATCTTTGAAGTTCGCCTTCCGTCTGGACTCAAGATTATTCAGAGCCTGACCTAGGCCTGGGATATCGTAAGTGGGCATGCGGTTGGCGGTGATGTGCGCAACGACATCCGTATGTCGGACGAGGGGGTCGCCTGACTTAGACTTGTCTGGGAGTGATCCTGGCGGACGGGGGAAAATGGCGGTCGAAGGAGCCTGTGAAAGACGATCGCTGCACCAGGGCGGCGCTGGGTCATCTTTGCTGAACCGGACGGTGTCAATGACCCCGGTATCTTGAAACTTTGTGACAACCAGGAAATTGACTTTTTAAACGCTGGCGCCGAGCCCTTCCAAGATTCTCCAGGCGTTGTTCTAAAGATCAATAACAGGTTAGCAGGTGTAGACTTTCCTGGCAGAGGGGTCGCCATTGAGTGAGCTAATGTATATTTTAGGTACGCTAATATTTTACCTACAAGAGCCCTAGGGTTAAAAGGTCCTTAAGTTAAAGCACTAACTTATGGTCTACACCCCTATATAGTCTATCTAAGAGTATTACTATTATAGCTAATATAGTATATAAGTAAATAGTTTATATAAGTAAATAGTCTACTTTTACCCCTCTTGTATAATAATATAGAAGAAAGATTATATTATAATATTAAGTATTGTAGATGAATATTAGAGTTATTAGACTAACCCTAATGACTTCTTACTAGTAAATACTTAGATAATTAGCTATAGATCTGCCAAGAATTCTCAGTAATGTCAGGTGCCAGAGGTGGGGGCACCAGGGGACCACCAGCTGTGGGGCCGTGACCGGGAAAACTATCATCCGAGGGTTACACAAAAGCAGAGTTTGCAGGAACAGGAGAATTAGGAGAAAGCAGATCGGAAAATAGTCACAATTGACCCCTAACTACGCTATTCGTGGACTCCTCTACTCGGTACTGTAACCCCTCTGACAAGTAATAATTTTGTTAATTTAACTAACTAACCTTTAGTTATAATTACTTTATTAATTTATGCTTCTATTTTAAGGTCTTTGTAGATTAGGTCCAAGAGTTATAAGACCTATGTATTAATATATATATTATTGTTGTTAGACGTTGTTGTAGGTGTAGGTGGTTTTCCTGTATATTACTATTCTTCTTTTTCTTTACTAGGTGGCCTAGATGCCCTGCCCTTTCTTAGTGTCTAGCTTACTATATTATTCAATATACTATACATAACTACATAATTATACATTATTAGTTAAGAACATAAGAAGTAAGTTTAAGCTTACTATATTTATATTACCTAGTAGTTCTCTTGTAGAAGTGTATCATTATATCTTTTCTATTTATACCTACTACCTATAAAAACCTTAAGTTCTAATACTATACATAAGTTAAAATAAGCTTAAGAGGCTTAGTAACTGGGTTATAATATAACTGAAAAGTCTATTGTTAACAAAGGGTGTCAAGTCAAACTTGTTATACACCTAGGCTATTAGACAGATAAAACGCCAGTGACGCGTACGTCACGACTGCTTGCGCCAACATACACCTTGTAGTCTCCTTTCTGCAAAACCCAATTCTGTTGTACCACGTCCCACACACTTAAGTCTCTCCGAGTGAGCGGGAAGCTAACCGTTTTGCTCTCCAGAGGATTCAAGGGCACCTTCTCAAACCCGCGCAGCTGCTTCTCTGGGGCACCAGGGATGCCGACGTAGAGCTGAGGGACCTCAGGAGCGGATACATTGCCCATATTCTTGACGTCCACACTTGCAACAGCAACGACGTCCCACAGGGAAGATGCACCGCCTTCTGCGGGTTCAGAAGGTGGTGGAAGCGGCCCGAGAGTTGTTGCATTGGTTGACAGGCTGAGATTCAAACTCGAGTATTCAAAGGTGGTGTAAGTTAGGCCGAAACCGAACTCATATCGGGGGGTGATGTTTAGAGCATCGAAGCGGCGGTAGTCGATATAAACTCCCTCTGTGAAGTTGACCGACGTATAGTAGTTAGACGTGTTGTCGGCGGTCACAGGATGAAGTAACTCGCCATAGTCAGATTCGTTCTTGGCGACGGTGTAAGGTAGTCGACCTGAAGGAGCTTGGATCCCGTACATAACCTCAACCAATGAACGACCAGCATCCTGACCAGGGAGATGGGCGAAGAGAACGGCGGTGACATTAGGGTGGTCAATCCATCTGTCCACCAGCCTAGTACCAGAGTTGTGGATTGAGACGATAGTCTATGTGAAGTAATAGTCAGTATTTGCCATTCTGGTGGTAGGAAGCGGTGAGAACTAACGTTTGGACACTTGGAGGCAACATTCAAGACCAGCTGGTCTGACCAAGGGTCGGCCAAAGTCTGACGATCCGAGCCTTCCGAAGCGAACTCGTTGATGAACACAATGCATGCATTAGATCCTGCATTCGCGTAGACAGGATCTTGGGATTCGAAGTCCCAAAGCAAAAAGGTCCCATCCTCCAATGCACGCTGCTGGAATGCCTCGTGCGGCGAATCGATGTAGGCTGGGACAACAGACGGGCTTCCGCCGCCGCTGATAAGAGTGCCTAGGCGGGCAGCTGCTGGAAAGTCTCCAAAGCCAATAAAGAGGCCTTGCATTTCCTCGTCGGTAACGTTGACGCTCTGGAACCCTAGCCCATGCTTTGAGTTGAAGCCCTCTGGGGTATTCTTGGCTGGAGCTTGTGCGTCGTAACCGAACAGAGATAGAACTGCTGGTTTACGCAGAGGAAGAGTTTCGTTGACATTCTTCACCAACACAATGCCTTCGACAGCTCCTTGGAACACCGTCGCTCTTTGCTCCTGGGTAATAGAGCTCACTACCTTGTGTGGCGATGATACGTCAATAGGCATTCCAGTGCCAGGTTCAAATCGCGCCAACTTGAGCCAACTTGCGGCAATCCTACATACAACCGTTGTCAGTGAGAGATCTTGTACATTTCTTTCTGAAATGGAGTAAGCCTTACCGTGTAACCATGTCATCGAGCCTGTCCATGCTCATTGTGTTGTTCGCAATCGCCGCAGTGAGATTCTTTCCCCAAACCTGGTTGTAAGGGGTGGTAACGTCCGCACCGGCATTGACGCTGGCGATGCCACTATGCAATGCTCCGCTATCAGTGATCACATAGCCCTGGAAGTTAAGCTCCTTCTTGAGCAGTCCGTTTTGAGTGTAACTGTTTTGGCATCCGTGGGAGCCGTTGATCCGGTTGTACGAGCACATGACGGACCCGACACCTGCCTTGACTGCATCCTGAAAGGGCCATAAGTATAGTTCGTGCATGGTCTTGTCATCTACAGTCACAGAGACGGAGGCGTTGCCAAAGCCGAACATGCTCGGCTGCCGGTTGGTTTCCTGTTCATTGACAATGAAGTGTTTTGCAGTTGCGATGACGTTCTCTTGTTGACCGAGGATTGTTTGGGCGCCCATGACTCCACAAAGATACGGATCAACTGAGAAAGATTCCTGTAGCGTTATCAGAAATCGGAAGCAAAATGCATGCAAGGTTGACCGAGTATGTTTCACGTACCCAGTTTCTGCCTCCCAGAACTGTGCGGCCAAGAGGTCCCATTGTTGGCCCTATCAAGTTGTTGACTGTGATACTGTAGATTAGCAGATGTAGTTAAGATTAGTTGGAGAACTTAAGTTGGTGCCTCACCTCCCTTCGCTTTGGCCTCCAGGCCCATAGCGACACCACGTGCATGAGCAAGCTCTTTGTTCCAAGCCGCACCAACGGTGATTGCAGATGCGTAACCATTCACTGCTTCGACCCCGTGAAGACCGTTCGGGCCATCTTGGACGCAAATACCAGGAAATCCAAGGCGCGGGACACCAGGGATCATTCCAGCACATCCATTAGTGACTGATGTTTGTCCTGACACAACAGATACTTTTTCGTCAAGGGTCATCTGTTTGACAATAGCTTCTGCCTCGTTGTAGGCGTCGGACCAGTCCCCAAGACCTTCACCTCGGGCTAAAATTGGTCGGAGTCAGGGGCTGCCTTCTTGCGATCGATGTCTATTCTCCCTTTCGATGGGGTGTAGGTTTAGAGTGAACTCACGCGTGGGATATACAGGCGGACTCCTTTCGTAGCTCCAATAAAGTTCTTGTTGCTCAATCAACTCAGGCGGCGCTGGTATCTGTCCTGCAATGGCCTGCTCGTAGATCTTCAGGATAGCTGCAAGCTTGTCCGGAGGGAGAGTTTCGAGATATTGCCTGGTCGGTCCGTCAATTGGCAAGTCGGGGGGGATCTGGGCCACGGTTGCAGAGAGAAGCAATGCGAAGGCTGGGAGATAACGAATGATGGATAAGACGGACATTTCGGCCAGATTCCAGGGAGAGTAAGAGCTGAGGTGGCAATCAAAGAGGTGAGCCGTCGAGGTTGATTAAACAACATTCACTGTCCTTCCGTACCGTACTTAAGTAACTTCTAGAAGCGCAACCAACCGGTTGCACTGGCGATCGAGGTGGGGCATATTAACATAGCCACCTTGCCAATGCCTCTGACTCCTCCACATCAGGGATACTGCTGGAGAGTTGCGGAAACATTGTTGCGCTACGCTAGGACTTGGTGACTAAACATCCCTATCAACCAATGTTAGTAATCGAGGAAACCAGAGCTTTCGGGGATGGATTCCATTATTGCTCTACCTAGGTAGTGCATATTGCTGCAATTGTAGCGTATCAACTACGACGACTCGAGTTCTTTTCTATAGGCGTTTTTGCTAGTCGAGCCATATCTTCTGAGCCAATATGCCTACCACTAGTTAGCACGCCAGCCCCTTTTCAGCGGTTGCGATACCCCTCGTCGTTAGCCCTTCTACAGTTCTGCAACCGGTACGCGTATTTGCTCGGACAATACGCGTATTCATGCCAGTGGAGAAGGCGGAGTGGGACTCCACGTAACAAGATTGCTCGCCACACGTCACCACTCTGGAGCCGCATGGTACCTAGTAGAGTGTATCTGTGCTCCGTAGTATGATGTAGTTTCTATGAATTGTGGGGTGTGTGGGGGTGTGACATCGTTTAGGGCGAACCGGATTTATTTGATTGGAGAAATTGGAGTGGGGTCCGATAATCTAGAGAGCGAATTAAACGAAGAACAAGCTTAAAACCGCTTGAATTGTGGATCCAGGGAGTTAGCGCCTAGGGACGGGACCCTGTTGACTCGGTCCTCGTATCCCGTTTATAATGTTCGTTCTCGCTCTCTTTCTCGTTGTTAGAACAAGTACTGTGTCTATGGCAAAAAGGGACTCTAGGCTTCACTACGGACCTGACAGTGGGGCAGCCTCGGTTGGCTATGATCGGGTCAACCGCCTGCTAAGCTGCCATAGGCACGGATTAGAAACCTCCCTCAATATAACGTGCCCACCCTACATTCAACCCATATTCACATCTAAACTAGCATTGTTACTACTACTACTCGTTATTTTATCAATTTTTCTTGATTATATAAGTATAACTATTCATATTTAAGGTATGAACTATGACTAGTTAGATGTTGAATATTTTGTCGAATCCTGTCGCGGTCCTCGACGACGTAACTCCGGCTATGGTTCATCAATCGTAGGCCTGGGGACGGTCTATCCGGCCCATTAATTGCCTTGTCGAAATCTCGGACCTGCCTTGTGATACCAAGTTCATCCCACCGTATGAACCCGACCATCCATATGTACGCCCCACACTACCGTCTGCATTTGACGAACATCGCGGTAACTGATTCAGCCTAGCCTAAGCCTACGCGAGTGCTACTGCAGCAGCACCTCCTTAGTGCTGGATTACCGGGAGGTGATAGCGATGGAACTGTCACATCTCCAATCCCCTGTGGGCTTTAAGATAATCGGGAATGGACAGTCTTCGGCAAACACCCGCCTCTCCCGGATGGGCCTTGTCTGTCGTAGATGAGTACATAAGGTGCCGGCGCACCCTTCAACTTGGACCGTTCGTCCGTTGCGTCCCCAAATTGCCCCGATCTTACACTCATTCTCACTTACAAGGACAACAAAGCCCATAACATGACATACGCCATCCGTCTCGTCGCTGCGGCGGGCGCCTTGGAAGCCCAAACCTTGCAACATTGGACCGCGGCTGCGGCCGGCCTTGTCTTCGTTGTTTTTTCCCTGCTGGCGCAGCGCTGGCTTACCGCCGACCCCCTGGCCAGAGTGCCGGTCGTGGGGAAGGGGAGTAGGTGGGCTCGGAGAAGGCAATTCCTGCAAGGCAAAGGACACCAGCTTTACATCGATGGCTACAAGCAGGTCCGTGTGGTCCTGCTCGACGAGACTGACTGTGTTAAGAATTTTGCTCCTGACTATTTTGATTTAGTTCAAGGATACCATCTTCCGCATTACAACGGCTATGGGTAAAAACCTTCGTTCACTTGTTGGTACACCACTGACTGGTCCCCCCTTAGACAACGATACTATCTGTGTTCCGCCTAAGTTCCTCTCTGAGCTAAAGAAAGCCCCTGACGATGTTATTAGCTTTGATAAATCTATTGACGAGGTATGTAGCTCTCCGTTCAGTGACACCTTATAGATGTGTATATCTGTAATACTGAGTTTCCCAAGACCATGCAGGTCAGGTACACAAAAATACAAAACGGTAGCCCTATCCTGATCCATGCAATCAGGGCGTCGTTAACGCCAGCTCTACGTCAGCATCACCACACATTATATCTAGAAGGCAACCATCACTGACCCTCTTCCATAACAGCCTGGCTGAACTCAAGCATTGCAGAGGAGGTCGCCGAGACGATGCGCCTTGAGCTGCCCCAATCCACTGGCTGGAGTGAGGTTAATATGACCTCCAAGCTCCTCCGCATCATCGCCATGGTTTCTGGTCGGGTCTTCATTGGCCCCGAGCTGTGCCGGGACGAGAGGTATATTAATGCATCTATTAACTATACTCTTGACCTTGTGACTGCTGTGCACGTCATTGGGCTAGTCCCCTCCTTCCTGCGGCCTCTTGTTGCCACCTGGCTGCCGACAACCCGAAAGCTCTACCGACGCGACAACGAGGCTGAAGCTATCTTCCGCCCTATTATTGCATCCCGCCGTAAGGCTGCAGAGAAGGGCAACGACTACCAGGAGCCGAACGATATGCTCCAATGGATCTTGAATGCGCAGGCAAAGTTTGGCGCACTTAGTGACCTCGACCTCGCCAAGATCCAGCTCAGCATTAGCTTTGCCGCCATCCACACAACTACCCTGACGACGACTAACGCTGTATACTGGCTTGCGGCAAAGCCTGAGCTTATACCTATACTGCGTGATGATGTCCAGCAGGCACTCCTTCAGTCAGGGGGGGAATTTACAAGCGGGGCTCTACAAAACATGAAGAAAGTTGACAGCTTCCTGAAGGAGGTCATGAGACTTTCCCCGCTTGGTGCTGGTATGTATAATCTCCCTTTTTTCCTACTGTTTTTTAAGGTCTCTAGGCACCTAGCTATAGATTCCTAATCTATTTGTATATGCTAGAGAGGCCTTAACAAGAGACTACAGAAAACTAACATTTCTATCTTTGGTTCCGCTGCTACCAGGAGCCTTCCAGCGCAAGGTACTCAAGTCCATGAAGCTCCCTAACGGTCAGACTATCCCCAAGGGCCTCTTCGTTGAGGTTCCTATTAGCGGCGTCAACCTTGACCCCGAGTTCTTTCCAGACCCAGAGGTGTTTGACGCCCTCCGCTTCTACAAGCTCCGTGAGGCTAAGGAGCACGCCGCGTCCGGCACCCAGGCCGCCGAGGTCGTCATGCAGGCCCAGTTCGTTAGTGTTGGTGCCACTCATCTGACGTTTGGCTATGGCAAGCACGCTTGCCCTGGTCGCTTCTTTGCTGTTAATGAAATCAAGATGATCATGGCCAACCTCCTGCGCAATTACGATATCCGGCTGCCAGACAACGTCAGTGAGAGGTACAAGAACTTGATTTTTGGCGCAAGTGTAAGTACCTATTTTTAAGAAGATTTTCTCTTGTGATCAAGATAAGGCGCTAAGCAATATTTAATACTTTCTAGTCCATCCCTGACCCCAATAAGACTATTATGATTAGGAAAGCTGTAATATAAGATACAGTAAACTTTCCCTTTAGGCGCAATTAGACCTTATGAACCATGAGGTAGATTCTCTCCACTTTTACCCTAATCTTTCAGTGATATATAACAATACATAGATGCCCCTATTTAAAGTACTATTTATTTAGAAGTCCTCTAAAGGACCTCCGGATAAGACATCACTGAGGTGGACCGGCGACGAGGGCGCTGGTGAAGAAGGTCGTGGTACTGGCGACGACGGCGGCGGCGGCGGCGGATTCTCCTCTTTCTGAGACATAATCAATGTAATTATAGCTTGTTGTTAGCTTTTTTTAGATCTTTGTATGCTATTTACTGACTTATCGTTAGTCTTCGTTGAAGGGAGGCAAGTCCGTTTTATACTTGTCAACATTCTCAGCCCGCGCGGTCATATTTATCAAGGCCTACACTGTGGGTTCCAGTGAACGTCCTGCAGGTATCTGTTTCCTGCGTTATGCATAGCCATGAGACGACAGACCGGGCTGTCTGCCTGACTAGACTGCTCGTCAAACGGCAAAACTACAAATTCGGGAACCATGGTTGCATACTAGACGGGCAAGGGGAGAAGGAGAGAGGGAGGGAGGGGGAGAGAAGGAGGGAGGGAGAGAAACATATGACCTTTAAGTTACTGATTAGTTTCTGTTTTAAACTACTTTGTTTTTATATCTAACGGCTTTTCAGATAAACAGTGTTATTTTCAGCTTACTTGTGTGTAGCCCTGCCATTTTATATTCGGTCAAACCCACCGTTAATGCGACAGCTCTGCTACAACAGCCAGGAATTTCTACCTGTGTCTTGTGAACCTACTCTTTACTCTCCCACGACTCAAAGACATTTGCTCATTCCCATGAACAACGACCATACAAACCACCCTAGGTTGGCTGTAACGGCTCAAGATGGCAATGTGCCGGTGTTCCGCAATGCCACGCCGCCGAATGAGGGCCCTATGAGACCGCCGGCTACGGAATTTCCATGCCAGCAGTGACCCGTATGGGGCAGCCAAACGTTCGAGTATGCATGGTCTGTAGGCAGTTTTGTGAGCGCTGGATATCAAGCGCAACAGCGATTCGACGTCCCTGGGACGGCTCTAAACTGCATGACAGATGGCTTTGTAACAGAATCTGGTGGTTATCATTTTCACCAGCATCAGAACCCCCAAGAATTCCGATCGCCTGCTGTTCCCTTTAGTCCGCCCAAGCATTGGCCAGGGCATTTTTCTCCTTTGCCGATAGCGTCGCAGCCTTATCTCGACAGTCAAAGTCTGACCATAAGGCGAGAGAGTTCGAAGAACGCAGTTAATATAAATATTAAACCGCTCACAATGCACTCTCTCTGACTATTGAGTAGACTCCAAAACTAGAGCAGTTAAGAGCTGCTGACGAGTCGTTCCCTAGTACTCCAAGTTCGTACGATAACCCAGGACAAGCTCATCACAACCACAGGGAGTGCAGGAACAAAGCTGCCGCGAAGACCGCAGCTAGAGCTGCTGCGAAGCGTAGTCGCGACGAGACGAGGCAGCACGAGTTAGACCTTATGCGTCAGGCGGAACAACTCACCGAGAATCTAACGGACCTCGAGGCTTACGTCGCGACGCTGAAGGATGAGGTTCTTAGTCTGAAGCAGGAGATCCTCCAACACAGCGACTGCGACTTCGAACCGATCAAGAGATATATCTCGAGCGCAGGCACTATTCAGCAGGCTAGAAAACGATGTGCATACGCAACGCTTACTTTTTCGGAAGGTTCCGAAGGGCTTTGATGAGATGGACTATCAACCTACTGTTGCCGAGCGGAATGTTGAGGAGCTACAGGCAGAGGTCGATGCAAGTAGGTCCAGGAAGTGTAAGTAGGTCAGAATGAGCCCAGTTTCGAAGTTTGCCAACAATGAAGCTATACAGAGGGCTCAAATCCAGGTGGGTGAGTTTGAAGATAGGACAGATGAGTCCAGCAAGTTTTAAAACCCCAGTGACGCCAGAAGTTGCACCGTCGTAGCTTCATAATACATTTAAACACTCGTTGAAGTTGATGAGTAGAAATGTGAGGGCATCCATCGGAATTGCGGTGGCCGAAAGTGGGTTACGGGCGATTGGCAGTGACGGTAGGCTGAAAGCATCCCGAGGATAATCACTAAGTTGATTGCTGAAGAAGTGCTATGAAAGTTTGATCTTGAGAGAGGCTCAGGTCATCCGATATACAAGTCTGTTCTCCTGAACACTTCCTCTGTTGACTAGTGAGGTTTGTCCTCTCACTCGGGAGCGTTCACCAGGTGAGCGCTCGCCATTTCATTATCTAGCGCTCACTTTTTTTTATCCTTATGTGATATGTTCCATTGTTCTCCGTCTCTGAGAGTCCCTGTTACTCCTGTGATTTCTGTATAAAAGTGTCCTGTAGCCGGCAGATGCGCTGTGGGGTGATGCCTGGTCTTGTGATACCTAACGGGTCGTAACAAGTAATAGTCTACATAACAACATCCTAATACACAAGACACTAAAGACATAAAGACCTGATTACAAGAAGGCCTGCGAAGTTAAAAATGCAAATCCCGGAGCTACCGTCGCCTGCCAAGTTTCGTCGCCGTACTTTAAGCCGTAATCGAATGTATGTCCTGCATTCTCGACTGGGAGGAGCTGGCATGGCACGCCGGCTGCGCACAGGGCGTCGTAAAGCTCTATCGCAGAAGCCAACGGTACAATGTCATCCTCAACACCATGGATCATAAAGGTAGGGGTGCGGTATGATTTTCTCAAAGCATGCGTAAGAGGACAGATGCTTTCGAGATGTTCAGCATGCACAGGCTGTAAACACGCGTCAATATCGCTGTCTTCGTTGCGTGCTGGTATGCCTCGCATCAATAGGGGCAAACAGTGTCCAGGCACAAGTGCAGCGCAAATAAGTTGCGAGCGTAAATCGTCCTCTCTGGCCCATTTGAATGAGTAGTAGTCAGTAGAAAATCCGTGCTTCAAGATATCGTCATACTGCGTTTTCTAGAAATGGGTATGACGCGTGAGCAATTGATACAGACCATTTTCATGTGGTACAGTTGATGCTTACTGGCTTTCTAGTTGACCTCTTGATCAACGGTCTTAGGGCACCTTTGACCTCTTCCGATAGGACATTGCGCGGAGACTGTTCATGAGTCGCTGGAATCATGTTAATGTCATGTTTGAAAAGTTTCGATAGAGTTGATGTTCTTACAGCCGCTTGCCCAGGCAACAGGGGCGTAAAACGTGAGAACTGCTTTCAGCGTGGGCAAGCCGGCGATTCGGCTCATCCAGTCGAGAGCCATCGCCAGGTGGCCACCACTCGACCAGCCTACAGCGACGACATTGCGAGGGTCAACAGAGAGGCCGTTGTTACCGGCGAACGAAGGCAACTTCTCAAACACCCATCGATATACATCAACAATATCGGCCATTGGACCGTCGACTAAGTTTACCTCAGGACACAAGCGGTAGTTCACGCTGATTGTCAGAAACCCGCTCTTTAAAAGGGCAGTTATGGCTGAAGAGGGGATGGTGGCTTTGGACAGAGCCATATGTCCTCCACCATGAACGAGGATGGCTGCAACAGAAGACAGGTTAGCAATGATATAGTCTTGTAATGGAAATTATGCGGTATTTCATAATGTCTGCACTACTCATTCTAAAATATTGAGGGATAGAAATCCAACAGAGGGTAGCCGAGAAATAGATGAGAATGTGGATTAAAAGGGTTGGTATCAAGACGTACCCACACCCAAGGGCCTCGAGCCTTGCACTGTTGGCATGTGCACATCCACTTCAACGCTCACTCCGTCAACATCCTTTACCACAACCGTCTCCGTCTTGCTGATGAGGTCAAACGATTCTTCGCTAGACGCGGTATCAGCCGTGACTTCGGAGGCCCTGTCACTGGTGCTCGAGGCAACGGAAGGGCTGATGCTACCGGTGCCGCAGGCGTCGATCAGAGATTGAAGGGTCATGTTGCCTAGGTCGTCGGTCGCAAACTGTTTCTTGAACAAATTGTCAATCTCATCTGCGAACTGAACAATGGCGAGAGAGTCGATTCCCAGTTCAGTCATGGTCGAATCACCTGGCATCTCACCGGCCACGGCGCCAGTGTATCTCGCGACAATGTCACGCACCAGTAGCACAGCGTCGAGGTTGGAGCCTTGCGATTTTGCCTTGGGCTCTTCCGTAGCTCGCGTTGGAGGTGCAGAGACAGGGTGAGGTGATGTCGGTACTTGAGGTTGATGAGCTATCTGCTTTGCAGGCGAAGCCTGCAAGGTTGTAGAAGGCGCAGTGCTGATTTGACTGATATAATCTCTTTGAAGCGGCGCAGCTGGTTGAAAGACTTCAGAGGCATACGGCGGCAGCTTTGTCTTCGGACCGCCGGCCAAAGAGTCGAGCACCCGGCGAAGAGCGCTCAGCTGAACCAACGAGAAGCGAACCCCAAGAACGGATGCGACTACGTCACCGAGCTCGTCGGTAACATAGATTTCTCCAGTGATAGCTTTGGCATTCTTTTCGGCATTAAAATGGCTCGTCACGGTCCACGAGCCCGTGTTGTTCAGAAGGCGGCAGCCTGGGGAGAGAGTAAAGCTGTCAATGGATGAAACGAGGAACGCCGAGCCTTGAGGTACGTGCTCGCTCGTGTTGATAGCCAGCCCAAGTACCTGTACAAAGTTGTCGGCAATTGCTGCGTCTGCCAGGTCCAAGACAGAACTTTCCGTCTCGTGTTGTGCCACGAGTTGCTTGGGGGACTTGATGATTCCAACAGCCCAGTTTCCGTGCAATGTCAGAGACTCGATACCACGCAGGACGTGGGAATAGTCTACCACGGTCCCAAACAAAGTGTACACACGCCGGGATAGAATGGTCTCGGCGTCAGGATGCGCCTTTAATTGCGCAGTGCGATCGCCAAGAAGGGTCTTAACATGTCGCATATCGGCCGATGGCACAAGAGCGACAACTCCACGGACATGGACTGTAGGTCGATCAGATTGGTTGATGCGCGTACTCTCAATGGCAAATGTCCATGATCGGTCGTGGCCAGCTTCCAAATCCAGCAGGACTGAAACCTGAAGGTCGGGACTCAAAGTCAGCGGGTGATTGAAAGCCAAACTGCCGAAGTGTAGTGCCGCGCCGGCTCCAGGGAACTCGCGTTTCCCATTTGACTCGTGAATTTGGACGGCCATGCCCACACACTCCATATACATAGAGGCAGGGCACATGGGTTGATCACAAACGGCATGTCCTCGGACAAGTTGTTGGAAACGACTACTGTTAACGTTGACAGTAAAGCGATTTGACTCGAGCGGCGAAGGAGAAATTAGCCTGAACGATGAAGTTGCGGTTGTAACCGGAGCGGGAAGCTGTTGTTGTTGTTGAAGAGCCTCGTCAAGGCGTTTCTGGAGCTCGACAGGGTGATCAACCCATTGAGTCCAGAAGGATTTGCGCGAGAATTGATATACCGGGAGTTTGATCGCCTCCAAACCGGTTGCCCCAATCCACGGCCAGTAAGTTGCATCAACTCCAGCGCGCCAAAGGCCGATGGTGGTGTCGCAGATGACTGTCTCAGGTTTACGAGCGGCCTTGAAGTTGATGGGGAAGAAGGCGTGCGTGCCAGCGTCCGTCACGGCCCGCTTCACCATGGGAATGATCGGCGAATCGGTTCCGGCCTCTAACCAGACACTGGGCCCAAGGCTCTGCGCAAGTCGCGTAATGGCTGCCGTGAAGAAAACGGGGTTGCGAGCATGTCTTCCAATGTGGCCATTGTGCGGCTCGTTCTCGTGTGCTTCAGATGTACACAACTCCAGGCGGATACGGGGCTTTTGAAACTCGAGAGAATCGTCCAGCTTCTCAAGACCCGGGAGGAGATCGTCAACAAACTTGGAGTGAAAGCCGTGCGTTACATCGACATGCTGACAGCGCGTGCCCTTGAACTTTTCGGCCACGACCGCCTCAGCCCGTTCAATTTCGCTTGTAGTGCCCACAACGACGTAACTGCCTGATGAATTAAAACAAGCAATTTCAAGACCTTTGACATGGTCAATGAGAGATTTGACAGTGTCAAGAGGTGCATGCACCGCCAACATCTTGCCTTTTTCTTCACCCCAGGCCGTCTGCATAAGCGAAGCACGTTCGGCAACAATGCGGATTCCATCACGCAAACTGAGAGCCCCGGAAAATGCCAAGGCTGTAAGCTCGCCGAAGCTGTGTCCAACAACAGCGTCAATGTGCAAGCCCGCATCCTCCCAGGTTTTGGCACAGCTGTACTGGATCGCGAAAGTCGCTGTCTGCAAAAGGAGAACGTTCTGATCAACCTTGTCATGGTTAAGAACGTCATCTACGACGGGTGGATAGCCTAGTTCGCTCAGGATAGAATCACACTCGGCCAGGTGGCGCCGCAACTGTGGAGTAGTGTTGTACAGATGATTATCAAGACGAACAGTGCGCTGTGACTGGCCTCCAAAGACAAGTACCATGCGCTTTGCCTTGGGTGGCACCTGAGTGGGTGACGATGCTGCTTGATCTAGAGCAGCGGCCAACGCCTCATGGTCTCCGATGTTGTTAACAGGCAGTACGGTGCGGTACCGATGGCGCTGTCTCTTCTCGCTCAGGGTCCAGAGAAGTTTCCCTACGTCGGGCTTCTCAGATCGCACCATGTCGGCTAAAGCACGACAATTGCCTGCTAGACTGGCCTGACTAGCTGCCGTGACAAGGAGAGGCAAGCTAGTGATGGGCTCCTTGTCTTTTCTCTTCTTACGGTCCAGCCACCAAGCACTCTTCGGTCGTGCGCTAGGAGACTGGCAGACCACAAGCGAGGCGTTTGATCCGGCTGCGCCGTATGAGTTGACGAGAGCCCTGCGTACGTTACCGGGCGCATCCCACGGCTGCACAGCTCCGGACGGGATGGCCATGTTCCAGGGTTCCAAGGACCCAATGTTCGTGTTGATGTTCTCGAAGCTAGCCTGAGGTGGGATTTTGGATTCGCGTAACATCGCCAATACCTTCATCAAACCGGTAACACCCGCAGCGGCCTCGGCATGGCCAACATTGCCCTTGACTGAGCCGACGAAAAGTTTTTTGTCGCGATTAGCGTCACCAAACACAGCACGAAGGCCACCAATTTCATTGGGGTCCCCAGCCTGTGTGCCTGTCCCATGGCATTCGATATACGAGATATCTTTGGGTTGGAGACCGGCCGACTGAACAACACGCTGATATAACTGCTGCTGTGCCTTTCCGTCCGGTAGCGTGATGGACTTGGACAGCCCACCCTGATTCGTGCCAGCCGCGGGGATTACAGCAAGAATCTCATCACCAGAGGCGACAGCGTCTTTCAAACGCTTCAAGACGACGAGACCGGCTCCGTCTGCGCGGCAGTATCCGTCTGCTGAGACATCGAAGGCTTTGCATTGGCCCGTAGGGCTCAGAAAACGGGCTTTGGCAAGATCCAAATAGTAGTTGATACCCCCAAGGATATTTGCGCCGCCAGCCACAGCCATGGAACAGTCGCCCGCCCGAACCGCAGCCACAGCTCGACTGATAGCAACCAGAGAGCTGGAACAGGCTGTGTCAATGGTCTCGGACGGACCATACCAGCCAAAGTGGTGACTGATACGGCCGCATTGGAACGCCTGCATCGTGCCAATAGCAGAATACGCTGTAGGCGCGTGGGTGGATGTATGCTCGTTGTACTCAATGAGTGTGCCGCCAATGAAGCAAGCGATGTTATGGCCCGCTTCCCTGCTGTATGATCGGTGGCCCAGGTGACCATAGGAGTCCAATGCTTCGTAGGCAAGCTCGAGAAGGATTCGTTGTTGCGGATCCATCCAGGCTGCCTCGGAATGGCTGAGACCGAACAACTCGTTATCAAACTGATCCACGTTGTCGATAAAGTTGCCAAACCACTTGCGTGATGCGGTGAACTAACAATAGAGCTTAGCATTGATTCTGGTCGACTAGGTGACTTGAAGCCAAGTTTGGTTTGATAGGAACATACCTTCGGATCGAGTGACGCCCTGTAGCTCCCAGAAATGGGCACTCGATCGGGACGGACTTCTTCGCATGTAGAAACACGCTTCTCAAGAATCTGCCACAGCTCATCTAGGTTGTTGGCGCCAGGAAGGCGGCATGCCGAGCCGACAATGGCGACTGCGTCGTCACCGTAGCTGGCAAGCTCGGCACGTTTCTGTGCAACCTCTCTAAACGTCAAGACAACGTCGATTTTGGCAATCTTCAACGATGCCTGGTGGAATGGCTCAACTGGAACACAGTCGTAGCCTCCAAGGAGCAGCAGGGAGTGCGAAGACTCATTGCTGTCCTCACGAATTCTTTTGGCTACCCGCTCAACCACCTTATACCATTCACACCGGCCGCACAAAATATTGCCAAGGACATTCTTTGTCAGCTCGCTCGGCGTCTCCTCCAGCAGACGCTCTCCATCCCAGTTGGACTGGACCGGAACATTGAGAGCTTCGGCGCCCGGTAGATGAAAAGACTTGTTCTCGGCGACAATGGCTAGCATATCATCCAAGTATCGGGCGTTTCTGGGGTCGTGGCCTGTGCCAGTTGGATAAGTCTGGATCGAGAACATGCGGTTTGCTGCGACGTATTCCTTTAAAGGCGCAAGCTCAGACTTTCTTCCGGCAAAGCAAATTGTCACGGGGTTTGTGGTTGCTGAAGCGTAGATCTAGTAGTTGACGGAATTAGTGAGATGTCTCGACGCTATGATCGATGGCGGTCATACCCCTGGAAACTGCTCCATGAGTTCCTTATCCTGGCCCGGGTGCTTCAAACGCACGATCAACATGTCGGGCGCGTTCTCCGGGGGGCCAGTCTCGCCTTCCGACATGTAAACACCCATTAGGAAAGCTGTTCGGTAGAAGTTCCCAGCTCTTTGGCCAAGTTCTTCCTCATTCGCCGAACTCGCTACAGCGATTGTGCTCAGCATGCCGCCGCAGTAACCCTGGATTCCACCAGCCCCGAGTGCAGCAAGGACTTCGGCCTGTGTCTGACCTGACAGCTCCAAATACGAGCACCATTGGCAGAGTCCAGTCAGGAGAAGGAGTGGGAAGCTGACGACGGTGGAAGGCTGGCTGGCGATGACGCCTGTCTCCCCTTCTGCGATCCATTTGGCAAACGCTCTAGCGAATTCCGCGCCGCGATCACCAACTGCTACATGCTGGGCCCTTTTTTCGTTCGCTAACAGTTCCCATATCGCTGGGGTCTCCTCTATAGCGTCAGCTAGTGGTTTAAGGAAAGGACTTCCGACGATTCGGCGACGCAGTTCCGCCAAGTAGTTCTTGTCAACCAGGAAAGGAACAGGGCAAAAGAACGCCGCTGAAGGCGCGTCAGATGCTTGGTCGCCCATGGCAGTGTTGGGCCGGGGTATGTCAACGCTACAACAGAGAGCAGAAATTACAAGGAGAGATGTAAAACCCGAGTCAAATGAAGTGTATAAGTGAATGTGCTAAGAGTGTTTGCGTGGCAGGCGGATGGGTGATGTGCTGGCATTGTCGATTGTAGGCGGCAAGGCCAAGGCTTTATCCGTCTCAGCGGTTTGGATGTATGTCTGTCACTCAACCACAAGTACCATAGTACAGCGGGCTATGAAGTGTCCATTCTGCACCATGACCTCGGCCTCCTGCTGTACCTAGGCAAGTTACTCAAATGGGCAAGAATTACTGGAGCCAGATACGGAATGGAAGTATCAGGCTTAATCTTGACTCAAAGCCAAAACACAGGGTCCGGCAACTTTGATAGATTGCGACTGGTCCGCCGAACGAATCGTCAATAACAATGTCAACTAGGATACAGTCCATGGGTAGTTTCTCTCTGAAGTTGAGCTCCGAGCCTGGTCCCTGCCATCTCATGTGGAGCCCAGTACCGGTAGTGAGTTCAATACGGAAATCCACTAATTAAAACACCTCCCGAGAGATCTACAGGACACGACATTCTCGGAAAAAGAGCGAGGTCAGGGGAGGCGTGTATATTCCACCCCCCACGCGTATGAGTGGATCAATGGATAGCAGGCTACTGGCACCCTGGCGCAATCATAGAATACAATGGGCTCATCCTTACCTATACCGTGTTCCTGCGATCTGTTATGCACGATGTGAATGTTTGCGGTACGTTCTCTCGGAAATCTATGTGGGTGCGCAACTATATAATGCAAAACAGGGGATAGAGATATCGGAGGCATCATCACGGAGACTTTTGCCTTGTGTTGCAGTTGGTTGCCCTTAACTGCGTGTAACACGCGGCGTCTGTTTTCTTTAGTTCTGACTGACTAGAGTGTTGTCACTGTTCCCCAGCTGAATAGCTAAACGAACATTGTCTTACTTTCCCTTTTTTTACAAGGTTATATCCCATTTCTTCTCTTGGCCTTGCCTCCTGCCACGCATCTCTCTCAGCCAGCCGACAACCCTCAACATGGTCAACTTTGGACCAGAGACGACTGCTGCTGCTGTTATCAGCCACTTTGCTGGTCAGGTCCAAGGACACACATGTCAGTAGAACAATACATGTTTATTTTTGCAATACTGACCCAACCTCCCCAGTTCTGATCAACGGTGTAAGCCCCGGAGGCATTGGGGCCGAAATCGCTGTCTCCCTTGCGGAAGCAAGCCCATCAAGGCTTATACTGATTACCACCCCCGATGATGCGAGCGGCTTACAACCTGTCCTTGAGGAGATCAAGCGTCGCGATGCCTCGGTCGTAGCGACTATCCTGACTGCCAACCCCTCTTCCCTCTCTAGTGTCAGGAACTCGGGGCAGAATATCCTGACAGACCCAGGCGTGTCTCAAATCGACGTGGTAATAAACATACCGACTGAGATGCCTCGACCGTATACCAAAACTGAAGACGGACTTGAGTACCTGCTACATACCAACTATTTGAGCCAGTTCCTCCTGACCAATAAGATCCTGCCGAAGGTTCTCCTAGCTGAAAGACCTCGCATCATCAATATCTCGAGTAGTGCCAACAAAATTGCCGGCATGCGTTGGCACGATCTCAACTTCGAGGAGCCGGGCTCGTACGAGCCTTGGACAGCTTACGGCCAGACAAAAACAGCAGCCATTCTGTTCACTGTCGCTCTCAACGCAAGGCTTATATCGGCCCAACAGCCGAGCTTCCGCTCTTACGCAGTCCACCCGGGTGGGGTTAAAACCAAGCTACAAGAGAATCTGAGCGAAGATTCTCTCAAAAAGGCGTTCGAGGGTACCAAGAAGCGGTTTGGAGAAGAAACGGCCAATGAATTCTTCCGGTGGAAAACGCTCTCTGCTGCGAGCTCGACGCCGTTGAGAGCCGCTTTGGACCCTGATCTCGCCAATCATGAGGCAATCTGGCTTGAAGACTGTGAGCTACTTCAGGAGTCAGTCCACTTGGATGCCCGGGCTACGGACCTCCAGAGTGCGCAGCGATTGTGGAAAATGAGCGAGGAATTGATCAAAGAGAAATTCTGAATATGTAAAAATTAACGTACGGATTTGAGTAGTCCTAGTTTAACTTTTGGTACAAGAAGCACATTCATTGAAGCTGCAAAAATCGTCCAACCACGTTTCAAATAGTCAGATCCTGTCAATCCGCATAGAGCCTGCAGCGCAGCTCCTTCACAGTTTGAATTTCAAGGTAATGGCACTGCTTGAGGCTGTGTCCGAAGAATAACTGATTAGTGACCGGTTCTTGGTCCACTGCCACGTAATGAAGCGAGCGGTACTCGTGAGTAACGATTTGCTCTCTAAGAACACGACATCAAGCTGTCTCCATATCTGATTGAACCTTATCAGCTGAAGATGTCAAGGAGCACAAGCTGCGCCACAACTTGCTGGTGTAGCTTGTATCTGGAAACGTCAGTAGGTTTAATAACTTATTTCAGGGAATCGTTTCGTATTGCAAGATCGCGTTTTACATCAAATAAGATGCGATAACCAAGTTGAATGCGGCCAATTGACTATAACCACCCCCCGTTGATGCCATACATAGCAACATGGCTCCGCCCGCTGCGCTCCATGACTCGTAGCGCTGTCTCTAATCAAGTTAGGCTTAATCATTGGAACTTGAAGTCCCGTGACGAACATGCCCGTCTAGCCGATGGTCAGGGTCAACATGCTAGGTGTCAAAATCAGTCATGATCCGAAGTATCACAATATACAGTTGTGGGGATCCTTGTTTTATGTGTACATGGTACAGCGAAATATCTTTGACACTGGACCCAAATGTTCGGTAGCGGTTAACAGGCAGACACTTTGCGGGGCAATACTTGAGTCATCAAAGTACCTCTTGAAGTCTCTCGCTTAATCCTGCACAGACCTACGTATAGACCTACGCATGGACTACCTAGTTTACCCTTCTACTTTAAAAAAAAGAAGAAAATAGAGATGTTTTTATTAGCTTAAAGTATATCTAGAATATAGTAGTATAAATTAAATTTTTAGAGAAATTTACTCTTAAAGACCTTCTTAAGAATAAAGAGTACTTAAGCTATAGTATATACTACTAAAAAGGTTTTTTTTCTTTTCTTGTTAACTTAGGAGTTAAAGATTTAAAGTTAGTAGTGTAGTAGTAGAGAATTTGAAGTTGGTGGTGTGGGGACAGAAGTAACCTAAGAGGAGGTGGGTCAGTACTTTGAGATAGTCTGAGATGCTAAGGTTTGACCTGCAAAGTGTATGCCTGTTAACCGCTACCAAATGTTCATCCCACAATGTCTAGGTTTCTGTGACAGAAGTAAAGCAAGCCTGGGCCGGCCGACGGAATGAGCCAATGTCCTGGCTAGCCTTGCAAAGATGAGAATATCGGTCTCGGTCTAACCACTACAGAGGAAATTGCTTGCTAGTGTAGTCATCTTGCTAGTGTGGATGTCTATCTGGAACAGGAAAATCACCGGTAATATCATATAAAGCGGCAGACCGTGCCCCAATCTGTTTTAACATCATTTTGATGATGTGACTTGATTAGTCATTCAGGGCCTCTTCCCAAATCTTCACAGCTATTATTGCCTTATACTCCTTATCAAGTACATCTGTCTTATACCCACTCTCTTTACTTTTACGCATATCACCATGGCTGTTCCGTCGAATCACGTTCTTTTCTTCGGGGACCACATGTCAGACAAGGTGTCAACAATAAAAAACATCGTCCGTATTTCCAAACATAATTCTGCTCTCCGGCGATTCCTAGACGAAGCCAATGATACTCTTCAGTTGGAATTCTCTCGTTTATCTCGTCTGGAGCACGGATGGGACAAGAAATTTGATTCTCTGATTGAGCTGGCCGAGGCGAACGCCAGCGCTGACAAGCTCGCGGGCGGGCAGAACGGTGTTTTGACCTGCGCACTTTGCTGCATTGGCAGACTTGGAGAACTGGTTGTCCAGGCTGACTGGGATCCATCAATTCTCGGAACAGCTTCTTGCTCCCAGGCGCCGGTTGAAGTTGTCGGTCTATGTATGGGCCAGCTTCCTGCCGCAGTCGCGGTCGCAGCAAGAGACACATCACAAATTTTCACACTCGCGAGAGAAATACTCAGAATAACGATCCGTATGTCGTACAGCATCTGGCAACGCATGAGACTCATCGACGCATCGCCTGGTAGCTGGTCACAAACATTCCTCAATGTACCGACAGAAAGCGTCACACAAATCCTCGACCAGTTCCACGAGCAATGCAAAGTTCCGACAGTTCGGCGCATTGCCGTTGGGGTTACGTCCAAAGGTTTTGTTACCCTCTTTGGGCCGCCCACCACACTTGCGAAACTGCAGACCTGGCCAGGCGCGGAAGAGTTAAGAAACGCAAGACAGGCCCAAACCGAAGCGGGCGGCTGTGTGCACACGCCATACCTACCCCGACTCGACATAGATGAAATCTTAAGCGAATGCAGCAAAGAATTACTAGAGTGGCCTCTGGACACCAAAAACAAGTCACGCATGGCCAACACCGACAGTTTCACCTGCTATGATCATTCGACTCTGGGTGAACTTCTGTCAAAGGTTATCGAAGATATTGCTCACAATGTCTTACGCCTTGACGGCACTCTTGAGAGCTGTGCGTCCCGTCTCAAAGCCGACGGCAACACTGAAAACATCAAGGTGGTTGTGATGGGTCAGAACGTACATGTTCCAGCCTTGACTGCAGCACTTAACAATGCCGCTATCAGCCACAAGGTCGTGACGAGTACCTCTCCATCCTCAAACATACCACCGGCAGTTCCAGATAACGAGCAATGCGGCACGGTTCAGTCGAATCGGGGACAGTCGGGGCTCATTGCCATCATCGGCATGTCAGGTCGCTTCCCCGATAACGACACTATCCAAGGATTCTGGGACGATCTTCTGGATGGGAAGACACATATCCGCGAAGTACCACCCAATCGTTTTGATGTCAAAAGCTGGCATGATCCAACACTCGAAACAAAGAATAGCACGACGGCGACCAAGGGTGCATGGCTTGCGAACCCTGGTCTTTTTGATCACAGACTCTTTAATATTTCTCCTCGCGAGGCTGCTCAAATCGATCCAATTCATCGTTATTTCATGACCTGCAGCTACGAGGCTCTGCAGCATGCGGGATATAATCCTGGTGCCAGTTTGAGCATGGACGGGTCCAACGTCAGCACTTTCTTTGGACAATTGGGCGAAGATTGGCACGATGTTATCCACGAGCAGGGCGCAGACATTTACTATGTCCCTGGCATAGCGCGGACATTTGCGCCAAGCAGAATTAATTACCATTTCAAGTTAGGAGGAGGGTCGTATGCTGTCGACTCAGCTTGTGCCTCTAGTATCACGACAATTGTCCTAGCGTGCCAGGCTCTTGCCTCACGGGCATGCGACATGGCCCTTGCAGGCGGTGGCAGCAGTACGTTTTTTCTCTTTCACGAACCTTCCTGATGATTCATTGAAGGAAAGATCTAACAGAAACATTGCATAGTGATGTATACGCCGGTGCCGTTCTCAGGCCTCAGTCGATCTGGCATGATTTCATCGACTGACGGGTGTCGGACTTTCCACGATGACGCAGACGGGTATGCCCGCGGAGAAGGTGTAAGTGAATTTTGCCAATTCGGGCGTTTGATGTAACAATAGGAAGTGCTGACGTTTTCTTTCAAAGGTGGGCGTGGTTGTACTCAAACGGCTCGAGGATGCATTGTCGGACAACGACAACATACTCGGCGTGATCCGTGGCTCGGCGCGCACCTATAGCACAACCACTACATCCATCACCCACCCCAGCCACGAGTCCCAAGAGCGCGTGTACAAGCGCGTACTGGCGCAATCAGGCCTTGATCCCTCAGAAATTGCCTATGTCGAGATGCATGGCACAGGTACCCAGGCAGGAGACTTCGAAGAGATGACTTCGGTCATCAACATCATGGCTCCCCCCGGCTCAAGATCGCGGACGAATCCGCTGACCGTTGGCACCGTAAAGGCTGCCGTGGGCCACGGCGAAGCAGCTGCCGGCGTAACCGCACTCATTAAGGTTTTGCTTATGATGCGGGACAAGGTCATTCCCGGTCAGCCAGGATGGCCTTTCAAGATCAACCACCGCTTCCCGCCCCTTGGTCCTCTGAATTTGCGGATCGCCACCCAACACTACCCGCTGAAGCCCAGTCCTAAGGGGGACAAGAAAATCAAGATCATGCTCAACAGCTTCGACGCAAGTGGAGGCGAGTCATGTCTGGCCATTGAGGAGCCACCGAGTGTCGGTGGTGAAGGAACACGCGCGAATGACCCTCGGACTGTCCATATCGTGACACTGTCCGGACGGACCAGCGCTTCTCTCGCCGGGAATCACCAACGCCTGCTTGACTGGCTAGAACTGCATCCAAATGTCAAGCTTGAGGACGTGGCTTATACCACAACGGCAAGGAGGATGCACGAGCCTCTGAGGGCGGCTTACGTGTCCAAATCCATCAGTGAGCTGGTACAGCAGCTTCATGATGCCAGCATCAAAGGCGAGTATCCCAAGGCCAAGGCCAAGCCTGCTGGGCGTATCTTCTTGTTCACCGGTCAGGGATCCCAGTATCCCGCAATGGGATCCGTGTTATTCAACACGAACAAGACGTTCAGGGAGAAACTCTTGGTTTACGAGAAGATGGTCACGCACATGGGCCTACCAAGCTTCGTTGAAGTCATAACCAACCCGGAGTATCTCGAAGAAGCAACTACGACGCAAATGCAGATGGCCGTAGTCGCATTAGAAATTGGTGTGGCAGAGACGCTTGTCCATTATGGCGTCACACCCACGGCTGTGATGGGTCACAGTTTGGGTGAATATGCAGCGCTTTGCATCGCTGGCGTTCTGTCCGTTGCCGACGCTTTGTATCTTGTCGGCCAACGTGCCCTGCTCATGGAGAAACATCTCACTCCCAAGATGTATGCCATGCTCGCCACTTCGACCGCAGCAGAGAAGCTTGAATCGGAGTACACCTCGTTAGGCCTATCAAGCTGCAACATTGCCTGCAAAAACGCACCTGCGGTCACTGTCGCCAGCGGGACTGTTGAGGACATTGAGAAACTGGAGGTGCACATGAAAGCCAAAGGGGCTCGGACCAAGCTCTTGAGGATCCCATACGGCTTTCACTCCTCGCAGGTTGACCCCATCCTCGGCGAATTCACTGATGTTGCCTCTGGCGTTGAATTCAAAGCGCCCCTTGTACCTGTTATTTCTTCGTACCTAGGCCGGTTCGTTCCCACTGGAGACCAGAAGACGTTTGGGCCCCAGTATCTGGCCCAGCAATGCCGGGGTACCGTCGACTTTGTGGGCGCTGCACAGGCAGCGGCGGTGGCTGAGAAGGCTTCTATCAACAAAACACTGTGGATCGAGGTTGGACCTGAGCCCATACTTCTCGGGTTAGTCCGCTGGACGCTGCCAGATCTTCCCCCAGCAAATCTCTTGGGGGCAGTCAAGCCGTCCCCATCTGACGATAACTGGAGCACCCTATCGGGAGTTATCAAGGCCGCTTATGAGTCCGGGGTGGATATCGACTGGCCCGAGTTTCACAGGAACTTCAAGGGCTGTGTACGCTTGCTGGAGCTTCCCCTTTATGCTTTTGACTTGCGGGACTTTTGGCACGAGCCATTCAAGCGTCCTGATCTTCTGCAGAAGGAGGCTGCCAGCCCCGCAGGGAAAGGGGCACACATTTGCTCATGCTCGCAAGAGCCGGCCATCCCGTCTAGACCCCTTTTCCCGCCGTCGTTCCCTGGCTTTCCCACTACATCTCTCCCGACAGTTGAGAGCGAGGATATCAACAGGACCAGTAACGAGATGTTGGCAGTGTTCTCTGCGGACACTGCCGAACGAAACTTGCTCCAAGCCATCGAAGGTCATGTAGTCCATGGCCATGTCATTTGCCCCATGAGCGTCCTCGTCGATATGGCTCTCACCGCTGCCAAGTACTGCCACTTCAGATTGCACGGCGAGTCCGAAACGCCTGTGATGTCGGTTACCGACATCGAAATGAGACACGCCCTTATTCTGCACCCGAACTCCAAAAATCCCGTTATTCGTGTCAAGGCGGTCATGCGCAAGAACGAGAGCAATGTGGCGATCCATTTCTCTTGGATCAAGTTCAATGGCGAAAAGGCCGACCCCAAGGAGGAGGCGGGTGGTACCTGCACGGTTCAGTTCGGAAAAGAGGAGAAGTGGTCTGCCAGCGTCAACAGTTCGCTGTTCCTTGTCAAAGCGCGCATTGATGCGCTTCGGGCTGCCGCCCGCGAGGGCCAGGCGCATCGGCTACGGAAGCCTGTCGTGTACCGCATGTTCGCCGAGAACGTGGATTACTCCGAACAGTTCCGCGGTATCGACGAGGCTATTCTTGACTTGGACTGTCGGGATGCCATCGCCAACGTCACCCTCTCCCCCGATACCTCGTCTGGAAAGTTTGTGATGAACCCCTTTTGGACGGACGCCCTGACGCACCTTGGAGGCTTCTTTCTCAACTCAGGCCTGCGCTACGACCAGCAGGACCTTCTTTGTATGGCGAGAGGTTTTGATACGTGGCGGGTTGTGGGCCACGGCAGTGTCATGCAGCCGGGAAAGACGTACACGAACTACACATTCATGCAGGACGTTGAGGGCAATTTCGTCGTCGGTGACTGCTACATTTTCGACGAGAACGACAATCTGGTTCAAACTCTACTTGGCCTCAGGTTCCAAAAGCTCAAGAGATCTGTGATGGATGCGGTCTTTGGTACCGTTCCCTCTACAGAGGGACCTGCTTTGAGACCGTCCATAATGAATCGGCAAACGACTTCGCCCAAGCCTATCACGTCCAAACCGGCCACTAAAGCTACAGATCAAACTGTGTTCGCTATCCGGGGCAATGAAGATACGTCCTCAACTCCGTCGTCTCTTCTTACGCCTACGGCGAGCACCTCAAGCAGTATCGAGGATGCCAGAAATCTGATGGAAAAGATCCTGTCCATCATTGCCAGAGAGGCAGGCTGCCGTCAAGATGACCTGGTCGATGAGGCGATGTTTCCTGACTTGGGCATTGACTCTCTTATGGGTATCAGCATCCTGGCCGTCATCAAACGTGAGACCGAGATCGATCTGGACTCGACCTTCTTCATTCAGTTCGAGACCGTAAAAGAAGCAAGAAACGCTTTGGAAGATATTCTGGGCGTTGAAAGCGCAGACGAAACGTCGCACCCCGTGGCCGAGTCACCCAAGGTTCCGGACTTATCGCTTCGACGCCAGCTGCACGAAGTGGATGATCTTCCAACGCCACCACCGGAAAAAGAAACGCAGAGGGACGGATTTCCGGCCTACTCGTCCAATCAAGTGGCGGCTCCAGTCATTGCCGAAGTTGTCTCTCATCCGTCGACGCTGCCCCAAGAGGGTGCAACAAAGCCAACGAGCATATCGGCACAAGGGCTTACTGCCAAACTGGTTCACCTTTCTGGTGCCAAGGCTGAGTCAAACACGAGGCTGTTCCTCCTAGCCGACGAGACAGGGTCGAGCCTCTCATATATTCAGCTTCCAGCTGTTACCTGCTCGAGAGGCAAGCCGGTATCGGTTTGGGGTGTCGAATCGCCTTTTACCAAGCATCAAGCTCTCCTAGCGGGTCATTCTATCCAAGAAATAGCCAAGATATGCCTGGAATCGATTCGCCAGAAGCAGCCCTCGGGTTCTGGCCCCTTTCTTCTCGGCGGTCTCGGTGCCGGCGCAGCCGTAGCCATTGAGGTCGCTCGCCTAATCGAATCTGAGTCGCCCAGCGACTCAATCGGCCTCATTCTCCTCGACCCCTCGGTAACTCCCGCCGGTATAGAGGCGGCTTCGAGCGCTCCTGGTGTTCGGCTAAAACCAGCACACAGAGAACATTGCTCCGGCATCGCGAAGGCGATGACAAGTTACGCTGAAGCTGCTGGCTCTCTAACTCCGATGAAGGTTGGAGCAGTGGCGGTCGTGCCAGACTCCGCTGACTCAAGTGACCGAGATTTTTTGGCTCGAATCATGCCTGACATGCGGATCAAGACTGTCGGCTCTGTCACTGGGAAGGGTGCGTTGATGCGTTTTCCTGCTATAGCCAGCACCAGTAAGAGCTATGTTGAGGCAGTGAGAGAGATTGTGATGTAGTTGTCAATTCACAGTATTCTATATTAACTTAATGTCAGATCTTTTCTACATTTGTTCGGTGTTTCAACCGCTTTCTTTGGGGGGGGGTTTCTTTTGCCCATTGTATTGTTAGTATTTAGTTGCCCAAGAATAAAACTGTCCAGTCACAATCATTCAAGTCGTTTCCCAGAACCTCAGCGTGGCGGAGCGGCACAAATATTGTTCACTAAGGTCTCTAAACTGTCAATCAATCAATGTAGGCGCGGAATAGAGTCAATGTATTCTAGATGAACTTCACACTAATGTGGGAATCGGCTGCCATCACGGCCGTGGAAAGCCGCCAAGCCTACATACAAACAGTCTCTCATAAGAGGTATCCAATGGTAGCAATGTCGAGATGCCATTCAGTGGGCTCGGGAGCCAAGTAGGTTCCAAGTCGTCTGAGCCGCGGACAAGACATCCACCACTAATTAAGTCCGCGCCAAACTTTACACAAGGCGGCTAAACAAGCTCATCACTCAGCGCACAGCGAGCCCAACCCTTGTATTATGCGGCAAACCGTAAGTCTAGGCACGCCCATCCTTGGACCGTTGCACCCTGACATCAAATATGGGTCATGTGAAGAGAAGGGCGTGTGCATGAGTCGGAGCTCGGACACTACCGTGGGAGACAGAACCTTAATAACATGCAGCCCACTCAGAAAAAGCTTAAAAACGACTCCATCGTTACCGTATCCACTCGTTAGATTCGTACACTGCACTGACCATGGGCTGCTGGATAGGGCCTAGCGGGCTGGCAGAAACAGGGATCTAGAAGTGGCAAATGTAGGGGTTAGTCAACGTCAGCAGCAAGTTTGGTGGCAAGGGTTAGGGTTAGATGGGTGGGTGTGTGGCTAGGCTGGCTGACCGCCTTTTGAATTAGGCCTAGTGGGTGGTCAGTGCAGTGTACGAATCTAACGAGTGGATACGGTATACCGGTACTCCCCTCACCCCCTGTTCTGCAGTATATAGCTACACTCCCGTAGGGACTAACTCTAGCGGGCGTAACAGGGGTATGCCGTCTGGTCCGGCTATGTGCCGTGCACGTAGCATATGCGGGCGTAGCATCCCGCCGATCAGGGGTACAGCCTCAATGCCTGTTCGGACGTGCCAGGTGCTGTGTGTCGATCGATTATGATAAGCTTTCAATGATTTTCCTAGTACGGAGTACTACCTATTCCACCCTCTTCCCACCCTTGTCCACCAATATTCGTCAGGATCGGATTATCCCAGAGTAACACGGCATACAGTTGTGGGGATCCCTACTTTTGTGTGTCCATGGTACAGCGTAATCATTTGACACGTATCAACGCGTACGGGAACCATTCGGCTTAATATCAAGGAATTGATTGATACGAACCCGAATCAACCCTGCGTAAAATTCTTTCTCAAGCTCATCTCACGACACGTAATGGAACGACATATGGAGCCGATCTGTAGCCGCCGTAGAGTCGTTTGGAAGAAATCCACAACAACACACCCTTGATCAGGCCCAACGGACGTCGTGCAACCTCATTACCGTAGACACTGGTGAGATCCGGTAAAAGCTAGGAAACCTACTAACGGTAAGGGGTATCGCGGCCGCTGTGAGAGGTATAGTGCGCTGGCAGAAACAGGGATCTAGAGGTGGCAGAAGCAGGGGTTGGTTATTTACGTCAGCAGTAGGCAAGTAGGCAAGTGGGTGGATAGGTGGGCTAGTGGGTTGACCGCTTTATATATTGAGATTAGCGTGGTAGATATCCGCTAGCTGCTCTAGGATATCGGCTAGCTTTCTCAGGCTAGCGGGTTTCCTAGCTTTTACCGGATCTCACCAGTGTCTACGGTATTTGGTTCCGGGCCCCGGGCGTGACTCACTACAGGCGTAGGCATCACTTCCAGTACGCTGCCACTGCCAGTCCCTACCTACTGAATGGTTAAGGCGCCGAGACCCCAAACGCGCAGAGCCGTCAGATTGTATCACGGACAATACAGAAGGGATGGAGGGGCTGCCGCCGCCTCCGAGGAAGCGCACGAGAGTAAAGAGGTGGGGGAGTGAGTATTTGTAGTTACATCTTAATTTTTTCCCCAGTACCTACAAAAGCCTGGACCCTCGCCCAGCCTTTCGCTAGTAAAGGTCGTTCTGTCAGCTTAATCAAAGTAAACCTGTGTCCTCGTTAGACTTCTCATTCTCCGATCACTCGTTGCTGGATCACTCATTGTTTAAGTCTACTCATTGAGGCGGCCAGACCTCTTGCATGTCAATCAAAGACGGATAAAACACAAATCAACATGTCGCCATCCAACCAGCCGTCGGCCTCTAGCAAGATGCGTGCCATCGGTATCCCGGATGGCAAATACGGGCCAATTGAGAATTTGGAATCTCGAGAAGTACCCCGTCTCGGTACCCCCCCGGGACGGTGGATCAAGATTGCTGTAAAGGCGGTTTCTGTCAACCCACTGGACATCAAAATACGCCAGGGCACGTACGACGACACGCCAAACTACTACAAAGTCGTACGATCAATCAACCCGTATTTGGAAAACTTCCACGCCATGGGTGGCGACATCTCCGGCATTGTAACCGAGCTAGGCCCAGATGCCAGCTTGTTCAAGGTCGGTGACGAGATCTACGGGGTTGGGAGCGCTGTGCGATGGGGCACGTACGCCGAGGAGGCCATCATCGACGAGACCAAGGCTGCCATCAAGCCCAAGAGCCTCGACTGGACGCAGGCGGCGGCTATGCCCCTGACGTACAACACGGCCTACGAGTCCATCGTCGAGCGCCTCGAAGTGAAGAAGGGCGAGAAGGCGGGGCTGCTGATCATCAACGGAGGCGGCGGCGTTGGAGCCGTGGCCATTCAAATCGCAAGGCACGTCCTGAAGCTGCCCGTCGTGATTGCGACGTGTTCAAGGCCCGAGACTGCCGAGTTTGCCAAGGCCATGGGCGCCACGCATATCGTGAACCACCGCGAGGACATTGTCCCGCAGATTGCGGCTCTCGACCTGCCCCGTGATGTGCCGCTCCGGTATGCCTACATTACCAGCCGCACGGAGCAGTACATCCATCCGATCGGCGAGGTGCTCGCACCCTTTGGCAAGGTCTGCAGCGTCGTGCAGGCTCACTTTGACATGTACGGGTCAAAGTTCATGAGCAAGTCGTTGACCTTTAGTTGGTGCTGGCTAGGAACCGAGCCCTTTTACCGTCACTACACTTCCATGGCCTCGACAGCCGGGTGGTCGTACCCGGAAATGCACCACGAGTGGTTGACGGAGCTGGCCAGGCTGATTGACGAGGGGGTGGTGAAGCCTCACCTGACAAGGAGAGCGAAACTCACACTGGAGGGCATCAAAGAGGCGCACCGGTTCATTGAGTCAGGCACAGCGATCGGCAAGATGGCCCTGGGCGTAGATGACGAAGGCGAAGGCGAGGCATTTCACTAGTGAGTGGATGTTGCCTCGGCTTCTACTACAATAGGTAGATAGCAATATATCCGATGCATGCTTTAATGAAGACCACATGCTGGCGGAAACAAGCTTTGGGGCAAACTGGATACTGCAGTGGATTTCCCAGCCTTTGGCAAAAATGGGTAGCGGTTAACAGTCAGACACTTTGTGGGTCAAATTTCAGACTATCTCAAAGTACTGACCCACCTCCTCTTAAGTCACTTCTGTTGTCCCCACACCACTAACTTCAAATCTTCAACTCCTAAGTTAACAAAAACTTCTCTAATAGTATATACTATAGTATAGTTATTCTAAATTAAAGGTAGTATCCCTAGGGGTAAATTTCTCTAAAAGTTGAGTTATACTACTAAATTTTAGATATACTTTAAGTTAATAGAGATATCTCTGTTTTCTTCTTTTTTCTCAGTAAAAAGGTAAGCTAGTCTATGCGTAGGTCTATGTGGAATAAGCAAGAGACTTCAAGAGGTACTTTAATGACTCAAATACTGCCCTGCAAAGTGTCTGCCTGTTAACCGCTACCGAAAAATGAAGCCACCTGGCACTCGAAAAGATAATATGCCTGTAACCATGGGCTATTTTTCCAGCCTCCAGTAAATGTTGTGATTAGCCAATATCCGATATTCTCATCCCATGCTTATGGTCCCCAGTAAACCGAGTTTTACAACAAAATCCCTCTTCTCTACCCCGGCTCCTAATCCGGAATCTCACTAGCATGGCAACGTTTCACCGGCTCTCCCTAGCCCAAGTTCGCGAGTATATCCTTCATCATGTCTTTGCCGGACGGCGGAATGACTCGTTGATACTTCCCCACGAACCCGCCACCTACTACACCATTAAATCGACACCTCAGTGTGGAAAAAGAGAGATATGTGGTCTAGACGGATTCGTGCCGTTCTCCAGCGGCTATGCGAGAGAATTAGCAGCTCACATTGGTGTCCAAGAAGACCGAAAGACAGCTAGAATCTCCATTAGCAAGGGAGCGCGCTGGATCATTCGGGCGTGCGCCTGTCCTCACCGCGGCCCAGACGGCATATGTCTGACGGACTTTATGTTGATTCATCTTGAACCCACACATATGTTATCTAGCAAAATTAAGCACATATATGCCGTTCGTGTACGCTATGCTGACTTAGTATTCCGTCACTCATTGTTTGGCCGCCTTCCTCCCTCTTCGCCTTTCTAGTATATCAAACAACCGTTTACACACCTAGTTGTTGACTTTTGTTGTTGTATTTTTGGAAACCCCCCTGGGATAAAATGGGCTCGTTCGTAGATCGGGACAACGTCTCGATAGCGATAACAGGCCTGTCTTGCAGATTCCCAGGCGATGGCGAGAACCCGCAGGTGTTCTGGGACGCAATATGCAGCGGCAAATGTATGTACCGCGACGTATTCCCTCTTCGTAATCTAGCCACTTGCTTGTGCCAGAGCTAACACAGCCCGAAGCCGCATGGTCCGAAGTCCCAGCTTCTCGCTGGAACGGCGACAGTTTCTGGTCCGCGAGTAAACAACGTAACAAAGCCATCACCAAGAGCGGTCACTTCATTAAACAGGATGTGTCCAAATTTGACGCCACTTTCTTTGGCATTTCTTCAGCCGAGGCGGCTGCCATGGACCCGCAGCACCGCCTCATGACCGAGGTGGCCTACGAAGCGGTTGAGTCGGCCGGCTTGACACTCAAGGAGCTTCAGGGGTCCCGAACCGGCGTTTGGATGGGTCATTTCACATCCGACTACAAGGAAATGCTCTACCGCGATTCCGACGGCGCCCCGCCGTACGCGGCCACGAGTCTGCAGAAGACGAGCCTGGCGAACCGCATCAGCTGGTTGTGGGACTTGCGCGGGCCGAGCTTTACTCTCGACACGGCGTGTAGCTCGTCCTTGGTTGCCTTGCACTTGGCCTGCCAGAGTTTGCGGACGGGCGAGAGCGACATGGCTATCGTCGGTGGTAGCAATCTGATGTTGGGGCCTGAAGTATTTATCTTCTTCGGCGGACAAGGCTTCCTTTCTCCGGACGGCAAGTCAAAATCATTCGACATCTCCGCGGATGGCTACGGCCGTGGAGAGGGTTTTGCCGCCGTGGTCTTGAAGCGCGCCGACGACGCCATCCGGGACAATGATCCGATGCGTGCTGTTATCCGCGGAACGGCATCTAATCAGGACGGCCACACGAAAGGCTTTACGCTGCCTGATTCTGGAGCCCAAACGAGGCTCATCAAGGAGGTCTATGCACAGGCGAGGCTAGGATTTGAGGGAACAGGTTACGTAGAAGCTCACGTGAGTAACATCTCTCAATTTCTTTTCATTCCTTTCCATCCCACACCCGACCTGGTAAATGTCACTACTGGTGCTAAAAGAAAGTCTTGCTTCAGGGAACCGGAACACAGGCGGGAGACGTCGAGGAGACGCTCGCTCTGTCTCAAACACTGTCGTCGTCTCACTCCGCAGCCAACAAGCTCCTGCTAGGATCCGTCAAGTCGAACATTGGCCACTTGGAAGCGGCCGCCGGTCTGGCTGCGGTGATCAAATCGGTCCTGATTCTCGAGCATGGCATGATTCCACCCAACATCCACCTGCAAACCCCAAACCCAAAAATCCCCTTTGAAGACTGGAATCTCAAAGTACCCACGTGTCTCACACCGTTTCCAGCCAACAAGGACAAGGACGGAGTAAGGCGCATCAGCGTTAACTCATTTGGCTACGGTGGGACGAATGCCCACGCAATTCTTGACGACGCCGCGTCCTATCTCAAGTCGCGAGCCGTCGCTAATGGGCTACACTTCACGAAAACCATCGGAGGACGGCGTGAACTCACTACTACGAGTCGTGGGTCATCCGACAGCGCGGCCGTGGGATCGGGTAAAATCAAGCGCCTCTATCCCATCACCTCACAAGATCGCAACGGGCTTTTGCGTGCCAAGAAAGCCCTTGCATCGTATCTCAAGTCGTCGTACTTCACATCCCTGCCCGAGGATCAGCAAATAAACTTCCTTCAGGACGTTGCCTTCACCCTGAGCAAAAAGCGGACTTTTTTTCAGTGGAAATCGTACGTCATCGCGCCCTCTTCGTCAATACAAGACTTTGCGCGAGCCCTGGAGAAGAAAGACGCTTCGGTTGCAGAGACGCTCAGTTCACGCACGCCCAGGCTGGGTTTTGTCTTCACCGGCCAGGGTGCGCAGTGGCCGGCCATGGGCATGGAGCTGTTTAAGGCGTACCCCGTCTTTCGCGCAAGCGTTGAGTCGGCCGATGCCTACCTGCGAGAGCTCGGTTGCCAGTGGTCGGCGATCCAGGAGCTTGGCGAGACCGCAAAGAATAAGTCCAAGATAGCCATCGCAGAGTACTCCCAGCCGCTTTGCACAATTTTGCAGGTAGCTCTGGTCGATCTCCTGAGGGATTGGAACATCCTCCCACACTCCGTCACGGGTCACTCGTCCGGTGAGATCGCCGCAGCCTACTGCATGGGTGCGCTGTCCCGCGAGTCAGCGTGGAAGACGGCATACTTCCGAGGAACACTTGCAACCGCGCTGAAAGAAATGGCACCCGATATCAAGGGCGCTATGATGGCGCTTGGGTTGGGGCCGGACGCAGCCGCGGACATGATTACGAGGGCCAAGGCAGACTGGCAAGTCAGCGTTGCCTGCGTCAACTCGCCGACCTCGGTGACCATCTCGGGAGACGCTACCGGAGTCGATAAGATGCTGGCCACAGCGGAAGAGGAAGGCGCGTTTGCTCGTAAGCTGCAAGTCGATACCGCCTATCACTCGTTCCACATGCAGATGGTTTCACAGGACTACATGGAGGCCATCTACGATCTGGAAGTCGAACCCACTGCTGCGGAATCCAAGATACGTATGCACACCTCAGTCACTGGCACCGCGATTGACGACCCGGAAGATTTGGGTCCTGCGCACTGGGTGAAAAACCTGATCAGCCCGGTGCAGTTCGCATCGGCAATCCAGAATCTAGTGCGTCCCCTGGAGAGCAAGTCCAACGGACGCCCACGAGAAAACGCTGTGCACATCCTGGTGGAGATCGGCCCTCACAGCGCTTTGCGAGGACCCTCTCTCCAGAGCCTTAAATCCATTGGTGTGACCAATGTGCCGTACTTCTCTGCCTTGACGAGGAACGAGGACGGAGTCGACAGCGCACTGAATCTTGCTGGCACGCTGTTCAGCCACGGTGTCCCCGTCGACTTTGCCGCCGTCAACCAAGACAAGTCTGCGCGAAGGACGCCTCGGGCCCTAGTGCATCTGCCCTCGTATCAGTGGAACCACTCCCAGAAGTACTGGGCAGAATCTCGCCTTGCACGGGAGTTTAGACTTCGCGAATACGGCGCGAGAAGCCTGGTAGGAGCACCCTGCCCCGTGACGTCAACAGAAGAGCGTGTATGGCGGGGGTTTTTGAGGCTCGAGGAGCAGCCCTGGGTGGCCGATCATAAGATCAATGGCTCGATTCTGTATCCTGGTGCTGGCTTCCTTGCTATGGCGGTCGAGGGCGTGAGACAGCTGGCCTTCCACCGGAACCTCGACAAGCCGAGGATTGTCAAGGGTTTCCGATTCCGTGACGTGCGGCTCATGGCGGCGATGATTCTGTCCTCGGATAAGCAAGAGGTCGAGCATACTCTGAGCCTGCAACCTCAGCCCGAGGACGGCTGGTACCGCTTCACAGTGGCCAGCTCTGGAGATGGCCAATCTCTTACAAGGAACTGTGCAGGTCTTGTCCTAGTCGAGTACGAGGATGGGGAAAACCCCGTTTCGAGTGTGCCGGCTGAGGAGCTAGAGATAACTAGCTTGTTCAAGGCAGCCACATCCTCGTGTCACAACACCATCGACCCGAGCAATTTCTACGAGACGCTGGAGCAAGTCGGCGTCCAGTACGGGCCCTGCTTTGCCAACGTCACCTCCCTCTCGTCTAGTCCCAACACGGCGGTGGGCAGTATTGCCATTCCCGACGTGGGGTTCACCGCTGCCGACTCTGGTGGCGGACCCGAGGACTTGTATCGAAAACGCCCGCACGTCGTGCACCCGGCCTTCCTCGACGCCGTGTTCCACCTCTGCTTCGCCGCCCTCATGGGTGATGGCAACAAAATGAAAAGTGCCATGGTTCCTACCCAGATTGACGAGATTTGCTTGAGCATGAGGCTTCCAATCGACGTTGGAAAGCAGCTGAAGGGCTTCTGTCACGCCAAAAGAGCCGGCTTGAAGAATCTCGAAGCCGATATGGCTGTCATGGACGAGCAGGAGGCCAGACCTGTTTTGACCATTCGAGGATTCTGCTGTACTCAGGTTGACGGGAGCACTTCTGGAAATTCGGACGCCGAGGTGACAGCGATTACCAAGAAGTATGCCAGCAGAGTGGTCTGGAGGCCTCATCTGCAACTGCTTTCTGATGACGACCTGGAGCAATGGATCCAGTCCAAAACCAAGACAGTCGAAGAGGTATTGGCTGAATACATCAAGCTGCTGCACCACATCAATCCGGGCTTGTCCATGCTAGAGTTCACCCCGACAGAGGTGCCTCACACGGTGATCGGGTCACTCGTGGGGCTGGGCATGGCTCCGCTGCTGAACACGGCCAAATATACCGTCTGCGCCTCTAGCAATTCCATAATTGATGGGATGAAGGGCTCGCTGCGGTCTGTTTCAGCCGAACTGAATGATCTCGTCAACGTGGCTGTTCTGGACTTCTTTTCCGGTACGCCAACAGAGGCCGCCGAGTCCGCGACCCCCCGCGCGGCGGACTTGATCATAACAACGAATTTGTCTACCAGAGAGAGAGAGGATGCCCAGAAGGCCCTTGGAAAATCATTAACGCACATGTCCAGCAAAGGCAGAATGCTCCTAGTCGAGCATGACTCTGGAAATGTCTCCGCTTTGAGGGGATTGGCCCGCGAAGCCGGTCTTGCCATCGAAGCTGAGCTTGAAGCAGCTAGCGGAGTCGTTGTTGTTCTGAAGGCTCCCGAGGCGGCCGGAGAGCAACATCAGAGTAATGGCATCAAGATGACAGAAAAGCAAGTGACGCTCCTCGCCCACTCTTCTGCCTCCGAGTTGGCCGATATTTTCTTGGCGGCCCTCGGCGAGTCACTCTCGTCTGCTGGGTATTCACTCTCAGTTGTGCGGTGGGACCCAGCCATAGTAGAGTCACTTCAGGGCAAGGCGATCATCTCCTTGCTGGAGCTCGAGTCACCGTTTTGGCGAGACCTCGCCGAGGCTCCAGACGGTACAGGTGAAGCTGCCTTCGTAGCTGCACGAAGTGTGACGCTCTCGGCGCAAAGCGTCCTCTGGGTGACGGGATTTGCAGATCCGGCCGCCGAGATGGTCACCGGCATTGCACGAGTGATGCGCAATGAGGTGCCCGGCTTGAGCTTCCGCACTCTCAACATTTACGACGCCCTGGACATACGGGCTGCCCAGCTTGTGTCGAAAGCATTCGACGAGCACGACTTGACACAACCGGACGACGCAGAGTTCAAACTTGAGGGAGGCGTTATACAGGTCAACCGCGTTGTCACTGATGATGCTGCCAATGACGAGTTGGACAAGCTCGTAAATGCGGACAAAGCCGCAACAACTAGCCCCACGGAGAAAATCATGCTGGGCTCTCTGGATCAACATAGATGCCTTCGTCTTGCCGTCGAAGCTGCGAGTGATCACAATTCACTCCACTTTGTAGAGGAACAGTCCGTTCCTGGAGACAACGTCAAGACAGAAGAGCTGGCAGATGACGAAGTGGAAATCTCCATCAAGGCGTCGTGCGTGAGTGGCGCCGACTTAGCCACCGTCAAAGGCCAGAATAGGTTTGATCCCAATGTCCTCGGCATGGAGGCTTCCGGAGTCATCACTCGAGTCGGCTCCAATCGAATTCAAAGCACGTTCAGGTTGGGCGATAGGGTCATGGTCCTGGCGCCCGGTGCGCACCGCACCCTCCTCAGAACGAAGGCTGATTACGTCGGCAGAGTGCCCAGTGGCATATCTTACGAGGAGGCTGCCAGTATCCCGCTCGCCTTGACCACAGCGTGGTACGCTCTAGTCTATCTAGCCAGGTTGGGCAGCTCCAGAAAGAGGTCTGTTCTGATAAACGATGCATCAAGCACAGTCGGCCAGCAAGCTCTGCGCATCGCGCGACATCTAAGCCTGGACGTCCTCGTCATGGTGGAGTCGGCGTCGCAAGCTGACTCTGCTGTTCACACTCTAGGTGTGAAGCCCTCGAACATTTTGACGCTGTCGTCAATCAACGTGTTCAGCCTAGCGCACGCCATCAAGCAGCTTTCCCCTGGGAGGCGAGGCATTGATGTAGTGGTCGACTGCTCTGGCAGGCTGGCGGGTGAGACCCTGCGACAAACCATGAACGCCGTCGCCCCCTTCGGACACCTTGTCAGTTGTGTAGACGGCAACAACAACAGCAGCCATGGTTCCTCTGCCGCCTCCGCTGCCGCCATCGGATGCTCAACTAATAGCACGCACGTGAACACAACTGTGTCCTCGGTTGATATCACGGCCCTGCTTCATAGCCGACCGGACCTGGTGGCCGACGTACTACAACAGGCCTTCCAGTTTCTTCAAGAAGTCAAGGAGCATATAGCGAGACCACTGCGATCTTTCCCCGTCAGCAACGTCGCTGCCGCTTTCCGTGAAATCGAAGAAGGTTCCGTAGAAAGCGCTATCCTTACCTACTCCGCCAAGGACGTCGTCCCTGCAAAACTGTCCGTCAGACCAACCAATGATTCTACGAGTTCGTCCTACAGCGTATCTCTCCACCCAGACGCCATTTATGTTCTGTCGGGCGGTCTTGGTGGCCTCGGCCGGTCCCTATCAACCCTCCTGGTCAATAAGCTCGGCGCACGCAAGCTCCTCTTCCTCTCACGGTCCGGCGCCACAGCCCCGTCCGCGCGCCAGCTTCTTGTCGACCTGGAGACCTCTGAAGCTCGCCCCGCCCTCGCTGCTTACGCATGCGACGTTTCTGACCGCCTATCTGTGGCAGACGCCGTGTCGAGAGCGGAGGCGGAGATGGGCGGAAAGGTAAAGGGCGTCATCCAATGCGCCATGGTCCTCCGAGACGTGTTGTGGTCCAACATGTCGTATAAGCAATGGGTCGAGTCCACGCTGCCAAAGGTTCAGGGCACGGCGAACCTATCGAGCGTGCTGCCAGACGTAGACTTTTTCATCTCGTTATCGTCTTTTGCCGGCATCTTTGGCAACCGGGGACAAGCCAACTACGCGGCGGGCAACTGTTACCAAGATGCGCTGGCGCGGCACCGTCGAGGGCCTTTGGGCCTGGGATCTGGGCTCACCATCGACGTCCCGATAATGCGAGGCATCGGCGTCCTGGCGGAATCCGGAGGGTTAGAGTCTCTGAGGGAGTGGGAGGAGCCGTACGGCATCAGCGAGGCCGAGTTCCACCACGTCATGAACTTGGCCATCCGGCGAGACATGGGGCTAGAGCGTGGCCAGACCGACAACCAACTGATCCTTGGCATCGCCACGGGCGCGTCAGCTCAAACAGCCGGGATCCCGACGCCGTACTACTTGGAAAGCGAGGCCAAGTTCAGCATCATGCAGAAGACGGACATGGCATTCCTCAGGGGCTCTCAGGACAAGGCCTCAACTTCATCTGGCGAAGCAGAAAACAAGCGGGAGTCGATCCAGACCGTCCTCTCCCGGGCCGCGAACCTCGAGGAGGCTTCCGACGCCATCACACAGATGCTGGTGAAACGTGTCGCCAAGATGCAGCGGGTGACGGTTGAGGAAGTCGACGCGAGCCGGTTCCTGCATAGCTATGGCGTGGACTCACTAGTGGCTATTGAGATTGCGAATTGGGCACTGAGGGAGGTGAAGAGCAAAATCAACGTGTTTGACGTCATGGCTGGCGTTCCGATCACAGCGCTGGCTGAGAAGATTGCTGGGAAGAGTGAGCTAATCCCGAAGGAAGTCAGAGAAGGCTAAGAATGAGGCGAGGAGATCACGGGGGCACACTACAATGATGTTTGCGTTCATGGGCAGGGCCGAGCAAGTTTTATGGAAGAGCTGACTTGAACTGGGCTTTGTGATAGTACATGATAGACAAAGAACTGATATTCAGAATGACGGATTCACTGTTTTGTTGCCTTTTTGTTAGAATCAGCTGAAGATTACAAATATAGAAATGAAAATACGGCAAAACGATGGAAGCTGCTTTTGCGGCATCAACGCCGTCGAAGCAGCAACATTACAAGCATCTAACTTGGGTTAATAATTCGATTTACCGACCAATTAAACTACAAGGCGTCGAGACCATTGCCAAAGGCAGGTCCGCAACCACATCAACTTGGAACCTGTTAAGAGAGCCAAGACTAGAAAGCCCCTCTCAGCTTTTGGGAGTTTTTTCTTCTTCTTCTTCTTTTTTTTTTTTTGTAGTTCATTTATTCTGTCAGTAAAAAAAAAAAGTCTTTTGAATTATCTTTGATTTGTGTCAACATTTTCCAGTCAGACTTGTCAGGTAGTGTCAGTGTAGCGATTTTGCGTGTAGACATATACCGTGGGGGAAGCTGGCGTTCACAATCACAGGGTAGTGACGTGGGGCTCAGCTTCAAAGCTTTGACTCGAGAAGTTGCTCAAATGAGGCCTATCAGGAAGGAGTTGATTAATCTTTCTCCTTTGCTAGCATCCAAATCAGCTAATATCGAACTATCACCTTCCTAGCAATAACGGTGAATTATGATCGTCGCCGGCGGAGGGATACATAAAGTTGCCGTTGGTCTCGTTATCGCTATCGCTATCGCGGGTTCAATCCCTCGATTCTCTGGCTCCAGATACTCCAGCCCAACTTCGACCGTGGTGTTGCCGACAATGACTGGGAGTTGTCTATCTACTGCTTGTGGAAGAGGTGCCTGCAGCCCGGCAAGTTTGTCGGTGACATGGGTTGTAGACAAAATAGAGCTCCACATCTACACTACGAGATGGGTGTAGCTACGTGATGCAGGGATCTAGGGAGAAGGATTCAGAAATTCACATTGTACCGCTCACAAGTGCCCCACAGCCAAGGAGGGTGTAATGGTTGTTCGGCATGCTTGAATGCCAGGGTAGACGTAGGGACGGGGACGAGCGGAACAAACCTTAAAATGATACCGGAACCAGAGGTTGGCGTGATATGGCAACGCCCCTTCCCCGTGGACGCCTTCACCGCACCTCCTAAGCGGCAGATCCCGTACCCCCGACCCCTGGATGACAGCAACAGTGTGGCAGCCAACTACGGATCTCCTTAGGCCCTAAAACCTGGATGATTATCCAGGCCGGGGTATGGACCACTTACAGCGTCCCCTCAGTTCGGCAGTACATCGAATTTGCCATGTATTTGTGGGCCTGGATAATTATCCAGGTTTTAGGGCCTAAGGAGATAGGCTTGCAACAAAGAGATCAAGCAGAAAAAAAGCGTCGCGGAAAATGTTTTCCACTGTTTTAAGTTATGCACAGCCTACATCAGCTGGCAATTGGCAACTGGCAGTGTCACCAGCGAAGGATCTGGGCCTAATGTGGTCATCTAAATCCGCATCCATCTAACCGAGGTCACGTCTACCTCATGCATATAACCCGACTTATAGGCCCGCCCCTGCATGGGTCAAATGGTATGCCGTTTACAGCGATGCAACTGGTTCTTATCTCCAACACTGGACTCCCTTGATCGCTACAACCTCATTTGGGCACGACAAAGCTTCAGAAAATGCAACTCGCCACTGAGTAGACGCATTTTATGTTGTAAACCGGCACAGTGTTTCCGATGTCAGTCCAGTCCTAGGCACATTCTCGTCGAGAAACTTTGGAGCTCTGTCTTTTCCATACCACACCCGCGCGAGATATCAGTGACTCTCAAGGTATTGCATCTTGTCCACCAAACAAATCATGCCCTCACCTATAGATCAGGTGCTAGGCATCATTGCTCAAGAAGCCCATGAGCCAACAGAAGAGCTGCAGCAGAACGCCGAACTCGAGTTTACAGATTTAGGCATCGACAAGCTGCTCTCAGAGTCTATTCTCAGCCAAGTACGTAAAGCCACTGCGCTCGAGCTGCCGTCGGATCTCTTCGAGATTTGCCCAACCGTGGGTTCCTTGACAGAATTCCTCCAAAATATCGACCTTCATCCAAGCCCCGGACCAGGGACACCTCCTGAGCCCGCCAGCACTACCGATCGTCTTCAGGGTGGCTCGAATAATACGCTTCCAGAACAGCCTCTATCCATTCGTCTCCATGGCTCCCCGAAAACGCCAAGAAAAACAGTCTTTCTACTTCCCGATGGCTCTGGTTCCGCCATGTCGTATTCCCGCATCCCCTCCTTGGGACCGGGCATATGTCTTTACGGTCTGAACAGTCCTTTCCTATCAAATCCCGGAGGCTTTCTCCCCATTCCAGACATTGCCCCAATATGGGCTGCGGAGATTCGTCGTCTACAGCCGAAGGGATCTTACATTCTGGGAGGCTGGTCTGCCGGAGGATACTACTGCTTCGAGGTCGCCAAGTACCTCCTGCAACATGAGAGGGAAGACGATGGTCGCCCAGTCGAGGTGGAAAAGCTCATACTCATCGATAGCCCGTCCCGAAACGTCTTCGAGGCTCTTCCAATGGCCGTCGTCACCACTCTTTCAAGTCAAGGGTTGATGGGGAACTGGGGCACCAACGAGGCGCCGAAGTGGCTGTTGGACCACTTCGATGCCACGATTGCGCGGGTTGAGGAGTACCAGCCCTCCCCTCTAACGATTCTACTCCGAGGTCAGGCGCTGCCCAAGGTGTTCGTGATCTGGGCTACCGATGGCGTCTACGGTCCTGGAGGCGCAGCAGCTTCGGGTCTAGACACGACGGTCAAGGTGACCAAGTTCATGTTGGAGGACAGGCTCGACATGGGGCCCAATGGGTGGGATAAACTGTTCCCAAAAGGCACCCAGATGGCTGTCGCAACTACTCCGGGAACGCACTTCACACTGATATTTCCCCCGCATGTATGTTGATACCACAATGCTCTTCAGTTCTGTTCGATGGCGCATTTCTAATCTTGGTGACGGCAGAGCTCGCAAATAGGATCCAGACTCAGAGATATCGTATCGGACGACACAACACAAGTAAGCAACACGTGGAATCGCCAATATTGTTAATACCCCGAGCTTCTTTCCAACGGTATATCGCATTCTAAATAGTCGTCTTGCCGGAAGCGGGCACAAAGCTTGGGTTTTATAAGTAAAGTGTCACAATGTGCGCAAGCCTGGTGATCAGATAACACAGCCACCCTGTTAACGAGCCACCATCATTACCACTATCACCACTACTATCACCGCTTATTTCACTCCCTCTTCCACCCACGTAGATGCAACTTTCGACTTCACTAGATAATTCAGATGCGCTGGATTCATCCAGACTATCTGTATCGCTGATATTCGTATTTTGCGCCCGCTGGATATGGGCTATTGTCGCGAAGGTGCTGCTGGGAGATGTAGTGACCCTCTTCCTCTTGCCCTCATGCTGGTTATCTAGACGGGCCTGCAGATCGCTGGCTCGTCGCTCTGCAATTGCTAGTCTAGATGCCTGCTCATCATATCCCTTCTGCAGCTTTGTAGATAAGTGGCGGATAGTATGGGTATCTAGGGCGTCCTTGCCCAGCTGGTTGAATAGATGTAACTGATGCCGCAGATCAGCAGAGTGATGAGGGGTTGACTATGGGATAGTAGATACTGCCTCATCCTATTGCTGGCTGCTGCTTTACTAGCTGGCTGGCTGGCTGAATGATGCTTTTAATACTAGGAAGCTGGATAGAGGGCGCCGTACAGATACTGGCCATAACCCAGCCCATTTCCAGCCGGATTAAATATTTTGGGTTGTTATTGCTGCTTTGCGCACATCAAAATAAAAGTCTACCAATGCCCTTTTGCCAGCAACAGTTGAATCACTTATCTAGTCACCTAGACGTCCAACCCCTTTCTGATACAAACCCCGGGTATTACCACCTGAAGCTGTAAGCCCCGCTAAGTGCATAAATGTCTTTTTCTTACTCCCAAGAATGGCAAGACTAAACCCTCGGTCGGTGCATCGTCGATGGACCAAGCAATACGTGATCCTGGTTCCATGACTCAGAGCCCTGCAGTTGATAATTTAGAAAGCTTCTTGCAAAACGTTAGCTATACATTTTTCCGTAGCCCCCGTTCCTTGCCCGTGGTACTAGCCCCCGGTTGAATGTCGCGTTGTTACCCAAGTTCAAACCCGTCAATATATCCGACGAACCGAGTGTCCAGGCTCAGTGTCCGTGGCTGAAGGAACCAACTGACTCGATCAATTGGCCCAGGTTCCTAGGGCCTAGAGTAGTTTTGATCCCCTACCCAGATCAGGCATTGACCATTCTTAGATATCCCCTTGTCCGGTTGAAACATCCCTCCTAAGTGTACTTCTGAATTCAATGACCAGCGGAGCATACAAGAGTCGTCTTGTTTTTGAGTTGGTATGTTGTCGGCCACATCGATATCCACGATGAACTAAAATTTACAACCGGTTTTGATTGAGTCATGCCCCGGTCAGTGAACGGGGTGGACGGCCGGGCTATGCGGTGAAATGGTCTTTAGGTAATGTGTCTTGATTGTGTCGATGCAACCGAGATGATCGGGAAGCAGCTCCCTTGGGATGTTAAAGGCCAGCTAGTCGTTCCCTTAGATCCACCTCTCTTGGGTAGACATATTTACGACTAGATAGATCGATTCACTCGTTGTCTCACTTTCTTGTTTCGCTTGAGTAGTACCCTTCTGGTCCCGGGAAATTATTTGCAACGTTAGGATGGCTCAGACACGCCCATTCAAGAAGGTGATATCTGAGCAGCGACGGTTTAAGATGAGTGCGTAGGGCTAACGGTGTTGGTTGCTAGATCATCATTGTTGGATCAGGTCCTGCCGGCCTGCTCCTTACGCTCCTCCTCTCCAGAGAAGGTATTGAGGTGCAAGTCCTGGAAGCCGCTGCGGACGTTGACAGGCGACCCAGAGCCGCTTACTACGGAACGGCCTCCATTCCGGATCTCCAGCGAGCTGGCGTCTTGGATGAAATCCGTCGCAGAGGGTTCCCGCCAACAAGCTTCACCTCGCGGCAGTTCGGCGGGGAGTATCGTGCATTGGGTCTGTTGGACACCAATTTGCTCGCCGACATTGACGGCCAGGACCTCAGGTCGGCATGTCTGCCACAAAAGGATCTCCTCGAGATTCTTGTCAAACGGGTTGAGAACAATCCTCTCGTCACCCTTTCGTGGAACCACAAGGTCCTGGGCGTCGGCCAGGACGAGACGAAGGGGTGGGTTGATGTCGAAACCCCTGAAGGGCAGAGTAGGATCGAAGCGGACTATGTCGTAGGCTGCGACGGAGCCCACAGCATCGTTCGAAAGAGCTTGTTCGGTAACGATTTTCCAGGCAAGACCTGGGATGTTCAGTTAGTTTCTACCGATGTGAGTCTCTCTCTCTAGCGCCAGCACTGCCTCACGGAAAACAACGACGTTGGAAACTAAATGCGCACGGTGACACAGACATACTACGACCTCGAGAAGAAGTTTGGCTTCACCCACGCCAACTTTGTCTCACATCCGAAAAACTTTTTCGTAAGCTCTCATGCCACAGAACCGTAACGCAGGTACGCGATGGCGATAGTCGGCGATACTGATTCTTGGAAAACAAATTCAGATTGCAGCGAAGCTGAACGATGAGGGGCTGTTCCGCATCACCTACGCTGAGCCTGGCGACATGTCTTACGAGGAAGTCGAGAAGAGACTTCCCAGCCGATTGGAGGAGATCCTTCCAGGCAACCCTAAGCCAGACGAGTACGAGATGCTGGGCTGGGCGCCGCACAAGATCCACCAACGGTGCGCTCCATCTATGCGCGTCGGCAGAGTCATGCTGGCGTCCGACGCCGCTCACCTCTGCAACCCCTTGGGAGGGCTGGGCGTGACGGGCGGTTTCGTCGACGCAGGCGGCCTTGCCGACTGTCTCCTAGGCATCTGGAACGGCGTAGCCGACGAGTCCATTCTTGACCTCTACAGTGAGAAGCGAAAGGAGAAGTGGTACAGCATCACGGATGTGGTAACCACGGACAACTTCATGAAGACAACCTGCAGATACCCCATCGAAAAGTTGATGAAGAGGCCAGACTGGACAAGGAGCGACGAGGCGCGAAAGGAGTTTCTCCTGCAGCGACTGGGTCTGCGGTACGACTTTACCCAGCACTACAGAAAAGAGGCCTCGGGAGTCGGAATATAACTCAATCAAATGTCCAAGAAAATCCTTTCTTGTGATTTTTTTCGTAGCATAGATCGCATGGCAAAAGCTAAGGGTAGCATAGTGTTGACAGTTTCCACGTGGCGTTGATAACGTGGTCTTGCTGATATCATGAATTATTCTTTAACACGAGACTAACTATTTTTACTCTTTTTCATTGAGAAATAAAGAAGGAAAAAATCAAACGAAAATCTCAAAAGCCCCTCGGAAACCTCTCGAAAAACAAAATTCCCTCTCTTGCTCATTCGGATACTAAACTTTTTTTTCGCAAATTCGAGAGTGAACTGTTGTCCCCCCCCTCCCATGGTGGATTGTTGATGCTGGAACCAGACCTGGCTCTGTTTTGGCAAGGTGAAAGGGTGGTGACTCGTCAGGGGCCTTGGACCATTGGCCCACGTCAAAAGGCCATGAAAGTTTAACTTGACTCTCTCGGCATCTCACACCGACCGTTTTACTTCGTGTGGGAGGGGCGGCGAGATGAATTCCCAGGTGGGTGTATATTGCGGCCGCAACTCCAACCTTGCTCAACCAGCTGAAGCAAGTCGTCAAGTTGGGGCGGCCCAGACTGCCGGTAATTTAACGTGATGCAGTAGTACCACCGAGTCCCATGGCACTGTGTACCTTGGAAAAAGAAAGTTTGAATCAGTTGCGCTACCGGTAGGCAAGTGGGCGGATGGGTGGTTTAATGGGTTGACCGCTTTCTCTACTAGAATTAGCGTAGTGAGTGTCCATATCCACTAGCTGTTATGGGATAGCTGCTAGCCTTTACTGGCTAGCGGGCTTCTTAGCTTTGCCTAGATTTTACCAGTGTCCACGGTATACACTATAGCTTAAGTACTCTTGGTTTTTAGAAAAGTTGTTACTATAAACTTCTCTAAAAAAGTTAATTTATACTACTATATTCTAGATAGACTTTAAGCTATTAGAGATATGTCTGTGTTCCTTTTTTTTATAGCAAAAGGGTAAACTAGTCTATGCGTAGGTCTATGCAGGATTAAGCGAGAGACTTCAAGAGGTACTTTGATGACTCAAGTATTGCCCTGCAAAGTGTCTGCCTGTTAACCGCTACCCGATTTTGACAGCTATGCTCGGACCGTTCTGTGGCTACAACACTGTACGTCTGGTTCGGTGTAAGCTCCAGGCGTGTACGCACCACACCACTGGGGCATAGTTTGCCCCCTGTCCCCTGCGTACCGGTACTTGACCCCGCATGTGTAGGGTGAAGTTGGACAGTGGGGCCGCAGAATTAGGACATAAAGCAGGTACAGGGGTCAATGCTGTTCATTTACGGATACCTGCTGTAAGTACGGAGTACAGCTATATCTCTGCCCCTTTTCTTTTTAGTCTGGTACCCAGTTTTAGAGTTTTTTGTAGAATTAGTGGTTCTTGAGCCTCAATACTTAAGGAACAAATCAAAACTTGAATAGTAATACTTATAACAGCAGAACCCGCTTTAAAGTCTGTTATATGCATGAGTGGAGATACCTCAGTGGCTGATGAGTGTAGCTGCAGGACAAGTCCCTCTAGATTTCTATTGTATACAGATGCCACAGAATGAGTCAAGACCGTTCACCATCCCATCGAGTGCGGACGGATAGCGTTTTTGACAAGACCCTGAATACCCATTTTTTTACTCCAAAGCCCCCGATATAGAAATAGTTAGATGGGTAAATAATTGTATGTATTCTCAGACAATACGCCCGCTGGCTCTACTCCGCCCTCGGCGAAATCGCTGTCCATCGGCACCCGATGTGATGACGAGGAAAATCCATCTGGCGAATCTTCCGGGATCTCACCGGGCAAAATCAAATTGTTTGGCAATAAGACGCAAAGACCTTATTCCTTTCTCTGTTTAACTGTCTCTTTTTTACCGTCCATCTGATCCGCAAGCTTTCAGTCGGGTAACGCGCGTATCCGATTCTTCTATCATCAGCTCAGTCATCCAACCAGCATGGCTTTGGCAGCAATCTCACTCCTTGTCAAAGGGCTGGGAATTGTAATTGTTATTTACGTGTTACGTTGTCTACAATTGCGATTACACCGCCGCCAACTCGCTTCCAAGAACAACTGCCGTCCGTGTCCCGCCTACCCGCAAAGGGACCCAATCTTCGGCATTGACACTCATATTGAGACTATTCAGGGCTTCAGGAACAATCACTACCTGGACCTCCTGATTAAACGCCACAACAAATTCGGCCGCACCTTTTCGTTCGACTTGTTCGGTTCAACTACTATTTCAACATGCGACCCTGATGTGCTCAAATGTGCCCTGTCATCGCATTTTAAAGACTTCTCCAACGGAGACCTCAGAGCAAAGAGTGTCGCACCATTGCTGGGTCGAGGGATTCTCGCCGCCGACGGTGAAGAATGGCACCATCAACGGGCGCTGATCCGGCCAAGCTTTGCGCGTGCCCAGGCCACGGATTTGAGCATTTTCGAACGCCACGCAACGCAGTTGATCCGCGCGATTGAGCGGAAAGGCTGCAATGTCGACATCCAAGAACTTGTGCAGCAAATGATCCTCGATGCCAACACAGAGTACCTCTTCGGCGAAAGCACCGGCCTCCTGACCGAGCACGCCTCCACATCCGCCTTGTTACTGAACGAGGCCTTGGACTACGCCCTGGAAGGTGTAATATACAGGATACGACTCGGAAAACTCATGCCCCTACACCGTGACCCCAAGTTCTGGGACGCGTGCAAGACGGTACACGCCTTTGCCGATCAGTACGTTGCGCAGGCCTTGGAGCTGAGAAATTTGCACGCCAAAAACAAAGAGGCGTCTGACGAGGAGGCGCGACTACCCAAAAGATACGTCTTGTTGAATGAGATGGCCAAGGACACAAGCGACCCCATTCTTCTGCGTGACGAGATCGTCACCATTGTCATGGCTGCCCGTGACACAACATCCGCCACTGTCTCCTTCGCGCTATACCTGCTCGCACGACGACCTGACATCTGGGCCAAGCTGAGGACGAACGTGATGCAGCACTACATCTCGCCCTTGACCTACGAAGCTCTTGAGGACATGAAGTATCTAAAATGGGTGGTGGCCGAGACCCTTCGCCTATTCCCCCCAATTGCCAACAACGGCCGCATGGCCGTTCGGGACACCGTGTTCCCGGTTGGCGGTGGCCCAGATGGCAAGGCGCCGCTGCTGGTGACCAAAGGCACGACAGTGCTCTTCAGTGTCTACGTGATGCAAAGGCGGACCGATCTCTGGGGCCCTGATGCCGAAAATTTTGAGCCAGAGCGTTGGAGCCCTGAATCGGAGAGGAAGGGACGCCATGGATGGGAATATCTTCCGTTCCTCGGAGGCCCGAGAATATGCCCCGGCCAGAAGTTTGCGTTGACCCAAGCGAGCCATGTGCTGGCGAGGCTGGCTCATGCATTCGAAAGGATCGAGAATATGGATCCAAGAGATTGGAGAGAGCAGTGGACCCTCAGCGTCGCCCCCAAAGATGGCGTGAAAGTGAAGCTGGTGCCGGCGGCGTAGAAACTCAGCAGATTCTCTAATCTAACTTGTTGAGTTTTACAGAGTAGTTTCAGTATTTTCTAGGAACAAGTAGTGAATATGGCTTTTTCGGGGTGTATGCTTGGACAAAACAATACATAAGTAGAAGACTTTGAAAACTGCGTCGTACTGCGGGATTCCCTCATTGTTTCCGGGGCGTAGCAGCCTCAGAAGACCTTTGCCAGTTGAGCTGCACGTATTACTTTTGTTGATGTCACCTATGACTGATGAATCTTGTTGTACTTCGAACAGGTTAAAGGCACACGTGATACGAATCAAATGAATATCACGATCAACCCCCTTCCGTAGGAAAACTTCCCAGTTGCTTTTCTCAGTACTACGACCGGACGCCTTTGGTCCCATCAGTTGACACATGGGCAGTGTCTCGCATCCTTGGATCCACATTTGCAGGCATTTGTAGGACAGAAGATCCGGGTCGCAGCTGAACACAGGTACCACTAAAGTTGAACCTTAATTGATAAGATTTCCGAACTTAGTTGCCGCATTACATCGAGTAGTATAGAGTACCCCTCATGAGGATTTCACTCCGTAAATATATTCCTCCATATGACATTAACGTAACCCACACAAACGCTCGATTGATGCAAAATTGACCAATAATCACAGGGTTAATCCAAGCTTACCGAATGCTTGGCTCGCTCTGCTCCTGGGCAATTCCCCACATGTACAGCCTCGACAGTTTAGGTGATTGTTATATCAACGCCAAAATAGCTGCATTGCCCAAAGTCGTGCCTGTACGTCCACCTTCTCACTCATAAGATCATATTTTCGACATGTCTGTATCGGCGCTTCTCATACTGGATGCCACGATAGGGTTATTCCTAACGATGCTTCCCGGAGACAGGGTTCCGATTGTATCGGCGAATGCCATAAAAACATTTCTCATCATCACTTTAGCTTGTCGCTTCATCTATCGTGCGGCCATCTACCCGCGATTCGTTAGCACCCTGAGACATTATCCTACAGCGCCTGTAGGTGGCATTCACAAGCTCTTTTCGGTCGCCACGTGAATTAACAAAAGTTCTAGGTTGGAATCCCTTTCATCGGTCAGGGATTCGCCCAGTTTTCACACCCACGTGGCGCTGCATTTCTTGAATTAATGAAGACGATCCCTAATTCTGGCGTGATTCGGTACTTCAGCTTCTTCAACACGGAGTACCTGCTATTGACCAACTCGGAAGCTTTGTCTGAAGTTCTCGTTCGGCGGCCATACGACTTTGAAAAGTCTCCAGCAGCCCGAAATCTTATTCGTCGATTTACTGGCTCCAAGCTCCTCACTGCTGAAGGTGAAGAACACAAACACGTCAGAAAGTCCATGCGTCCAGCTTTCCATTTCCGCAAGATAAAAGATTTGTACCCCGTCTTCTGGGCCAAAGCTACTGCAATGACCGATGATATACAAGGCTGTGCTCAGCCTGGTGGAAATGGAACTGTCACGGGAAACATCACTACTTGGGTTGAGAAGGCCATGCTAAACACAATTGGCCGTTCTGTGTTTGGAGTGGACGTGGATGACGAGGAATCCAGAAACAAACTGCTGAAGCTCTTCGCAACTGGCGGAAGCACAGGTTGGGACTTGCAATTAGTTTTCATGGTGTCGGCATTTCTCCCCCGCTGGACCTTGAAATTCATTCCCGGAGGTATCAATAAGCGCATTGACGAAGCCCACGCCGGCGCCCAAATGGCATGCGAAGCACTTCTCAACGAGCGGAAGAAAAGCCCCCAAACAGAGGACCAGAAAGACATCCTTGGCCAGTTTATCGAAAGTAAATCCTTCACCGACGAAGAGCTTAAGGACCAAATCCCTTCGCTCTTAGCCGCAGGGTAAGAACTTCTCCCCTAGCGAAGGAGGTCTGGTGTTCTCTCCTAACAACTACTCTTGCAGGTTTGAACCAACTTCTGCTGCGTTTGCTTGGGTAGTCTGGTACTTGATTCAGCATCCAAACTGGCAAACCCAGCTGCGGGACGAAATCAAAGCGAACATCCCGTACCGGTTTCTGACGGAAAGTCCGGCGGAATTTGACCCTAAAGTTCTTGACAGTCTGCCTATTCTAAATGCTGTTTGCAATGAATCATTCCGGTTCATGCCTACTTCGCCAGTAATCTCGCGCCAAGCCAGGTGCGAAACAACCATCCTCGGACAAAGGGTGCCTAAAGGTACAAGGCTCCTTCTCACTCCCTACGCAATCAACCACTTTGAAGAATCGTATGGTCCTACGGCGGGGACATTTGATCCTGGTCGATGGTTGAACGATAACGGTACAGCAAACAACAGCGGAGGTGCGCAGAGCAACTATGCCTTTTTGACATTTCTTCATGGGCCGCGAAAGTGCATCGGGGACTTGTACGCGAAAGCTACTGTACGAGCATTTGTCGCATCCTTAGTTGGTCGATTCGAGTTCGAAATGGCTCGGGAAGGAGATGTTCCCATGCCAGGTGGTATGTTGACAGTCAAGCCGAAAGGGGGAATTGAGATAAAGTTACGGCCAGTGAACCCTTGGTAAGATCATCAGTGACTTAAGGAGAGCAACAGCTTTTCTTCTACACCGGTAATGAATTACGGTGGTACCCAGCTGGTGTCATATTTCGCCGACGTTTCCAATGTCGAATAGCTCTGCCGCCTGGAACAGCATTGAAAGCAAGCTGAAACTGTCTGAATGTAAATATTGCCCAGATACCCACAGGATTATCTGAAAACAACATCGTGCTGTCTCACAGAGTATTTCAGGCTGTACAGTAAAGGATTGGGCATAGTCGACATGGCTGGATGGATTGCAAAAGATCGATATAGGCAGACAACAATGCTTCGCTGTAACCAAACATTCTTGAAATCTCTATTCTTCGAAAAAACACCATAGTCTCGAGAAGTTCCATATATTCTTCAAAGTGAAACGAATCATAGTCCTCTAGTTCCCGTTCCTATCTTTCTCTCCTCTTTATGTGACTGAACAGGTCGCAGAGACTACTCCATAGAACACACCCGTTTTTCAAAAAACCAGAGTGATTGGAACACATGCCGACCTCCTTGTTTACATGAACTGCACTTTTACTTTCGGGACTGGTGGGATGAGCTTTAACTCAGCAAGCTCATCCAGTGTCTCCAGCAATGATTCGTACGAGTCGACATACCCATTCCATCCTCTTTTTCTTGCCTTGTCCGTGCTGTTTAAGAGCACGTTAGTATTCTTGATCATTCATAAAAGTATTGGGTGTATAGAACTTACCTCATGACACCGGAGCTGGGGAAAATCATTGCACCATCCAGAATTGCGAATGTGCTCTCTATATTGTCCATGGCACCATTCTTCAGGCCATGATCTTCTTTCAACTTATTCCAAGCAGTCTGCACTTTCGACTGTTTCGCCCAGCTAGTTGTCATCGATCGGAAGCGGGGTCTTGTCGAGGACTTGTATCCTCTGGGTGGGAGACGGTCCCTCGCCGGTACGGTAATGTAATCTGGTGAGTCGTCAGGCCTGGGGCCCTCAACTTTGATTCCGTACCAGTCTGCGATGCGCGGGAACATCATCTCCCAGGTCCAGATCGTGCCATCAGTAGAGTTGAATTTCTCATTGGCGGTTTTTTCTTCCAGAGCCAACCACTCCGCAAAGTATGCGTTAAGCATCGCGCTGCTGTTTCGCTGTACAGTGGTCCAGGCCGAGATGTCTCCCAAGAAGACCAATGGCTCTCCCAAATACGCAGAAACAGCAGCATAGATGCCGAGGGGGAGAGCGAGGCTCATTTGACAGTGCGGGACGGCGCCAATGACGAAAGAAGGCATCGAGATAACCCATTCCGTGGCATTTTTGCGGCACCAATCCCACAGAGAATCCTCTTGGAAGTAGTAAAAGTTGGGCTCCAGGTCGCACCGCGGAAACCACTCCTCTTGTGGTGTTTTGGTAGGCCCTAGGTGAACACCGTAATTCTTTCCACCGGTCTGGAGCAGGAAACGCCGTGGTTTGATGTTTGCGTAGTCTAGCGCACTTAGGAGATTAACAAGGAGGGCCCTGTTGGAGCTGACCATCTCGTCCACGTTGCTCCATAGCCTGCCACCATTGCTAGGGGGGGGCTGCGTGTATGCGAAAAAGAAGACATAATCTATGTTGCCATTCAAGTCCCTGAGAGTACGACCGAGTTCCTCTGTGCCAGAGAGTAAGTCTGATTGAATGAAGTCGACGTTGGAGGGGAAGTCAGCCGATGCATGACTGCGGGAGAGACAATAAACCTTCTCCCACCTCCCAGGAGAAGCACCTAGAACTCTCGCCATGTGTGTGCCGGTCAACCCATTGGCGCCAACGACGAGAGCTACATAGCCCTTGTGGACACTGCCATAGACTGGGAGACCACGGTAGATTCTGTTGTTTGACACGAGAATCGTGGTGTCTCCTGATTCTGACATGTTGCTGGCTGTCTGGTAAAAGAAAGATTTAAAGACAAGGATCGGCACCTCCTTGCCGCGGCAAATGGTCGAAAGAATCGAACTAAATATAAAACTATCGATTCCTTGGGCTTGTAGATTGCGTATTAGAATTAAGACTCTCTCGTAAACAAGCGCCCAGTTATGTAAATACGCCGATTAGTTACTCGCAACGAAAATTAAACGGATGATGAAGAGATAGCCGAAATATTCGACTAAGGCGACAAAGCAAAAAACTACCCGTGTATGCCAGAGCGCCGTGACTCAGTGGTCACTGCATGGAGTTATGGATGAAGCCGTCTAAAGTTAAACCGAGAATTGTTGAGACACGAGGTGGAGCAGTTAGATTACACTGAACTTCTAGTGGTTTCGCGGGGATCAAATGGCGGTGACAGCGAGAGAAATTTGTTCAGAGTTTCAACATGTACGGAGTAGGTGAATGAATGGGTCAACCAAGAGCCAATGCATGGGCCAATGTGACTCTTTCCTGCAAGGTAATGCAGGGGTCGCAATAACTTTCAGAATATCCGTATAGTGGTACCCAGTGGTACCGGGCCAAAATACAACACCCCTATCAGGTAGACGTGGCCGTGCTGCCAAGATCATCTCAACTGCGATACTTTGAGATTCTGATGGTAGCGGTTAACAGGCAGACACTTTGCAGGGCAGTATTTGAGTCATCAAAGTACCTCTTGAAGTCTCTTGCTTATTATGCATAGACTTATGCATAGACTAGCTTACCCCTTTACTAAGAAAAAAAAAAAGAGAAAAAGAAAGATATCTCTACTAGCTTAGAGTATATCTAAAATATATAGTATAAATTAGCTTTTTAGAGAAATTTACCTCTAACAATATTATCTTTAATTAAAGATAACTAAGCTATAGTATATACTATTAGAGAAGCTTGTTTTTTTTTAACTTAGGAGTTAAGGACTTAGAGTTAAAGGTTTGAAGTTGGTGGTGTGGGGACAGAAGTGACGTAAGACAACGTACCTAGGTCAGTACTTTGAGATAGTCTGAAATGCGAAGGTTTGACCCACAAAGTGTCTGCCTGTTAACCGCTACCATTCTGATGCGCCTTGGGCGCAGTTCTGGCCATTGAAAGTCACTATTCGGGTGGATCGTGCCCCTGTACAACCGGCCAGGGATACTAAACTTGCCCATCATACCATAGTACTGACAAGAATCCTAAATTGATCGCTTCTTCTCGGATGCGCGGCTCTTTGGAGATGGAAGAAGTGGGGGCGGGGGGTGCATAGGGGTGTGGAGTTCTGTCTGAAGTAACGTCTCCCATGCGAAGAAGCTTGGCTCGGTGTAACTATACATTAATCTAACAGGTAGGTCGACCCCAGACATCGTCTGAACTCCCAGCCAGGGTATAGAGACACCCCATGAGCCCCTCGAGATAGATGCACTGCGGGGGTGTGTCTGAAGGGAATTCAAACCAGCATACACCCAGGATATAAATCTCGCATTCCGTAAACCTTAAAAGCAAAATTCTACTTGCGCGGGTCGATCGTAAAGTCGCTGTATGATGATTTACAGCGCATGTACTCCGTGAAGGAGCCAATAATATAACGTGCTTTTGAGAAGAGAGTCACACAATTTATTTCGAGTCAGGAGCCATGGGAACGCAGATGAAAGGTGCCGGACTACGAAGACAGGGAAAGAGGGGGCCGGTGAGAAACCGGCGTGCACGGTGCCGCCGAACCTGGGTTGCTATAACGTACAGAGTACTCTTACCGTACTTTTTTATATGCAGAATAACACTATATCCGCCAAAATGGCGGTATAGGCCTCCGAAAGAGAGCATTTCCCACTACTTAAGTCAGGCGTAGAGTCTCTAGAACAGGCTATAGTCGGCCGAAGTATTACTGGTTTTTCTTCATTGCATCACCGCCGAATTATTGTTCCGAATGTCAACATGTCCACTACAGTCTCTCAAACCGTTACAATCCCACCCGAGAATGTGGCTGGCGGGGGAAAAGCCACGGAGTACTGGTCTCGTTACCTTACGTCGGTGCTAACAAGGCTGTTCTCATCGGTGGGAGGGTACACTCCGTCCGAGCAACAGGCGCAGATAGAATTCATGCAGAAGCATGTTGCACCTATTGTAGGCCCCGTGCCGGCCGAGCCTTACGGCTTGTTCAACATGCCGTACATTCCAGCACCTCTGGAGGCCAGTGTCAACCTGACGACCAAAGGCAAGCCGAAGGCGCGTATCTGGATGAACCTCGGAAAGCCTCTGGATCAGTCCCGGTTCGAGCCCAATGCAGCGGAACGAGACAGCGAAGCTCTTCTCTCCATTGCACGAGCATCTGGCGCCGATACCAGATGGTTGGAGTGTCTCACAAAGGCCATGTTTTTGACACCTTCTCAGCTTGAGGCCGTGCGCGCTCGAGGTGGACCCGCCTGGCCCTTCAGTCTCTTCTGTTTCGATTTCACGGGCATGGATCGAACTATGAGGGCATACTTTCCAGCTGTTCCAAGAGGAGGACGGTCGCGCACCGAAGTTGGCCTGGACGCTATTAAGAGCCTGAAGCCATTTGGACCTAATCTCGAGGCGGGTTTGAATCTTGTTCAATCGTGAGTACGAGCCACTTGTCTGCTTCCTACACTTGAACGACGAAGGGCGCTCACAAGAGATTTGGAATACAGTTACCTTGATGACAACAAGTACAAAGCCGGTATCCACATGCTGGGTGTCGACTGCCTCGATCCCGAACAAGCTCGGGTCAAAATTTACATTGACGTCAATAGCAACTCTTGGAATGCAGCTAGCGACGTCATGACCCTTGGCGGGCGCTTGACGGATGCGACATCATTGAAGGCGGTTGAACTTTTGCAATCAGTCTATCACCTGATGCGAGATGAGCCTGAGGGTGTGGATGATGACTGGTCGAAGCCCAGCGCGGTTCCGGATAGATCTTTCCCCGGGCAACAGTTCAGCGTGGAAATCACCGCCAAGAGTAGCATACCCGAAATGAAGATCTATGTGCCGCTGGTGCAGTACGCTGGAGACACTCAAAAAGCCGAGGAGAACATGCATCGCATGCTTCAGAAGCTGGGCCATGAATGGGCATCGAACGGAAAGTTGAAAGAGACCATGACGGCTGTTAGGTAGGTACGACATTCTTCTCGCTCAGTGGTATGAACTAACGAGACAAAGTGCATCCGAATCGATCCGCGGACTCGGCGTTGTTACCTTTTCCTACTCGGAGAAAAAGGGATCATATTCCTCTGTTTACTTTGCCCCCCCTCCCGACTATGCGGACAAGGTCGTGATTGAGAGTCGAGGCCTCAGCGTGGTCTAATCAGGAGTTGTCTGTGTTGTTGCTTCTTATAGACCAGCTCTACTATTCGCAACTATCTAGTCAATCATTAAACATTATAGTTGCCTGAATTAGACTATAAACATTCCCAATGCCTTTTTAATTTCGCTGCAGTTTGTCCCTGTGATGGTGTAACCATGTAGTGTAGAACAGGGAATAATGACGCCGGATTGATCACTGCCGAAGCTAATGTTTTGGAGTGCGTTGGTTGCGCTGAACCTGCTCGTAACATCAGGGGTGAAGCTTGTGGAAGGGTATAGAAGCTTGCCTGCGCGGAAAGTTCTGAAGGGCGAAACACATCTATTGGAGGATGATTAGGCACCAGTAACGGCTTTCGGATCTTTTCTCCCTTCAGCTTGAGTTACTCGCAGTAGTAGGCTAGATCAGTGGCATCGACCTTGTCTTAGCCCCTTACAATTAACATGATGATACTCTAGTGTCTTCCGTGGAATCTTGTGATGTGGAGAGTGAGAACCTGCAGAAGGTATGATTCTAAGAGCTCCTAATGCACTATAAATACCCTTAATCTCTATCAGACTTAGTTATGTATTCTCCACTAGGTCTTGCGCCAAGCCCGGCCTTTTCATACGCCATGTCTAGGGCCTTCATCTGAGCGATACTCTCCTCGGGCTCATACCAGATGCTAGGCCCTGCCGGGTTTCTGCCACGAATTCGGTCTACAAATTGCCCCAACATCCAACGATACGTCAGCCAATACTCTTCGCCGCCTGCGTCCATACCCATGTCCTGGAACGTGTACGCTTTTTTCTGTTGTTTTACTGTCGATTTGCTGATGAGCTGCCTGTCTTCGGACTCTCCTGTGCAAACTCTTTCCACCGTTACATCGTCCTCAATGTCGATCCTGTGGTAGAAATGGGGAAACATAAAGTTGTAGAAAGTTACCTTTCGCCTTGCAGTTGTCAAAACTTTAGAGTTTGTGGACAATAGGGTCTCCGTTGTCACTGGACTATGGAGAACTTCGATCCGGGGCAACCGGAAATCGATCAGAGGGGCCTGCAGACTACCTTCAACTAAACCGACACGGACTGGTTCATCGACGCCAGTGGTTTCATTATTGGGAAATCTGAAGGCAACCTTGAATGAACCATCGCAGCGTTCATAAGGTGTCGGCATTGAATTCATCGTGCTTTCGAGGCACGTCTGAGGCTCGGTACCATAGATCTCTCGGACAGCAGCTACACAATAGGTGCCGATGTCCATTAAAGCCCCTCCTGCAAGGCTGTAGTTGAAGCGAATGTCGGTATGTGGGATGAGTCGTCCAGGGACGACGGCAGTGGCATGTACGCTGACAACGCGTGGCTGGTTGATGTGTGACATGAAGCAATTCCACGCAGGTGAGAATCGATAGTGAAATGCTTCTAGTATGATCGGCGCAGCAGGTTTTTGCTTTGCCAAGATGGGCGAACGAAAAAGCATCTCAGCTTCTGCTGTATTGGATGTCGACGGCTTTTCGAGAAGCACGTGTTTCCCCTGAGCTAATGCTTTCATCGCCCATTCCAGATGTAAGCCATTAGGTAGAGGAATGTACACAGCGTCGACGTTGGCATCATCGAGTACGGCTGTGTCCAAATTAGCAAGTTGGGAAATGTTGGCATAATAGTTCACGGCGGATTCTATCCGTAAACTCCCCAACTAGCAATTCTTGTTTATTGCCGTATAAAGTTCCGGGGGCAATTGACGAATCATGCGTTGCAATACTTTACTAACCTTGGTAATCATCCATCACATTAGGGATGTTGTATTTGAGTGCATAATCAGTAGCTCTATTTTTGTCACGTGCAGCCACGGCGTAGATGACCACATCCGGATGGGTCTTGGCGGGAAGAATCAATGCAAGGGGCCTGAGCATGCGGAGAGGTTAACGTCAGCAACTGTTTCTGACCAGCATAAGAAGCTTGTGATGTGCGAAAGTAATACTAAGGTTTCCACGTACGCAATATTAGCAGCACCGAGAATGCCGAATTTGAGGGCATCCTCTGACTTTTCTGCAGCCGGCGGGTTGAAGATTGTACGAAAATGACGAAGGCCACCGAGGATTGAGGCCATTGTGTTCTGGGTCTACGAGACAAGGTTAAGCTTCTACCCAGACTCGGACATTCCAATAATCAGTGGTTTTCAAAGGCGGGCTTCTTTATAGTCGTGCTTGGAGCGAGGAACCGACCCAAGGTTTTCAGTGTGACTGGCTGAGTAAGGAATAATCTCAGCCCACGTCAAGGTTAGGGCATGCCGAGCGAATGTGGTCGGCAGACCTTGGCCTGAAATTTTGTCGGAGCCGCAAGTTTCCCGTACAAATGCTGTTTGAGATTGGATCTACATACATCGCTGTAAACAGCACACTATTGGACCCATGAAAGGGCAGGCCTGGAAACTGGCATATTTGCATGAGGTAGACGTGACCTCGGTTAGATGGATGCGGATTTGAATCACGAACTTAGTGGCCACGTTGGCCTCCTTTACTCCTCAGTAGCATGAATACATTCTTCTGCTCAATCTCTTAATTGCAAGCCTTGCTGGCTGCCACACAGTCGATGGCATAGCCTGGGCGCATCATTTTGTGTACGTACCAAATCGCTTCGTTCCGCATAGTAATTACCGCACTCCTGGAAGACTGGACTAGGAGGCTGGGGGCGTAGAGATAGAACGGATATTCCTCTCTCAGAGTTCAGACTAAGTCGACGGCTTTAAGGTTATGATGAAGAACGGCCGAACGCATTTTATCCCTATAAGATCCTAACAGTGTTGCTCCACTTGTACCCGAGCTAGGAACACACCGCCACTACCATGACATGGTAAGGCCCAGGGGGTGTGCCTGTCTCTTGTGGCCGAATTTCACACGAGTCAGGGTTGAAAGATGTACGGAGAATTTTTGCGGATTCCTACAGAAGCTGTGGGCCCCAAAGCTTGTACGAATGTTCATCACGGTGGAGGTATCTGCACTAAGGTGCATCGTTTGTTATCGGGCGGCTTTTATACTCCTTAACCCCTGGACTTATAGGTACTAACTACGTTGGAGTGGATTACTTGTTTTGCTTGACTTCGTAATTTTAGTAACATAACAAAACTGGCTGTGTTTTAATATCACAACCGAAAGGCAAATAGATTACTATTGGTGCAGCTCGACGAAGGCCTCTGTTGCGAGCAGGCCAAGGCAACAGACCGCACCACAAGACGAGACTCTCGGTCTCGGTAATGATTCCACAGGCGCCTCCGGCATTACTATCACCTGTTCTGCACTATGGTTACGCGCCCGTAGGGTCCAACTGCAGCGGGCGTAACCCCATGTCTCTCCTCCTCATGCCGAGGCATACGCGGGGGCCAAACCCAATCAGGCATAGTACAAGGAAGCGCCAGGTCAATGGGAACAAAACTACATCATCGTCTACCTATGTCTAGCATCACACAGTAGTGAATGCGTACCATTGCCGCGACGTGCGGGAATTGAACTCGCGACCTTCCGCGTGGGGTGGAGGCATCATTACCGAGGCTTTCATCTTGTGGGGCAGTAGAATGCCCTGACCTGCTCGTTCGTTTTAATCAATGTCTACTGGCCACTTGATTCACGATCAATAGTTAATCTTCCTTGTCCAGATGACAATTCAACGTCGCTTGTCCTATGTCTCGGACTAGCTCACTTATTTGTGTTCCAGTCTGTAAACCGTTTCTTTGGATTCTGGTGTAGGTTTTTTGAGACCTCTTGGTAGATTAGCAGGAAAATGCCTCCTTTGACGGGTTTCAGCTTCAAGTCCAATCGATAGGTGTCGTGAAGCTGGGACAGCTTCGTGTGGCTAGTTCCAGTCAGAGACGCCACAGAGTGGCGCCTCCAACCAATAAGACCCACATTAGGAAGAGTATTTCTAGGCAAGTTTTCTCTTGTACTTAGACTTAGGAAAATCAACTACTTCTCTTTATAAATGTCAAGACACTACAGTTTATTATAGTTATAAGCCTAGCTCCTATACAAAAAACCCCTAAATATTATAATTACCTAGTGTTCTAAAACTCTCTCTCTTAATCTATTACTAAGTAGTTTAACTACTTTAAAAAATAATATTCTCTAAAACTAATAAGACAACTAACTATAATAAGTCTATTAAGCTTATTATAAGGTAAAATTAGCCTAAATAGTTTATTACTCTTAAATACTATACTAAAAGCAAGAAGGTATAGGAGTATATTAATCTAGACAGTAATTCTAAAGTAAATATTACTAACTAACTAGACTTCTAATCCTTTAATAACTAGCTCTAAGAGTACAACAAGGGGAAGCTAAATAATTAAAAGGTAACTTTAGTAACTATAAATATAATAACGCTTTATACTTTTAATATAAAAAAGGAACTTAGTAGCTATATAAAGAAGAAATATATATATAAAGTAATTAAAGCCTAGGTCTAAGAAATAGTTAATTTATTACTACTTATACTAGTATATATAGAACTCCTAGACAAGAGAACACTAAGTAAATATTAACTTAAAGATAATATATTACTAAAAGCTCTTATAAAAGTTCTAAAATAGTACTATACTCTTAATAACTTTACTATAGTTATAATAGTTTAAGAAGAGTATCTAGTAATATTAGCTAAGGCTAACACTAATATAAATCTTGCCTCTTAGTACGTAGATTAGTATAAGTGCTACCTTTAGGCTAAGTAATATAAAATACCTAAAGTGTAAAAAACCTTAGCTATAAAAACTTTTCTTAGAGTAGTATTTACTTAGTTCTTACTAACTTAGGGTAAAAACACCTTAGAATAAGTTATTAAGTAAGAGATAAATAATAAGGAAATTTACTTACTCTATATATATAAAGCTACTTTTAGTGTACTAATCTATAAGAAGTTAACTAGTAAAATAAAAGGGAAATTAACTAAAGTCTATATAACGCTAGTAAATTATTTAGATAGTAATAATAAGTTACTTATGCTTAGGATAAAGGATTACTTCTATAGAATCCTTATAATAATAATACTAAGTAACTATCTATAAGTTAAATTTATACTATAAGGTATTTCCTATTAAGTATCTCTTAACTAAACTCTAGAAGAATTAGTAAAAATCTATAAATAACTAAAAGAAAATAGATAGTAGTTAGTTTTATATATACTAATTAATAAAGGTTAAATAAATCTACTTGCTAAGGGAGGTTAAAAGTAATTAAACTTTAAGAAGAAGGATATAAAGAAAAAAGAGTCTAAGGAAATAGGCTCTACTTTAGGATCTACTATAATAAATTATATTACTATTAATCTAGTACTTCTAGAATCCTAGTATAACCTAGAAAGTGTCTTATATAGATATTTTTTCTATAGCTATAATAGACCTTATATACTCTCTAAAAGTATAGTGTTTAATATATATAAAGCTATACACTTAGTTAATAACTTAAGCCTTTTTAAGTTATCTTTAGTTTATAACGTAGGTCTAGATAAAATAGTCTAAGCAGGATCTACTTTATTCTTAGTTACTAAGAAAGGAACTAAAGTTATTAAAGGACTTCTAACTAGAAAGAAAGGACTAATTAATCTTGTCTTAAATAATGTTTACTATATAGAAAACTTCTATATAAATATTATTATAGAAACAAGGTTACATAAGGTAGGCATTTAGTACTATAGTCTAGATTATACACTATACTCTAGGTTACTTAAGAAGAATAAGGTAATTTATTACCTTATTAAGAAATTTAACCTAGTCTTCCTCTAATATAACTTCTGTTCCTCTTATCTATTCTTATATAGTAGTGCTAGAGTATTTATTATTTCTTAACTAGCTTTTTGCTACTATAGACTATTATATAATACGTAGGGAGACAAGATAGATAATATAATACTATAGCACCTTTGTTTAGGACATCTAGGACTAGATGTACTTTAATAACTTATTATAAATATATATAAAGTTAAGATATAAGCCCCCTTATAACTTAAATATAAATATTATACTACTACCTACGCCTTATAAGTAATTTTAAGATAAACGTTAGAGGTAAAGTTAATATAACTATACTATTATATTTTATAGGACTTATTTAATTATCTAACTAGCTTTAATAGTATAAGCTAGATACTTATTATTAAAGATAAATATTTAGGTTAGCTATTTATTTTCCTAAGAGTTAATAAGACCTATAACTAGGTTTTTAAAGTAATCTAACTATTTAAACAGTAGATATAAAGGTAAAAAGGTCTATTAATCTATAAGATTTAATAAGATATTAAGTATACTATAATTAGTATATAAGGCTATACTCCCTATAAACAGTAGATACAAGAACTTAGTATAGAGGTAGAGCTATCTCTGCCTTATACTAAAGAACCTATTAGAGGGGGTAAGAAAGCTAGCTAGGAAATTATTACTTATTTAATTAAGATAATGTCTATAGTAAACTTACTAACTAATTTATAGCCTAAAGTAGTAATAGTAGTAGCCTATGTTATTAGTATAAGCCTCTAAAAATATAATAACTAGAAATCCTTAGTTAAAGTAAAAGAAGCTTAGTACTAATAATATTTTAAATAGTATTAGCTAACTCTAAACATAAGTATAACCTAGGATCTATGTCTATATTAGGGCTAGTTATATATATATAGTTACTACGCTTATCCCCTAAAGCGTAAAAGAGAGAGAGGTATTAAGAAGAGGCTTTTTAAAGTAGTTTTCTAAGGGTATATTAGGTACCTAGTAGGTTATATATTAAATATATATAACCTATATAGGATTTAGGTTCTATTACTTTATTAGGTATTTATTACCTAAAATATAACTTTTAATAAGATAAAGTTCTATACTCTAGAGGATTCTTGTTTTATAATTAAACTAAAAGTTATATAAGAAATTATTAAGCTTAAGACACCTTCTATAAATTTAAATATAGTACTTAAAGCTCTAGGTGTTATAGATTTAATAAATCTTTTAATAAAAACCTCTTCTAAAATAACAGTTAGAGTAAATACACTAACTAATAAAGTTATAGAACCTATATTACTAACGTAACTTATAGAAGGAAATCTTCTATTACTAGAGTCTACACTAGATCTAGAGCTAGTTACTAAACCTATTGTTATAGGCAAAGACAGTATAAAAGGCTAACTACTAGAGGACTCTATAAAAGATAGAAGTAGTGCCTATATAGATACTTCTAGCTAATCTCTATTAGGAGAAAGAATTAAAGATATAATTTATATTTAAATAAATAATAACCTTATAATAGCACAAGAGGAACATTATATAGATTAAAACTAGTTGCCTTCTAGGGCAGAAAGGCTATTTAGCCTAAGAAGGGGTACTAGAAGACTATATATACATAGAGCTATAGTAGCTTAGGGGGTAAAGAGCTAAACCCTACTATTAAGAATAAGTTATTAAACTAGAGGATTACTGCCTAAGACTAAAGGGGAAAACAAAGGCTAGTCTAGAAGACATAGAAGAAGACTTATTAACTTCTTCTTATATAATAAAACTAGACTACTACTTAGATATAAGTACCTAGATAGTATAAGACTTACTTATAATATAATAGTTCTATAGAATAAAACAAAGATAACTTTTTACTTTATAGATAAAGAATAAGATAATTTTTTTAATACCTTTATACTTAATTAGTAAAAAGTAATTAAAGAATTAAACTATATATATTAAACCTTCTATATAACTATAATAAGGTTAATTTAAGGCACTATATACACTAGACTATTCCCTAAACTAAGCAAGAAGTATCTTGTCTTTAAACTTCTAGACCTACTAAGAAGCTTTAAAGATATATAGAAACTCCCTAAGAATTTAAAATCCCTGTTTAAAAAGGCCTATTTTATTAAAATTAATAAGCTAATAGAGAAAGGAATCTAGAGGCTAATTAACGCTTTAGAGATAATATTTAAACCCTTACTGCTTAAATAGGTATTTATATATAAAGTGGACAAGAATAGCTTCCTAGAATATTATAAGGCAAGGATCTATATACAAGGAGATCTATAACTAGAAAACCTTCTCTAATAAACCTATGTAGCTACCCTTGTAGTAAGAACTTTCTGTGTTATAATAGTAATTATAGCCTAATTTAATCTTAAAATTTAATAACTAGACGTTATTAATATATTTCTAAATATAGAGCTAAATAGTAAAATAGTTATATACTATTTACTAGATAGATTTAAGGTATATAGAAAATATATTTAACTTATATATGCTTTATATAGCTTATATAATACTTTTCTTCTTTAGTATAAGGAATTCTTTATAAAGCTAAAAAACCTTAGTTTAAAACCTATAGATAAAGATCTATGTCTTTTTACTAACTAAGAATAGAAAGTATTTATAATCTTTTATATAGATAATATTCTTATTATGTTTTACTAAGATAACTAGGTAACTAGAGAATAAATTATTAATAACTTAAAAAGGGTATATAAAATAAAGGACTAAGGCCTAGCTAAATACTACCTTAGAATATATATTATAAGGGATTAGTAGGCAGAGAAACTTTTTCTAGTCTATAATATATATATTAAGAAGGTTATAAAGTAATTTAACCTTATAGAAGGTATCTTCTTGTTAACTCCTTTACTAACTATAACACTTAAAAATAACTTAGGCTAGGTAATAAAAGAACAGGTCTATAAATACTAAATAAAGATTAGCTTAATCCTTTTTACTATAATTATAATATAACCTAATATTATATTTATATACTTAGCCTTATTTTACTACCTTATAAATTCTTTAAGGAAGTATATTTTAATAGTAAACTAAGTAATCTAATACTTATATTTAATATACTACTTTATAATTTACTTTAGAGACATAGGGGGTAGGATAGCCCTTATAATAGTAAGTAATGCTTTATTTATAGATAATAAAGAGTTAAGAAAGTCTTCCTAAGGCTATATCTTTTTGCTATTTAGGGGTATAATCTAGTAGAAAGCTATACGCTAAGTAACAGTAATAACTTTAACTACTAAGGCTAAACTCCTAAGTCTAGAATAGATAGCTAAAGAAGTAATAGCTCTTAAATATCTATTTTAAGACTTCTATCTAGCTATAGAAGACATTTAGAGAATATACTATAATAATTAGTAAATAATAAGGCTAGTAATCTAGTAAAAAGAAAGACTTATAATAAGGCTTTAATATATTAATATTTAAAATATATAGTTAAAACAGAAGTTTATAAAGGGTAATTTTAATATTACCTATATAACTATAAATAAAATACTAGCTAATAGACTTATAAAAAATCCTTTATATACTAAGTTTAAATACTTTTATTCTTTACTTAATCTTATAGATATATATAATCTTATATAAAAAGAGATAATTAAGATATTAAAGTAAAAGTAAGTTAATTCTATAAGTAAATTAGCTTATATTAGCTATATAATATAGAACACTTTACCTCTTAGGGAGGTCTAATTATACTACCTTAAAAACTAATTTAGGCTAAAAATTATAGCCTAAAAACTTTTCTTTATAAAAACCTAGGCTAGAAATTATAGTCTAAAACTTTTCTTTTCTTATTCTAAACTCTAAACGCTTTAGAAAATTAACCCTAAAAACTATAGCTAATACTTATCTTAGATAGCTCTCTTAAAGGATTTAACTATACTTATAAATCTAAGTTTATAGGTAATATTACCTTTAGAAACTAACTAAAAAAAGTCTATTAAAGCTCTCTTCTTCTTAGTAATAACTAAAGTAATACCTAGAGGTATAGTTCTATGCTTTTTAGCTAAACTAAGTGCCTAGTTATAACCTTAAACTAGAATAAAAGTTAGAATTAATTAACTAAATAGATAAATATTTAGATTATAAAGACTAGGATTAATAAGGTTAATAGTAGTTACTTTACTAGTTCTCTTAAGCTTCTCTTTCTGCTTCTTATAAAGTACCTTAACCTTAGTAATACCTTTATAGAAGGTCTAACTCTTAAACTTTAACTTTTACCTAGAATATTAGTCCTAGAAGTAAAAATAACTAAAGGGAATCTAAGACTTACTAAACTCTTTATATCTTTAGTGTAAGTATAATAAATAAAGCTATTAGTAGTATTAACTAACTTATTAAGAATAGTAATATAAGATATATTATTCTTAATATAGTGTCTATAGGGACTATCTTTGTCTACTAAGGTATATTTACCTTAGGAAAAGCTATAAATAACACTTTTAAGATAGCTAAGGTAGATCTAGTCCTAGTATAGACCTCTCTTAAGAACTAGGTTTCTACTTATATTAAGTATATACTTTTTATAAGGGTATATTAAACCTTTACTACTACTTACCTTATACTTCTTATTAATAAGTAAAAAAAAAAAGCTATAACTAAGCTTATTATCTTTTAGATTATTATTAATAAGTAAATTATCTTCTAACTTATCTAAAACATAATTACTATTAAAATCCTTATAATTATCTCTATTCTTAATAGATAAAGTAATAATCTATTCCTAATATACCTTCTTTACTACTATATATATATACTTTATAGGCCTCTTTATAAAGTCCTTTTAGTACTTCCTCTAATTCTATTAAAGGAGGTAAATAAGGCTATAACTACTTAGATTAGTACTTATTATTATTAAATTAGTAGAACTAATAAGATCTTTTTTAGATAAACTAGGATTTATTAGTAAGTAAGAAAACGCTTTATAACTAGAAAAAGGAGAGAACTTACGCTTAGTATACTTGTCTTAAAAGATTATATTATACTTCTTAACTATAATTAAAGTTCCCTGTAGTGTCTTACCTAAGTAAATTAGGAAGAAAAGCGCTATGCTTCCTTTATCTAAGTTAGGGATAGCTAAGGAATTAGTTAGACTAATAGATAGAGTATTACTAGGCCTAAGAGTAGGGATCCTACTAGGACCCTAGTTGCCTAAGACTAGGCTAAGATCTATACCTCTAGTAGGATTATAACTAAATATTATACCTAATTAAGGATATAACTTAAAAAATATTCTAGCTATTAAACTACTATATAAGCTAAGGAGTCTAAACTTAGGTATAAATATATTCTCTTGTTAAAAAGGATTATTAGTAGAAATATAAATCTAAATAATTTCTTAGTTAAAAAAACTATAAGACTTAAGAAGTAAAGATAATTACTAACTAAGAAACTTAAGCTACTTAAAATATATTACTAGTTAAAAGGAAGACTATAACTTCTTTTTTACTTCCTTTTAACTATTAGCTATTTAGGAATAGCTTTAGAACTACTATATAAACTAGAATATATAGTAGGTAAAGGGGATATTAACTTACTTTACTTAATAGGTTATTAGTTAAAAAAAAAAGAAGAAAAAGTTAAGTAATAAGATATTAAAGGATATTTATTATTTAACTAGTAGGTAGTTAGTTATTACCTATTTTAGAAAGAATAGGCACCTTAAGAAACAAAAGGAACTACTACTAGAGTAAATAATAATAGATAATAGGATATAGTATTAAAAGACCTTTTATATAATACTATTATTTACTTTATTACCTATTAATTAGCTTAAAAGGCTATTATTAACTAATAACTATTTTGTTTTCTTTTATTATAAAAATATCTATAGTTCTTTATCTAGTTATAGAGATAGACTTTATAACTAAGGGGGTATATTATAAAGCTAGGATAGCTTTATATAGCTAGTTCTAGTTAGAGACGCCATAGAGTGGCGCCTCCAACTAATAAGACCTATATTAGGAAGAGTATTTCTAGGTAAGTTTTCTCTTGTACTTAGACTTAGGAAAATTAACTACTTCTCTTTATAAATGTCAGGACGCTGCAGTTTATCACAATAGGGCTAATATTAGCTCTACACTTATAACATACTAGACATCTCCAAATGCATGAATTTCGAATACTTCAAGTAAACTATACAAAGCAAGTTATTTAACATAACTAATCAACTTGTTTTCCTTTCCCCAATACAAGCATGAGTTTCGTGGTGTGGATGGTTTCCAACTACGCGAGGATTGTGAGAACCTTTGCTACCTCACCGAATGGCGCGAGAACTCGCTTTATACTATCTTGTCTCAAGATCCTGCTTCATGTATTCTCTCTATAAGGTAAGGTGAACCGAACTTTGGAATGCTACGAAGGGTGGCCGAAATACCCTCGTCCAGCTCTTCCGACTCATTACCTCAGTGGAAACCTCGCTTCAGATTCTTAGATATCACATCCCACAATCCTTTTCGCACCCAGCCACCAAGCCAATAATTGCCCGCTGCGTCCTTTCCATAAATTGGGAACGATCCGCGTGGGCTGTAGCGACTCATACGCACGTCGTACTGGATGTATGAGGGACGTCCTGACTTTGTGCATCTCTGCGCGTCATGGACGCCTTGTCGTACTATTGCAGCAGAGAAGTCCGTATCAAACAGCTTGGCCTTGGTCCAGTTGGTGTATCTGACGAAATGCATACCACCGTCACCAAATAGAGGCTCATATCCTGTCCTGGCATATGTCTCTCGGATGATCTTGGCCTGCCCCTTGATCTGTTCCCGAGTGGTCTGCTCTACAAGGGATTGTCGAAGTGCCGAGGCAATGTCCCATATCGGTTTCGTCTGGATATCCTTCGCGGAAAGATATGTTACGGCACCCATGACAGCGTTGCCCACGTAAGCCTTGGTCCTGGGGAGAAGGTCATTGGCAAAGAGTATGCGCAGTCCAAATGGGTTGAATACTGCGACAGTTTGGTTTGAGCCACGACGAATGTGGGCTATGGCGTGGCGTAGCCACCAGGCACTCAACACGTCGCCCTCGCTAACAAAATTGACCGCTTGCTTTTCGTCTCCCCGATCAACGTCTACAGTCTTGGCATTGAGCTTTTGAAGGGCTTTCTGGCGTATGTCGTTCACGTATGCCCCTGGAATGCAGACAATGCGTTGTTCATCCTTGAACCGGATGGACTCCAAGGCATAGCGCAAACCGAAGTAGATCAATTGAAACCTTGAGAGCGTCTTGTCGGCAAGTTTGTATACTTCCATGGCATCCTCATGCAGTTGTTCGAGCGGATCGAAGTCGAAGCCGTGGAGCGACCGTACCTCGTTGTCGCGGCCATCCAGCACTAGAGACCATGCATCTAACAATTCTTTGCGGCCCATGACATCAGTGAGTGTGTGCAGCCAAGATAACGAAACCAAAGTAGCATCACTAAAGGAGACAACATGAAGTGAAATCTGCGGCTCGTCGGTGTAGATATAGTCGGCCAGCTTGGTTGGGCCCCCTGGCCGGCTCGAAAGCGACCGGAATTCGGAGGGGTCCCCTACAATGGCTGGTTTGGATGTTGCTTTTGGTAGCTTTGATGCAAGGGGATGCTCGCTGATTGTCATATTGTGCTTGACGTGAGAGTACGCGATGGCTGGCCGCTTTTCGGTAAACTCTGCGGGAATATGGTACTCCAGCTTGTCGTCGTCCTTCTAAACGTAAGCGAATACCGAGAAAGAGCTTCAAAACCAACTGTCTTGTCCTACATTCAGCCGCAACCTAGCCCCTAATTTACGCCAGTCGTGTCTGTTGAGAAGCCTTTCGAGTGACAGACGGAGCTTCTGGGGATCCAGAACATCGTCGAACCTCATCATGTAGTTCGTGGACATACCGCGCAAGATAGCCCGGTCATCTTCGCGCCCTAATCTGATGACGGTGTCTGTCGCTACTCTAACTGGCGCCGTCGGCTTCTTCTGATTTCGATATTTCAGCATGATCTGTAAAGTTGTACCGCGTGCGGCGCTGGAGTTCAACAAAGCAAGAGAAATAATAGCCTAATGCTGGCTGAGAAAACCGTCGAAAATGCGTATGTGAATAGCCGAAGGCTCCAGTTCAATCAAAACATCACACCCGTTCTTTTATAGAGGTGATGAGTTTATGAGGTGACTTTTGTTACTTTTGGACCAGGTAGAGAATACGAGTTTTGGGCGGCTTCGTCGATCAAATTTGATTAATCGACTTCCACTAGCAAGTTGCTCACAAGGCACAACAACCCCTTTTGGACAATTGGCTTTGTTCGGTCGAATACTATTTGCTTTCAGCAAGGATCTTCTTGTCGGCGATGTACACAGTACATAACATCGCCTTCGCCGTTTGTCGTGATTTTTGAGGCCTGCTGCCAAGCTTCAGCAGTCTACAACTATCATACAACACATTTCTACGGTGATTGTCCTGAGTCAATTTGGACGTGGCATGGTGGCCTCTTCACGCGGTAAAAGTTAGATAGATGAGCTCTCGGCGCTTTCTTCAATTATAACGTCGGGGAAGATACTAGGATGCGGCCGTTTGGCGACGGCCATCTCCCTGGTTTCATTTACACAGGTATATGTGTACAGGTACTTGAGATCACTCAGCGAGAGCACTAAACTGTGTGTACATGCCCTGCTGGTTTCCGGGGTGTGTCGGGCAGGGAGCTAAGGGCGTATGCTGGGGGGTATGAATGAATTGAATAATCTGGTATGCACTCAACCATTCCTCGTATAGTGGTCGCAAGGGTCTGTTTGCATTTATGCTATGTCGCTTAAGTAATTTCGATGTTCCTACTCAGGGCACTCATTTTTTCTCTACCACAGCCATCATCTGCTTCAGCGCGTCAGACCCTAGTTGCCAAGCGGTCTGCGTGACAGGGTAATTGGTAACGTAGCTAGTCCACTCGAGGTGAAAGAGATAGACACGCTTCGGATTAGCGACTATTACACGTAAGACACAGAGTGCAATCCGGCTATACATAAATACCAGCTCCTCCAGCAGCAAAATACATATGGCTGTTCTTGCAGCAGTCGTCCTATAACTTTTACGCCAAATTGAACGTCCTTATCTGCTTCATTACTTGGTCCATTATGTCAAGCCCACCAGCCTCATCGGGTCCCTCAGCTCCGCACCTGACAGGTCTAAGCTTGTATCTGGTTCTCGGCGCTGTGTATCTTTCTATATTATGCCTAGCAATGGATAGGACCATGCTTTCGCCGGCGCTGGGAACCATTACCAGCGAATTCGGAACAATCAAGGATGTAGGATGGTACACATCTTCAAACCTGATGACGACAGCAGCAACGCAGTGTCTGTATGGCGCAGTGTACAAGGTCTTCAACACAAAATGGACATTTGTTGCCTCTATCGTCCTCTTTGAAGTTGGAAGCTTGATAGCTGCATTGTCCCCAACCAGTAGCGTCCTGATATTGGGTCGCGCGGTCAGCGGACTTGGCGGTGCCGGACTCTCCAGTGGATCATATGTCATCATAGCCAAGGTGGTCCCGCTACAGAAGCGAGCCTCATTTCTTGGCCTCTTTGGCGGAATTTGGGGCATCGCAAGCATATGTGGACCATTACTTGGTGGATATTTTGCCGGGAGCGTCACCTGGCGTTGGTGCTTTTACATCAATCTCCCAATCGGAGGAATGACACTTCTCGCCATGTTGTTTTTTCCCTCACCGAATACATACGATGATGGAAAGAATCCGAAAATGACTTTCATCTCAAAACTTCTTCAACTAGATCTATTAGGCGCGGCTGCCCTCTTGCCGGCCGTCGTCACGCTGTTGCTAGCCCTCCAATGGGGAGGTGGCGAGTTTTCTTGGTCGTCTGCTGCCATTGTAGGCCTGTGAGTAGTGAAAGTCGTTCAACAAAGCATCTGTTAATATGGGCTAACCATTTTTTCTCTTTTGTCTTTTCGTCTTCTAGTTTTTTAGGCTCTGGGCTTCTCTATGTTATATTTGCCGTGATTCAAATAAAGCGGCAAGACAAAGGCTTACTACCGCCGAGCCTCTTTAAGGAACGCGACGTAGCCTGCGGCATGCTGTATAACTTCTTCTTTGGAGCCTTCTACTACGTCATGCTTCCATATCTTTGTGAGTAAAACTTCCAAACACAGTCAAGAGCAAACCAAAGGCTTAGAGCCGCGTAGTTTTAACATCAAGCGACAGCCATCTATCATCAAGCAGTTCAAGGTGTCCACGCAAACCAAGTCGGACTTAGGCTTTTGCCTTTGTCGCTTGCGGCAGTACTGAGCTCTACATTGAGTGGAATCGTGATTAGCCGTCTGAAGACCTACAATTTTGTTTTGTTAGTGGAAACTGGCGTTGCCGCTATTGCGGCTGGTCTTATGTTAAGATTCTCATTGGGAACGCCGGCGGTATGTACATTCTAAGTCGACCACTGAAGACGGAGGTCGAAGAGACTAATTCTAGCGGCACTAGAGTTATTGGATACCGAGTGAAATTCTATGGGGTCTCGGCGTCGGTGCCGGCTTCCAAATCGCGCAGTTGGTTCTGCAAAACACTGTGCCATATCACATGATACCACAGGCATCAGCTGGCGTGCAGTTCTTTGGCATCCTGGGCGGAGCCGTGTCAGTAGCATCAGCCCAAGCAGCTTTCCAGAATGGACTTGTTGATGCCATGAGAAAGAACGTCCCGCAGGTGACCCCAAACATCGTCGTCAACACGGGCGCCACGCAGCTGAGACACACGCTCGAGAGCCTGGGACAACCGGACACCGTTATCCAAGCTGTTCTAGATTGTTATGCAATTGGATTGAAGAATACTTTCTACATATGCACTGCTGCCGCTACAGCTTCATTTTTTGTAGCTCTTGGATTTCGTTGGAAGTCGCCGGCGTATATAGTCCCAGCAAGGTCGAATTAGTGCCAAGCCTAGTGTTACAACCCGTTAAGTACAATAAGACACTAAGCGGCTATAGACTATAAAGTTTTAGAGAGCTTATTAACTATATTGTAAATTAGAGTTAATAATCTTCCCTTATATCTAAAATACTTTTTATCTTATTACCCTTTAGGTTAATATAATAATTCTTTATATACTATCTACTAAGTTAACTTACTAAGTTAACTTACTTAGTTTTTAGTACTTATTATACTTTAGTATACTAGAAATAAAGCTATTATTACTATAATAACTTTATTTAATTAACTACTATAATAGGGTTAGGTAGTATAGTCTTATAAATTATATAGTAGTTAATTTAAGGGATAGATTAATTAAATAGCTACCTATGTATTCTAAAAGAGATTTATAGACCTAATAAGAGGTTAAAAGAAGTTACTATTTATTAATTATATACACTTATTATTAGTTAACTAGTAATAATATTAAAATTAGTTATTATTATTATTATTATTATTATTATATTTAACGCTAGGCTATTATTATAGTTAGTAATCTAATAGTAAAGTTTTTACTAAAAATAAGCTAGGGTTAATACTTAGTTAATAGTAGTATAGGCTTTATTATTAAGTAGTATATTTAAGAGGTAATTTATATAGTTAAAAGTAGCTTATTTCTTTTATCTATAGTGCTATAATCCTTGTTCCTTAAATATTACCTTGCTTAGTAGATTCTACTATAAGTATCTATATTTAAGAGCAAAGGTTAGATTAATAAGCAATATTGTTCTAGAAAGTAGTGTTAGTTAGTAATATCCTATATAATATACCCTCTTAGGTGTTAGCATAGGTTACTGTACACCTAGATATAAAGAAAAAATAGTTCTTCTAGTATAAAAGGGCTAGTTATTATATAATTATAGGCTACTAGTATTAGGTGTTCTTATTAATAAGGCTACTTACTATAAGGCTAGCCTATATACTAGTAAATATTTACCTTAAGGCTAAATTTATAATTACTTTTTTTTATAATAACTATAATAATAATTATAAGTTATATTATTATTTTTTATTATACTTAATTATTAATTTATTATTTTTTTATATTATTATACTATTTTACTTAATTACTAATACTTTTTTTCCAAATATTTTATAAAACTATTACCTTTAGTAAGGCTTATATATATACCTTTATAACTACTATAGGCCTTAAGACTATAGTAGTTATATTACTATATAACTACTATAGTTACTATAAGTATACTTTATCTTTTCTTAAGAAAAAAAAAGACCTTTAGTAAGTCTATAAAGAATTAAAACCTCTTTATAAATAGGTTTTATAAGTATTATTTTATTACTAGTTAATTAATTTTTATTACTAATAAATAAGTATAGTTTTTATAAGTAATAATAAGTAGTCTTTTTAAAGACTAGTCTTTTTAACTTTAGTTAAGAAAAGCTAAGTAACTTAGGCCTAGATTTACTTTTAACTAGTATATTACTACTTATTATTACTTAGTTATTTTTTATTACTAACTTATTTTATAAATAATAAAGTAGTAGTAAAGTAGTTACTTTTTTACTTTTATATTAACTATAAGGAAGGCCTACTACTATTTCCTAAGGTTAAAAGAGATTTAGGTAGTAATAATAATACCTTTATAAAAGTACTAAAGTACTAAGAGAGTATAGTAAAAAGACCTACTATTATTAGCCTTTATAAGTATTACTTAAAGAGTATACTTATAAGTTAATCTAATAGTAAGTGTCTCTTAGGTCTTAGCCTTAAATATTACTAATATATTATATATTAGTATATATATATATTATTTACTCTTAAGGTTATTAGCCTAGCTAATACCTTCCTATATACTTTAAGTAATAAAAAGGCTTTATATAAAGTAAATTATTTTTTATTTATATAATAGTTATATTTACTTATATATTTTTATTTTAGATAATTATAGCTATATAGTTATATATATAAGTAGTTTTACCTTAAACTTTAAAAAAGAAAAAGGCTACTTTACTTATAATTATCTTCTTTAATAAAGATAAAGAAAAAAAAGATAAAGAAAAAAAAGAGTAAAAAAAAAGAAAAAAAAAGAGGTATATAATAAAGTAAGTAGCCTTAAGGATCCCTTTATAAAGGCTATTACTCTTAAGTATTCCTTTAGCCTTCTTATTAGTCCTTATATATATTATAACTATACCTTTAGTACTACTTATATATAAGTTAACTTTAATAGCTTTATTAGTAAGCTCTTCTTTATATAAAGAACTTACTTTATATTTTATTATCTCTTAGATAAATATATAGATGTCTTCATTTATTAATACTAGGCTTCTTAGCCTTTAAGCTATTTTTATCTTTTTAGAATATTAAGCTCTTTAGCCTATAGGCTATTTTTTAATTTTTATTTTAGCTTAGACCCTTTAGCCCTAGGCTATTATTTAATTTTAGAGAAGTTTTTACTTTTACTTTTTTTATTATTTATTAATTAAGTCTTTATTTTTTCTTATTTTACTATATATTATATATCTTATAAGTTAAAGAGTACTTTAAAGTACTTAAATTTAACTTATAAAAGATTCTTAGTAAGTTTATTTACTAGTATTTTATTTATTAGTAAATATATAATATTAACTTTACTTTTTATATAGACTTCTTATAGCTATATATTCTAAATATTAATATAGTAAAGTTATATTATAATCTGTTTTTTTATAACTAAGTAAATTATTTACTAGTTATTATACTATACTACCTATATATTATTTTTTAATTTAAGGTAAATATTATAAAAAAGGTATTTTAGAGTAGTAAGTTCTTTAGTTATATAGTTAAAAGTAAAAAGCTTAGCTTTAGTTATTAATATTATAACTATTATTTAGTAAGTTACTCTTTAATAAATTAAACTACTAAAAAGATATATAATATACCCCTAGGATAACTAGTAAGTAATTATATTATTAGTAAAAAAAATATTACTTATATAAAGAAGTTATATACTTTCTAAAATACTAAAGTATATTAATAAATATAAAGTATAAAAAAGGTATTAAATATACTACTTTACTACTTAAATATAGTATATACTTAGGTTTATTAAGTACCTAGAGAAAAGTAAGTAAGTAAATACTATATTTAACTAAATTATTATAGTAGTATATAGAATTAATCTAACTATCTCTTAAAAAAGCTTTACTTTTACTAGTGTTATTATTCCCTTATTTTAGAGAAAGTCTATTACTAATAGTAGTATTATAAAAAAAATCTTATCTATATACTTAAATTTTATTACTATATTATAAATATATTAGTTATAGTAAAAGTATATTTTCTAGTTAAGTCTATTATATATAATATAAATACTTAAATACTACTTTACTTCTCTAAGGTCTTTTATTTTATATACTTTTTTTAGGCTTAAAATAATTACTTCTTTTACCTTCTTACTCTTTTTTAGATATATAATAAGTATATTATTAATATAAAAGAGTATATATATAGTATACTCCTTAAAAATAAAGAGATAAGAGTCTTCCTTTAATAATAAAAGTCCTAGGCTTTTTAGTATCTTTATAAACTCCTTAAACTAAAGAAAGGGTATATTATATAACTTATATAAGGCCTATATAATAGATACTACTTTTTTTTTTTACTAATAACCTAGTAGTAGCTTATAGTATACTAGCTTTTCTAATAGGTCTCTTTTAGTATTAAGAAATATATTAACTATATTAAGTTACTTAACTTTAAAATTAAATTATATAGTAATAGCTATTACTATATAAAAGGTTTATACTATAAAGGTTACTATATATATTTAAAGAAGAAAGTCTTTTTCTTATATATCCTCTTTTATAATAACTTATTATTAGTAACACTAAAGGATAAGTTAATATAGTTAACTATATATATTAGTAGTAATTAACAAATAATAGAGGTAACTATAGTTCTCTATTATATATAAAGAAAAGAAAAATAATTATTGTAGGTTAGTTAGTTAAATAACTAACTTATTGCCTATAAATCCCTAGAGAATTCTATAGCTAAATATCTAAGGATTTACTAGTAATAAGTTATTAAGGTTAACCTAATAACTCTAATATTTATCTATAATAGTTAACATTATAACACTAGTAACTTTCTATAGTACTAAAAATCCCCTATTATTTATATTTAAAAGAATAGCTAAAAAACGTAATAAAAACAAGAAGCTAAAAAGTATTTAATACTTTTTACTTATATAGTCTATTATATATAAAAAACCTATCTATTTATCTATATCTCTAACTACTTATTACTAACTAGCTTCTCTAATATATTATTTAGTAATAACTTTATAAATTTATTTACTAAGTTATTACTACTATAAATTTACTATATCTTAAAAATCTTCTAGCGTTTATATAACTAGCAAAGGGCTATAATATCTATTATAAGTTACTTCTCCTTTATAGTACTAAGCTTTATAAGGCACTTATAAAGTAAGTATAAGTTAGTGTAAAGTATTATAGGTATTTATAGTAGTTTAAAGTAGTTAGTAATTATTACAAGAGTAGTACTAATTATATAAGTAATATTAGCACTAGTAATTATCCTATAGACCTTAGAGGTAAGTATACTATATATAACTCTTTTACACTTTATTAAACTAAAGTAGATAATATTACTAGTTAACTTAAAGCTTTTACTATTAACAGTAGGTTACTTAATAATTTATTTATTAGTAAGAACTATAATAAAGCTAAGTTAAAAGGTAAAGTTATAGTTATTTATAAATAAGCTATTAATAAATATAAAAAGCTTAGTAGTTATAAGGTTAATTAGTAAGAATTATAGGCTATAGTTAAGGTTATTAATTTACTATTTAATTTAGTAGTTTAAAGCTTTAATCTCTTCTATTATAGGTAATTAGTGTTAAGTAGTAACTAAATAGTTAAAGTAAGCTTTAGGTTAATAGATAGAAGTAATATATATACTATAGGTATATTACTAGATATAATCTTACT